AGTTTTAATATAAATCTAGAATAATTATAGTATAAAGTTTAATTTATATATTAAGGTAGAAGGAATTTTTTCTATATAACTTTATACTTTTAAAAAATTTAAAAATTAGAAAATCAGAAAATTATAGTAGCAGCATTTGCAGATGCAAGCTAATGTGCGACTGTAGACGACTGTTCTAGCAAAGGCAGTAAAGAGAGCAGCGGTATCTGCCCTGCATGTGGAGGTGACGGCACGGTTTGATAAGCAAGACGGTCGCCCTCTAAATACAATGCTACTTCGGCCTGTGAAGGCTGTCACTCCAGAGTAGGACAGGCCTTGCACACCAATTTACATCAGCCACGTTACGACAACGTTGCTACAGCTAGCGATACATCGGGAAAATTTAATACGCAAGCCGCCAGGCATTGCGTGCTGGACGCGACAGCAGATGTTAATTACGTCTGCCAGCCGAGGTGCATCTTTGCGATGGAGAGACCGACAAAAAGCAGTCCAAATGACATACCGTTACCCTTTCACTTGTACCTGCTCCACAATGCGAGCGCCAATCAAATGCAACCAGATTCGGGCGGGAAGACAGCACCACCACAACGCATGGCAGCGACTAGTAATTACAACGTACAAAAAGCATCACGAGCCTCACAACGCAGATATGCAGCGCTTCCGACGACACATGAAGTCATTCGAGCTGCCTCTTGCAGTGGTGACTTGCCATTGTCTACCTGGAACGGAGTAGGAAGAATTCCGGGGTTCTGCTTAAAAGCGAGCAAGCCGATTCTATAGCCACAGCAGCCGGTTTTGTTGACAACACCAAGAAAGCCTCCGCGCCGCTTCACACTTAGCCCCAATCACGGAAATGCAGACCTAACCGGTTAGGTCAGTTGGTGAAGCTAGTTTTGGACCTCCCTCTCCGTCTCTCCGCCACCAAACGATTGTGCCCTGTATTTCCACGTCCGCCTTTATGTTACGTACTGTACATATTTACTGCAAGTAATACACAAAACATAACTCACTAAATCTTAGACCTGACATTAGCTCACATACTAATCGACCGTCCCGCAGAGTAACATCTACTTTCTGGCAATTGACAGACCAGAAACCCGCCAGCCCATGTTCCCAAGTTCAGCATTTAGCATCCATTTTCCGACAACAGGTGCATAGACCCATGACCTACCAACCCATCCAGGGTGGCGATGTGTAGACTAGGACATGTTAACTCAGGGACTACCATTCTTTTTCGGACCATCCGAGCTCATCATCTCATAGACCCGGGTTTTCCTGGCTTGGGTCCGGTGCGTTTTTGACTGACAGTCGGTACAATTTCGTAGGCCCAGACAGAGGAATACAGCACCCAAATCTGAGACTTGGTAGTAAACCAAGGCTCTGGCCCAAGTCTGGATCTACAATCTGGTTGGCAGGGGATCGTAAATCCGGGCGAACAGTGGAATGTAATCCTGGGTAACCATGGGCCAACCTGACGTCTGCTCGCCGGACTTGGGTCTCCTGCGCTTGGGTAGAACCCAATCAAAGACAACAGTCGAATTGACTAGGCGAAGAGCCCACGCCGCTTGTGATTCGCTGCGCAGGTTTACAACAGGTAGGTCGACGCTAAGCTACTGCACAAATTCAGGCCGGGTGTAACAAGGGCTGGTCTTGGAGATCAGGGCTCAGAGCAAATGACTCATATTCACATATAATATTGTAGGGTCTCAAAGGTCCTTGGTTCCTCAATCAGACAGGCCCAACTAATAAGGGCTTCATATACATGATAGTGCTTGTGTGTGCAACCTGAGTAGGCAACAAAGGGATGATGCCCTTTGTGCCTTATTGCCTTGATGGCACAGCACGTAGTACGGACAACAAGGCAAGGCACAAGAGTCGAGACACGCCCCTGCTTGCTGCGAGCAGCGACACTTGTTGCTCGGCTCGACGCAATTTTGGACGATGCAGTCACACCCGCGCTCATGACGTATCAATCTTGGGCTGATTCGTCAGACCGCAAAGTACAGGCCGAGGTCGGCTCTCTGACCATTAACCCGACAAATGAGCAAGGGCAGCGCCAGCGCCAGCCACACTCCGGACTTCGGACTCCAGACTCCAGACTACTCCAGGGCCACACGGTTCGAGATGCACTCTGCAATACAATACGCCATCCACACACCATCCGTCCCGCTCTGCGATGACCTCACTTTCCCCCAAATCCGCCGAAGTCAATCCCGTCTCTACCCCCGACCTGATTGGCGTTGCTGGCGCATCTCCCAGGATCCGCCCGGCCACCTCTCAAGCGAGTGCGAATTTCGAAGCAAGCCACCATGAGCTCCCATCACGTCAACCAACAACTCTCATTCATCACCCACCCGCTAGACTTGTACGGAGTAGTCTCTGTTTCCGTGCCACCCCTCGAGCCGAAGCTGCCGTCACCGAGCCAACAGTTCATATTCAGCTAATGCGGTGATACCTGAGCCTGCGTGACGCCTCCCGGACGCGAGATAGGTCCATGTGGGAGGCAAGAAAAGAATTCAGCCCTCCAGCCCTCTGGCCATGATTGGCAGACCTAAGCGATTGCGAGGGCGAGGCCAAGTTGCTGGAAGAAGCGTGCCGGCAAGGGGGGGACCATACAGAGTACTCGTCAACCTCAGCAGACATCACGCCCGGCTGGCTAGCATCTTTTGTGCCGCGAGGCGACGACGGACGGCGTGCCTGGCTCTCCAACACACACGGGCATCTTTTGGGGCGTCTCTCTCCTTGCCCTTACGTAGAGATTTCTGTTACCATGTCAGCTGGGATGTGATGTGCTTGACATGACACAGGAGAAGCCTTTGATTATCATCTTTTTTTTTCTCCAGTTACCAAATTATTTGTTTCACCATTCACGAACAGTAGCACATGTCTCAACACGGTCGACGTGATGGACGCGCCTCCGAATATTCCTTTACGTCCACCGTCCAGACTGACAGCTCGAAACCGCCTTCCCTTCCTCCGGCGCGGTTCTGGATCCTATGTGCTGGGTGAGTAGGGGGCGCAATGACGCCGAGAATCCGAATCCGGCCAGAGTGGAATTAACCGCAAGTGCACGTCGTGTAGAGTGTGTCTGGGGCTGTTTCTCGCAATGATGGACACGTCCATTGTCGCGACGTCGCTCTACGCCGTGGGCACCGAGTTCCGCGATCTCGACAACGTCAACTGGGTTGCCCTGTCCTACACCCTCGCCTACATGGGCTGCGCCGTCGTCTTCTCGCGCGTCTCGGACATCGCAGGCCGCCGGGATGCCTTTGTGCTCGCGTCCGTTGTCTTCGTGGCCTTTTCGCTGGCGTGCGGCTTCGCCCGCAGCTTGCACCAGCTCATTGCCTTCCGCGCCCTCCAGGGCGTCGGCGGCTCGGGCCTGTACTCCTTGTCCATGGTCATGCTGCCGGAGCTGAGCCCGGTGCGTCTGCGGCAGTACATCGCGGCCATGGTCGGCGTGGTCGTCGCCGTGGCGGGCGTGTTGGGCCCCGTGCTGGGCGGCGTGCTGACGAGCTACGCCACTTGGAGATGGGTCTTCTGGATCAAGTGCGTTTGCTCGCCATGCGGCCGGACATGACTCCCGTGACTGACGCTGACGCGGTACAGTGGCCCTGTTGGTGCGGCTTCGCTGGCCACGTTTGTCATCAGCTGGCCCGACGAGAGATACCTCGGGCGTCGTGGAAAGCACTCGTGGAAACAGCTCGACTACCCGGGGGCCTTTCTCACCGTCGCCGCCGCCGTTCTCGTCGTCTTTTCTTTCCAGAATGCAGGCCAGGCACGCGGTAACGCGCCTCGACAAGGCGACGACTGGGGCTCGGCCGTCTTCGTCGCGCCCCTTGTCGTCGGCGTCGTGTGCTGGGCGGCCCTGATACTCTGGGAATACGCCGTCCAGACCCGCCTGTCCAAGCGGTTCGTCCCGGTCCTCCCGCTGAGCATCTTCCGCAGCGGCGTGTACGCCTCGGGGGTGATCAACACGCTCCTCCTGGGGCTCCCGTTCCTGCTTTTGATCTACGTCGTCCCGCTGGGGATCCAGATTGCTGGGGGCAAATCCGCCCTCGTGGCCGGCATTATGCTGTTGCCAATGCTGGTCGCTGTCGCTGTGGGCAGCATCGTCAGCGGCGCAGTCAACTCGAGAAAGTCGGCCATTACGGAAACGCTGCTAGCAGGGTCATGCTTGATGTCGCTGGGCTGTGGGTTGTTGACGACCTTGTCCACGCACGAGCTCGACAGCGCCAAGCTCCTGGGCTTCATCACGCTCTGCGGCATGGGCTTCGGCCTCACCGTGTCATCCAGCACAATGATTGTATCCATCAAGGTTGCGCCAAAGGATTACGGCAAGTAGCACCGAACATCAAGCTCTCCACGTGGTCGTAGCCGGTGCGTGCTAACGGTTCGCTACTAGCCCCGGCCCAGGGAATCCTCGCCCAGCTGCGCATATTTGGCGGCAGTTTGGGCATCGCCGCGTCGACAGCGATCCTCCGGGCCAAAACGCACGGAAGCCCGCTGTTGCATGTCGGGAGGCGAGACTCTCCATCGGCCCCGCCTCAGAACCAGTTGGCCCAAGAGGCTTTTGGGGAGGCATTTCGCGCCGACATGGTGGTGGGAACGGCAGCTTCGGGGGCTGCGGTGATTCTGGCACTCGTCGCGTGCTGGCTGCGTCGCAACCGCCCTGAGCCTCAGGGAGCGCCGCAGCAAGAGGGACAAGTGACGGAAACGAATACATGACGGAAGCATAAACCAGTATGATGCTGTATTGCAGTGGCTTTTATTTTTATTTTATTTTTGTGTGTGTGTGTGTAAGTGTGTGTGTGTGTAAAAGTGTGTGTGTGTGTGTGTGTTTTGCCTTTTCCCGTAATGTCAACGTCGGGCCAAATCATAACGGTGCATGGTTACAATTACTTCTAAATTCCAGTACAGAGCAGCGATGCAAAATGGACGGCATACAAGTGCCATTCCAACCGACGATCGCCACTTGTACGTACGGAGCGTGCGGCGACTGAAAGAAAAGAAAAAGCCCTTCACGCGCGAGGTCCGAACGGCGCCCAATCCAGGGGCACTCTCTCGCCCATCCAAATAGCCCTGTCCGTGTGATCGCGCAACTCGACCTCGTTGGCGGCCTGGCCCTCCTCCACCACGGTGTTGGGATGGACGAGGGCAGACAAGGGCCCGCGCCAGACCGAGAGCCACGCGACAAAGGCGCCGAACTGGGCGGGCGTGAAGACGTTGATCTCAAACATGGCCACGGGGTGAGGCCCGACGGGGCGGTCCCAGAACTTGTACACCCTCAGCTCAGGGACTGGGGGACACGGGACACGTCAGCGAGCAATTTGCATTGCATGGCCTGCATCGCACGTTCGGGGCCCGGCAGTCTGCAGTCTGGGGTCTGGAGCCTGGACTCACACTCGCGTCGGATGCGCTCCCAGAGCTGGCGCGCGTACGTGGCCTGCTCCGGGTTCTGCTGAAAGTAGTAGATGTGTACGTCACTGCGCGGCGTGTCAGTCGCCAGCCATGGTCGGCGGAGCACGACGAGACGGCGTGCACGTACAAGCCGCCGCGACGGTCTGATCTCAGAGGCGTGGTGAAGCGGTGATATGCGTCGCTGAGCCCGTCCCGCTTGGGGTTCACGAGGCTCTTGCCGTCCTCGTTCGTCTCGTCGGACAGGGGAGGGGCGTCCTCGAAGCCGGCGAGCGGCGAGGGATACTTGTGGTCCCAGGGATTGGGCATTGCGGGAGCTGGTGGCACGCTGGTGAGTGGGAGGTTCTCGGTTTGGGCATGGGCGACGTCGACGTTGGGAAAAGTCGAGAGCTGAGAGGTCGGCGGGACGGGCTGATTGATAAGAAGCTGCCCATGAATGATGAAACGATGGCCCGATGACGGAACCGAGCCCGAGCCCCGCCACGGATTCGGAGTGGCCCCGCCGCCTTACTAATGCACGCCGGCCGCATCGTCTGCGAAACCCTCGTCTCCGTATCCGCCGTTGATGATTGATCAGCCGTCAAGTCAGTCGGGGGGTGCGGTGCGAGCGTGGGCCCCCGCTCGTACAGTTTGGGCGTCTTCGCAGACAAAGGGGACGCGTTGGACCTCGCCGTCCAGGGCCCCAGGCACCAGGCACCAGGCACCAGGTACCCGCCACCGGACAACCGACTCGTCCTACCGGCGTCGTCACAACTCGACGCCTCCATCTCGTCATCCTCAACACCAAGCCAAGCCAAGCCGAGCCGAGCCACACGACACCCGAGCCTCGCGTCGCCACTTGCCAGCGACCACGCAGCCGACATGCCGCGCAGGCTCTCCAAACAAATCTCCTTCACATCCCTCTCGTCGGCCCTCGCCACCCCCTCCGCTCTTACGTCCCAGATCCCCCCGTCCCTCACGGACCCGACGCTCCCGCTGCCCAAACTCATCGTCTTCGATCTCGACTACACCCTCTGGCCGTTCTGGGTCGACACGCACGTCACGCCCCCCCTCAAGCCGGACGCGGCGCACTCCCTCGCCACGGACCGCCACGGCGAGGAGTACGCCTTCTACCCCGACGTCCCTCAGATCCTGCGGCTTCTGCCCCGCGCGGTCCCCGACTCCAGCGCCCCCATCAAGCTGGGCGTCGCGTCGCGAACCCACGCGCCCGGGCTGGCCAGGGACCTGCTGAAGATGCTGCACGTGCCGCCGGCGCAGGAGGGGGACAGGCCCCGCAAGGCCCTGGACGCGTTTGACGCCGGGACGGAGATTTACCCCGGCAGCAAGATCCGGCACGTCGAGGCGCTCCAGCGGAGGACGGGCGTCGCGTTCGACGACATCCTGTTCTTCGACGACGAGAGCAGGAACCAGGAGACCGAGGGCCTGGGCATCACGATGCGCCTCGTGCGGGACGGCGTGTGCTGGGCCGAGATTGAGAAGGGCGTCGACGACTGGCGGAGACGGAGGGGCTTCGGGAGGGGCGGCGTGTGACGTCCAAGGCTGGGGCTCGCCCTTTAAAGGCTCGCCAAGGGCCAGGGCACGCCAGGGCACGTCTGGACACGTCGAGACGGGCGAAATGTAGGTGGTGGAGGTTTGTGCCGCGCGGAAGGGATGCGGTTTGCGGCAGTATATACTTGGGATGATTTTTTATTTTGTTATAAATTCTGCCATGTACCAAATAGCCGGCGACCAAGATCCAAGGACAGAAGAGACAAGATTAAACCTGTGAGAAATACAGAGAAACAAGTACGCTGCCAGACGTTACACCCGCTCGAACAGGACATGCGCCCGGTGAGGGCCCCATCCCCCGACTACACTCTCGTCCTGCATGCCAACGTGATATCCATATCCAAATCCTGCATCCCCGGCCTGCTTGTGCGTCCGTCCATGTCCGGGCCGGCGTGCGATGGGCCCAAGTGCCCCGTCTAGGCGGCAGCAGTCGGCGCAACCGGCACAGCGCCGTTCTCGTCCCCGGCGAGCCTCAACTTCTCGACAATCTCGCCATCCGTGATGCCGTCCGCCTCGTCGGTCTGCGCGGCATCGTCCGCCGTCGCGCCCGCCGTCGTCTGCGTGCCCTCGGACAGCTGGCCGTTCGTCTGGGTCCCCTCGGTCGCCGGGTCGGCCTTGTCGCCGTCCTCGTCTGCGGGCGGCCACCACGTCTTGGGCACGGTGCACACGCGGACGTTGCGAGGCACGCCCTTGTCCTTGCCGAGGGCGACGCAGGCCATGCTCCGCCCGTCGTCGACGTCTTGCCACAGCAGCGGGCCGCTCGGGAACGCCGAGCGCCCGTCCTCCCAGGCGACGACGCCGTCCCAGTGCGGATCCGGCACGGGCAGCTGGCCAAAGGAAAAGTCTAGCTGGCCGCCGTACTTGCGCGGGATGTTGCGGGGGTCGACGAAGGCCTCGAGCGTGGGCGCGACCTCGTGCGGGCCCAGGACGAAGATCTTGGACACGGTCATGGGGTCGAACCAGCGCTTGATCCAGCCCCAGACGGTGCCGAAGAAGACGGGCGCGCCGACGATGAAGATGCGGTCCAGGGTCTCGGGGTAGTGCGCCGTGGCGAGCTGGCTGGCGGCCTGCATGTGGCCCTTGAGGTTCCAGAACTGCCGCAGCCCGACGCCCGAGACGTCGACGATGTTGGTGCTCATGGTGACGGGGACGTCGGGGTGCTCCCGGTCCGCGAGCTGCGTGCAAAACGGCTGGCTGAAGCGCGTGAGGTTCTCGTACAGCGCGAACAGGCGCAGCAGCCCGGGCGCGGTGCTGCCGTCGGTCCGGGCGTCGGAGAAGGTCGACTGCGCGCCGAGCCGTTCGTACTCGGCCACCGTCTTGGAGTCGAGCTTTTTGATTTCGAAGACGTAGAGGGGGATTCCGCGGCGGTCGCGGCGGCCCGTCCACTGCGGATACTGGACGGACGGATTAGTCTGAGCAGGGAGGGACGGGTCCGGGGCCAGACAGGAAACGTGGCGGGGGACCAACCAGTCGTCTGCTTTGCTCGTACGCTTCCAGGTCAATTGTGCGGTAGAGCGTGTCGATGTTGTTCGCGCGCCTCCAGTCCTCGGTCGCCTTGAACTGCCGGTACGCGTCGTCGACCGCCCAGCGGCGCGCGCGTAGGTAGCGTCTGCGGTCGAGACGTCATCGCCGTTAGCAGCGGCCCGGGCTGGCGGACTGGGGGACGGGGTGAAGAAAAAGGCGGGAGACGAAAAGAGAGGGAGAGGGAGAGGGAGAGGGAGAGGGAAGCCATTGATCGACAGCCCTCCACGGCCGGGCGGGTTACTCACAGCAACGTCTGGTCGTCGTGACTCGCGGCATCTCTCTTCCAGACGCCCCTCTGCTCCAAAACATCCTTGAACTTGGCCAGTGCCTCGGCCTCGTGCTCGCTCAAGTGTCCCAGATGCCCGGACGGGTATCCGAGTTGGCTCCTGGTCGAGGCCGACGATTTTACCCGCGTGGCTGCCACTGAAGTGCCGGACGTCGTCGACGCGGCGGGCGCGGGCTCGGCCGTCATGGCGCTTTGTATCTGCGGCGACGATGGCCTCGGAAAAGGATGGATGCAGGTCGTGACAGGCGGGGGTGGGAAACAAAAGTCAACGCTTGGGAATGACGGAGTTTGGCAACGGTCCGTCCGATGACCCAAGGGTGGAGTGGAATCAGTGGAGAGGGACGTCGACTTTGGCATTTCCGCTTGCCGCCCTCCGTTGCGCTCCGAAGTCCGATGGCAGTGGGCGTCTGTCTGGTCTCATTCGCACCTTGGCTTGCCAGGGTGTTGCAGAGCCTTCTTTCGTGGATGAGTGGTGTTGCGAGTTGTGATGGTCGCCGTGCACCCCGCGGCACAAACAGATGAATGCAACAGTTTGAAATGTATTTTATTTTCCATCTATATCCAAGACAGATGCCGTGGCATTGCTGTCAAATAGTAGTGTGAAATGCTAGTTGTCCACATATACAAAAAGTTCCTTCTTCAGGCCGTGTTGTGGTCGCCAAGGCTCATGTTCCTCGTAATCTTGTGTTTCGCCTCCCGGCTTGTTCAGCTTGTTCGTGCCCTCCCTCAGCTTGCAAGGATGCGATAATCACAGCTTTTATGCGCCGTGCTTCCAAGACCTTGCATGTTGCCAGGCGACAACGTGACGGATGGCTCCCTACTCAATCAATATGTCCGATCCAAGTCGTCGCAGGGGAAGGTGATTGAGCATGACCTCCAAGCTGCCAAACCGCCGCATCACGTCCCTTGCGTCCTGCCCGAACCCCATCCGTGCTCTGCCTACACGTTCCCAAGATCCGGACGTGGTCTTCTCGACAACCAAGAGCAGAATCGTGGCTTCTTCGACAAACCACAGCACCGTCATTTGCTCACCGCAGGCATGATGCTCCACGTATTCTCGGATCGCACTCGGTTTATGGCCCCCAGATGGCAGCGGTGCGACCGTGTCCTGTTCCGTGCCCAGGCCGCGGCTGAGTTGTACGTCGACGCAAACGTCATTGAATGTCCACCCGCCATTGTGCACCCGCGCCTTGACTTTATCGAGAACCAGCGGGTTGGTCACCCGCAGAAGATAGCGGCCCGGAGGGAACGTGGGAGGTCTGTCACTCGCGACAGAGAAGTCGTAGGCAACTTGGCCGTCGGGGCTCAGGATCAGCATCTCCGGCGAGTATGCCCACTTCACAGATGAGGCGTCGTTTCTGGTCAGCTGCTTGGCGCTCACGTAGTGGTGGTTCAAGAGCTTCTTTTCCCTCCCAGTGCCGTCTTGCTCGACCACAACAATGGACGAGTACAGTTGCACGGCTCCTCGCCAACCCGCCCATGTCCAGCTGGGCAGGTGGCGTCTTCTCTGCGGCCGGTCATGTCCCTTGTGATGCCAGAAACTGGTCGTCAGGGCAAACAGCAACTTGGTTCGAGGTGGCCCAGAACGAGCCGTGCTGTCCGTCGTCGGGCACCAGATGGGAATCCCGACAATGCTCCCGAGCTTGTCTTTTCCCAGAGTCTTCTCCAGCCGCCTCGTGATTCCCATGAAAGCGCTGAGTGAGTCCTCGTCGTACGTGAGCTGACGCTTGGTGTACTCAACAACATGCTGGTCCGAGGTTCGGAAGATGCTGAGGGTACTCGGCTTCTCCATGCTTTGCGGCAGCTTCTTCCATACTTCCCAGCTGCCATCAATATAAGACAACCCGTTAAAGAGGCCTGGTCGTACGAAGTCGCACATCTTTTCCTGATCTCTGTCATAATACGCGGCAAGTGGCAAGACCAGGGTTTCAGGACACGACATGCCCTCGCACTCCCAGTACATCTGCTGTCCCGTGAACACGAGCCGCCGCCTCGCCACAAGGCCTTCTTGGTAAGTCCAGCCCCGGGTATACCAGACGGATTCTTTGATTTCGAGCCGGGGATCCCGCATGCTAGAAACGAGTGCGACGTTGCCGTCGGCAAATTTGTACTTGGGCTGCTCCGGCCGTGTAGTAGAGCCCACGCCGGGCAGGCCTTGCATGGCGTCCTTGCCATGAGCTGCGATGATGGTTACCGCAGCCCCTTCGAATATCTCATCCATGCGGCCGATTTGATGCATTCTTTCCTGCACTCTGCTTGAGTCGATGCACAGACAATCAACCCACAAATAGCGGAATCCAAGGTCCAGAGTCACCGTGACCGCGTCCCGAACTGCTTTTGGCCACGAGTCTGTCGTGTTGCCCCCGGAGACATAACTCAGGGCGACGTAGTCTTCGCTCAAGAGCCGCTCAACCACCCGGGGCGGCGACTGAGCACAGTCAATGAGCTTGAATCCGGCAAGCTCGTGTGCGACCTGGCGGCGCCCACATCGTCCTCGGTGATGACTGTCGCAAAAATGCAACCAGTTGCGGGCAACAGACATGTCTGCTGACCGACCAATTTCCCTTCCCCAGATTCCCTTTTGGAGCCAGGTCGAGTCTGTCAGCAGGGCCTGTGGCTCTTGAGTGTTCCGCTCGCTGGATCTCGCCCGCTCTCGCGCAGGGCATGGTTCCGGCGACACTTGCGGAAGCGTCCTGTACAGCACTCCCCTCTCTCGAAACCATTCCGGCTGGGGCTCCCAGCTTTTTGCACCGGGTCCAGTCTTCTTCGGTGTGACTGCCAGATAGCCAGGGGCCCAGCCCCTTGCCTTTGCTCTGGCCTGGTGGTCCATGTCGAACAACTTGACGGGGTCAATGAGATAATTGGTGTCCCGGCTGGAAAACGCAGACAAACTATAATCTCCGTCGCCGTCTCCTGGTACATGGACCGACCAGAAAAGCTTGCACAGCGGGCACGTTGTAGACCATTTGTCGTCCTGGAGCCCTCTGAGACGGGAGATGACATGCTCCCTTTTGTCGAAGGCGTCCGCCGCGCCGGGATGGAGCACCTTTGTAAAGGAGTCATCGACCTCGTCCAAGGTTGACTCGATGTCAACAGCCAGACTCGAGCAGGACGTGCACAACGCCCGGTCGACGTTACGCACGGTTGCCGAGGTTGGCGTGGATGTGTCGGAGTGTGCTGAAGGACTCCGACTTCTGCGCCAGCTGAGGCGTCGAATGAGGGATCCTCGGCGCGGCGATCCGTCCTCGTTGTCCGGCGGCTCTACCGTGAGGTGTTGCATCATGTTCCTCAGCGGGTTCCTGGACCGGCGACGTTCCAGGACAGGCTGTTCGCCTGGAGGTACGGGACTGAGGCTGTCTGCCATGTTCGGGCTCGGAGCATGGGAGTCGGAGCATGGGTGGGTGGACGGGTGACAGCAGCAACTTGCGAGCGCTGGCTGTTCTCGAGAAGCAACAGGTAGGTTGAAAAGCCCAAGCTTTTGACACGGCCGACAGAGGATGATGAAGAACAGCTGGATATCCCCCAAGCTCAGGGTATGTCCGGAAAATTCGACCAGCCGAGGCGAGTGCTGAAGAGTGAAGCCTGACACTAGCCAGGCCTCCTCCGGGTGTCGAATGGGGGCGCCAGACGCGCAACACCGGACTGACTGAAGCGCTAGAGAGACCTAATTCTGAAGCGAAATTGGAAATCGAGGGCTCGGCGTCAAAGAAGGAAAAAAAAAAAAAAAAAAAAAAAGGGGTGGTGTAGCTGTTTGGGCCATTGTTCAGGAGTCCGCGTGAAGAATACGAAGATCAAGGGGCGCCATCTCTGGTGATTGGGCGACGTTATTGTGACCAGACGCCACTGTTTGATCACCAAAATGCTCACTCCTCCGCGTTATGACGACAAGTTGCCCGACAGTCTGAAGCTGGCCGGTGCTAGTGCTAGTGTCGCCCTACCTTGAGCAATAAGCACTCATCCAACGACTTTAGTCCAGGGCAAGGTCCCAGGGGCGCATCCTGTTTCTGCCCCAGGAATGTTGGACTTGCCTTTTCCACCTATTGCCAGCCCGGGTCCCGTAGGGGGGATACTTTGCATGCAACTTGATCGTACGGAGTAGCTGTTGTGAATAAGAAGCTTTGCTTATTAAAATACGTTATACGTATTTTTCCAACAACGTCCGCTGCAATCGCGACCCATGTACGGGTCACGGATCCAGGATGCAGACCCAATCAAAACGTGCTGAATTTTCTGTTGCCAACACAACTGCAGATGCAGATGCAGATGCAGCTACTCCGTGCACGACGCAGCCATGTAGTGCACTTTCTGTTTAAGTTACTCTTTTAGTTTTGACGTGGCTCGGCTCGTCCAAGGCAGACTGGCAGACTTACGCCCCACCTGATTTGTCCGAGTGGGGCTGCGTGTTCTGAAACCGAGCGCTGCGTGTTTGTTCGTGACCCGTTATAATGTTGCAAAGCGTACGTAGTTGTGCCCGAGCACTTCAACCTCGCGACGGCGGCTGTGCATGACCACGACTTCGACTTCTCCTCGCAATATTTAACCTCGACCTGCACCTCCGTTGCCCCTGGCTCCTGCCCATACACCGACTTCCTCCGACATACAGATTACGCAGCGACGGCATCTCGCTCTCGACAAGCGCTCCCTCTCCACGCCGTACCGCACCGTACGCTTTCCATGGGACCGACGACTCGGGCACCTTGACAATCCTCCTCACCATCACTGCGCGTCTCGTCCACCTCTTGTGCGCCTTCACCCTGCCACTAGCGCAATATACAAGTCAGCTGCGACGTAAGACTCGTGTCGTATCGTGTCGTCGTGCGTCGCGATTCTGCCCAATTCCCTCCCCCCTACGACAGGGTGTCCGCCGCCGCGCTCTGGACTTGGCGGCCATCACATCAAGGATGCCGGCGGCCAAGGAAAAGGAACTCCCCCGTGTTGACCAACTTCAAGACTACGACTATGCCGTGGCTGGACAGTAAGTCGTCTTCAAAGACTCGCGACCTTCCTCCCCTTGGCTCGTACAGTGGTGTCGTAACCCAATTTGCGACCACCGACCCTGGAGTGTGCTGCTGACCTGGCCATGTGGCAGTGATGGGACCATGTGCGACCCCGACGGCTCGATTTTCGTCAAGCCTTGCACCCAAGCCGAAATCAACTTCTACGAGACCACCAAGTCAAAGTATCCCGCCTTTGCCAGTCTTATGCCAGTCTACCTCGGCTGCCTATCGTTAAACGGCGCCGGCGCCGATCAGGTTGGCATCGACCAAGCTGGGGCAGGCGTCATTCCGGACGGCGCCCTACAAACCGTGGATGGGGGCCTGCTCGCATCGATCGGAGAGAGAATTGTCAGTGCCACTCAAGATGTCCAAGCCCAGGGTGCCGTTATGTGGGTGCCTTCCGAAGGAAAGAAGATCCAGACAGACACGTCTGTCGTGCTCGAGAACTTGACGTATGGCTTCCACAAGCCCAATGTCCTCGACATCAAATTGGGGACCCGTCTATATGCCGACGATGCGCCTAAGCAAAAGCAGGAGCGATTTCAAAAGCTTAGCCGAGAGACGACCCACCACAAATTTGGATTCCGCATCGCCGGCATGCGCGTTTTCCGCGGGTCCGAAAACCATGTTGAATTGAATTGTGACGAGTACAAGATTTACGACAAGGACTATGGGCGATACACGGTCAACGATGACAATGTGTTGGATGAACTCAAGCGATTCGTCTTCAACAAGGCTGCGGGTATTGACGAGAACCTGGGCAGGGCCATTTGCGAGGCTTTTGCCAAAGACCTTGGCGACATGGTTGAAGTCATGTCTGACCATGAATTCCACACGTTCTCGACGTCACTTCTGCTTGTGTTTGAAGGTGATGGCAAGATGCTTCGCAAAGCCATTGATGCCAACAACGAGTACGTAGACGGCGCAACCGACCCTCCGGCTACCAAGCGAATTGATAGTGGCATTTGCTTGGACGATGAGGACGAGGTTCCAGCGCTGCCGCCCGTGTTCAGGCTCAAGCTCATCGATTTCGCCCACGCTGCGTGGAAACCGGGATCGGGCACAGACGAAAATACCATCAAGGGCGTGAGAAGCTTGCAGAGACTCTTCTCAGAAATGGCGCAATGAGCCGAAGTTGAATCTTCCTCAACGACAACTTGGATTTCCATGCCAGCGCCACTGTCAGATGCAAAAAAAGAACAAGGAGCTAAAGGCCCAAGACCACTTTATTCGGTGAAGACTGGCAGAGACGACGCATTCACCAGTCCGGGAGGATCTCTGCCGACGGAAGACGGCATAGTTGTACCACTACACAGTAGAGTGTATTAGAGACAGCAGAACATGGAGGTTTGACGAGATCTGGGACTACGGCCTGGGAGTCAAACATACGGAGTTGACTTGGTTTGGGACGTCCGTATCAACTAGCCTGCGACTAGCCACGTGAGGTAGCGGATCATGGGAACCTTGAATGAATCAAGAGGGATTCTACATGACGCGTCTGCGCAGCTTTGGCAACCTACTGTGTGTGTCAATGTGTGTGTGACGCTTGTGACTGACGTCGCGACTGTGTGTGCGCCCCATATCTAATTGGACGTGTGGAGGAGTGCACAAGGCATATAGTATTCCAGGTATTCAGACTTGATTTTCATCCGTTGGGGTTTAAACAGACAGCCTACCGGCTGGGGGGTAGAGTTCTCTTGCCTCGAGGGAGGCAAAGTGAGCGTCCACGCAGCAAAGCACCCCTTGGACCGGGTTGCATTCAGTGCGCCTTGTTCTGGACAAGCTGATGCCCCTGCGACGGTAGCCAGCTTGGGGCTGTCGTGGTCGGATGCCCATGCTGACGGGCTCAACGTGGCGCGTCGGCACAGCCCCTCCCTTCCCTCCTCCGCATGATGGACTGCGCAGCCTTTTGCAGATGTTGTTTCCAGGGATGAACGCCTCGGCTGGGTGACGTGTCCGAGCTTGACGTCTTTTTTTGTTGTCACAGAAATTTTCAGCCCGAGGAAGTTGCAGGCCTTGTTTCACGATTGCCCGTGCCTTCCTAGTTGGGTTGGCTGGCTGGCTGGCTGGCCACTGTGAAACGATTTTGAATTTGAGGATGCAAATTTGAACTGGGCAACGCTTAGATGGCCCAGAATTTGGTGTTTGGTGTCAATGTGCGAAAAGTACTTGGGGCCAGTTGCAGCAGTGTACTTGGGTCGCTGCTGATGTCGATTTCTTTTTTTCTTTTTTTTTGCCGCGTACTTGATGCCATACAAACTACGCCGTCGGCACGTGCCCACATATGCAATGCCTGCAAGGTCAATCCTCAGAACGTGGAATCCTACAAATCTCGCGCAGTATTCAGTCTTGAGGGTCACGATGATGCCGTGTTACGTAATCTGCCCACTCCCCACTACGCCGCAGCCACAGGCTGTCCTTATCGATAAGGGTCTCTTTTTTTTACCCTCCGCCAGTTTGATGCCTCGACACGACGGTTTGCATGCTCTCGCAGCCTATGGTCATGGCTACGCGAACGCCGGGTAGGCATCCCAGGGTGCAAAAGCATGCCAGGTCGGATTCTCGGCAGCAGAAGCGGAAGCGCGACGAAGAGGATCTCCAAAAGCTGCAACAGGCTGTGAATGAGCTGGTACGTTGACGTCTCCCAACGCCGTGGCGTGAGGACACTGTGCTTTGTCCGCTAATCAGGGACTTTTCTCTCCCCAGGATACCAAGTCAACAGATATAAAGAATTTCTCGGACCTTCCCCTCTCGCAGGCGACAATCAGTGGACTCAAGTCGTCGCACTTCCAGACACTCACCGAGGTGCAACAACAAGCCATCCCCCTCGCCCTCAAAAACAACGATGTGCTAGGTGCCGCCAAGACAGGGAGCGGAAAGACTCTTGCATTCTTAATTCCTGTACTGGAAAAGCTTTTTCGGGCACAATGGACAGAGTTCGACGGCCTTGGGGCCCTGATCATCTCTCCCACCCGTGAGCTTGCCGTGCAGATTTTCGCGGTTCTTCGCAAGATTGGTCGGTACCATGCCTTCTCGGCGGGGTTGGTCATTGGTGGAAAGAGCTTGAAAGACGAGGCAGAACGATTGACGCGGATGAACATTCTGGTCTGTACACCTGGTCGAATGCTACAGCACCTGGACCAGACTGCCGGTTTTGACGCGAATAACCTACAAATACTGGTCCTAGATGAGGCCGATCGCATCATGGACATGGGGTTTCAATCTGCCGTTGATGCGCTGGTAGAACACTTGCCGAGGGCAAGACAAACTCTCATGTTCAGCGCGACGCAAAGCAAGAAAGTGTCCGACTTGGCAAGGTTAAGTCTCAAGGATCCCGAGTACGTCTCGGTCCATGAAGCGGCCACGAGTGCGACACCAACAAGTCTCCAACAGCACTACATCACGACCCCTTTACCCGAAAAGCTCGACACGCTGTTCGGTTTCCTGAAGTCAAATCTCAAGAGCAAAATCATTGTCTTTCTAAGCTCGGGAAAACAGGTTCGATTTGTTTACGAAAGTTTTCGTCATCTCCAACCTGGTATCCCCTTGCTACATCTTCACGGCCGACAGAGGCAGGTAGCCCGCCTCGAAATCACGTCTCGGTTCACAGCTGCCAAGCATTCGTGCCTATTCGCCACGGATGTAGTTGCTCGAGGCCTTGATTTCCCAGCCGTCGATTGGGTCATTCAGGCGGACTGCCCGGAAGACGTCGACACGTACATCCATCGCGTCGGCAGGACAGCGAGATACCAGAGCAATGGCCAAGCCGTTTTATTTCTTGATCCCAGCGAAGAGCCCGGCATGATCAGGCGCTTGGAACAAAAGAAGATCCCCATACAAAAAGTCAACGTCAGGGAAAAAAAGAAGAAAAGCATAAAGAACGACCTGCAAAATATGTGTTTCAAAAACCCGGACCTGAAATACCTCGGTCAAAAGGCCTTCATCAGCTACGCCCGCGCAATTCACCTCCAAAAGGACAAGGAAATTTTCAAACTGAACAAGCTGGACCTCGACGGTTTCGCATCCGGCCTCGGCCTCCCTGGCACTCCGCAAATCAAGTTTCGCAAAGGAGACGACATCAAGAAAATTAAAAATGCCCCCAGGGACGGCATGTCCAGCGGATCCGAATCAGACATGGACCTGGACGGCGAATACGACAAGACCGACAAGAAGGACAAGAAGAAGCCAGAAGTACGCACCAAATATGACAAAATGTTTGAGAGAAAAAACCAGGACGTCCTCTCCAGTCACTATGCTAAACTCGTCGTGGACGGCGGAGACGACTCCGGCTCTGACGACGACATCCTCTCCGTCAAGCGCCGCCTCAACGACCACGATGTCGACGCCGAAATCGACAAGGGCCACGTTTCCAACGCCAAAGTGCTCCATGGTCTTGGCGGCGACGAGCCCTACGTCATTGATTCCAAACGTCGCGAAAAGGCTCTTCAGTCCAAGACGAAAATGCTCAAGTTCAGGGGCAATCCCACGAAGCTCGTCTTTGACGACGACGGCAACTCGCACGAAATTTACGAGCTTCAACATGAAGAGGATTTCAAACGGGCCGGCCCAGCAGACGAACAGCGCCAGACTTTCATGGAGAGCGAGTCCGCAAGAGTCAAGGCGGCCGATGTCGACGACAAGCAGCTCGCCAAGCAGAAGAAGCGCGAGAAGCGCGAGAAGCGAAAGGCCAGACAGCGCGAGGGGCTGGGAGATGGTGAGGCACCCGTGTTGGCCGGCGCGGCCGATGAAGAGGATCCTCTGGCGCTGTTGAGGTCGTTGCCCACGGCTGGCGAACAGGCAGACGACGAGCCGCCGAAGAAGAAGGCAAAGAAGTGGTTTGAGAATGACGACGACGACGACGCCGACGCCGACGTCAAGGCGGAGAGCACGAACAAGGGCAAGACGTTGCAGCTTACAGGGGAGCCAGAGACATTGGAGGATCTCGAGGCCCTGGCGACGGGCTTATTGGATGGTTGAACCGTATATACCCTGTGCAAAACGACGAACATGCACCTCGGCGGACCATTGACGTCAAGTTGACCTAGCTTTTGAAAGTCAATGTTTAGAGAATGTGAATGCATGGTGAAATATTTAGCCAAGCTGTTTTTTACACGCCGGGCACTGTATGTGTATTTTCCTTTCCCACCAAGGACTAGCATGAAAAATGGAAAAAAAAAGAAAGAAGAAGAAGAAATCCAATCCCCGCGCCGTTCGCCATGCTATTCGCCCCTTGTCCTTCCGTGTGAGCAGCAGCAACTCCTCCAACTCCGTGCAGGATGACAATGCGCCGTGCAGTCGCCGGTGAGCGTCCCCCTTGCGGCTGGCACACCGTCCTAGTAGTACGAGTTTCCGCCCTCCCGGGGATCCAGATCGACGTTGAACCCGTACAGCCTCACCCTGTAGAAACACGTGTGGTTTGCCGCGCCGTAGTTGCTGACGGCTCTTACAACCACGCGGTCCGTGTGCGCTCCCAGAGCAAGCAACTCGCTGTTCAGCCTGTGCACGTGCACACCCCTGTGCAGCTCTGTGCCCTTGTACACAAACTGGGTGATCTTTACAAATTGCGACGAGAAGTCGGGCGGCGTGTAGTTCCAGTCACTCTTATCGTCGGGGAAGTAGACCGATGCAAAGTCGAGAATGCGCTCGCGGGCCTCGGGGTCGAGAATCTCGGCCCATACCTCGATGGACTTCGGCCGAGCGCCGGGCTGGGTCGTGGCGCCGGGCAGGATGTGCTCGACAACGATGTGCTGCGGGATGACGGAGTGGCGCAGCTGGACGGACAGCGTTGCCCCGTGAGGGTTGCCGCGGTGGTTGACCGAGCGGGCCGCGCACCAGCAGTCGCCTTCTTCCTGCCAGGGCTCGAGGGCTGCGATGGGCGGGAAGGCTTCCGGCCCACGCTGACCCTGCTCGTATCGTCTGCGGGTGATGGCTGCGCCTCGAGGGTCCCAGGTGGCAGACGTGAGCCGGGGGTCGACTGCGGCGCCGGCTCCCACAGCAAAGTAGTTGACTTGGTTGCGGAGGTCGTTGTCCCAGTGGCTGTGGATTTTGCCGAGAGCCACGGCCTCGAGGTTGATGTCGGCGAGGGCCTTGTCGATGAGACTGTTGACGAGGGCCGTCACGTCGGCTCGGCTCATGCCGTGAGTGAGCTCCTGGGTGGCAGCATCGATGGCTCGTTGCACCAAGCGTTCCATTTGCGGTTGTAAATCGTGAAGCTCTGCCCTGAGCTGGGACGACAGACTGGCGACTTCGTTTGTCAGGTGTCGGGTGAATTCTTCTCGAGAGACGAACCTGCCTTTCTGGCCCTCCTTCTCCTCCCGCTGAGCAAGCTGTTCACCGACAATCCTGTTCAGGCGGTCCTCGAATTCCCTTTGCGATCCAGCCGATTTGATCTGATCCACTGCTGTTCCGAGCAAATGCGCAATCTTGTCATCATTGTCTTTGACCCACTTATCCCAAAAGGTGATCATCTTGCGGCTCAACCTGTCTTCAATCCCGGATGCCGTCAGGTTGAGTTTATTTGTAAATGCTGGATCGCGAAGCAGTCGCGAGGTGATGGCGCTCCACTGTCGGTCAGACGACACGGCATACTCGCTCCCAAACTTGTCGAAAGCTAGGAAACCGCCGTCTTCGTGAATCAAATCTCGCAAGGCGTGCCAAAACTCCTCTGAAATGACTGGTCTGCCGTCTCTCAAATCCATGTGGACAATGCTCGGAAGGATTTTCTCCAACTTCTTGAGAGAAGCGTCATGAATCTTTCCCGACCGTTTTAATGTCAGGAACTCCTCCTCCATGCGACTAAGAAAGTGCTGGAGCTTGTTTCTCGATGAGTCATCATCTTCCCATAAATTTTCGAGGTCTACCCAGCGGTCTCGCTTCGGCCAAGTCACAGTTGGGATTAGGCCACTGACTCCGTATCGTAAATCGTCAAACGTTCGCAATGCCGCCTCCATGACCTGGGGGGGCCAGCCGCTGTCCGTTGATCCAGCTAGTTGAGTTGCGAAGGCAAATGCCATGACAAATGCCAGTCCTCCCGCCAGTATATGCGGCAGAAACCCAAATACTGATGATAGTTGGTCCCAAACACCAGCCGGGATAATGAAGTGAACAACTTGCATTATCCAGTCTAGTAATGCCTGGATCAACCATACAATAGCCCTTAGATAAATCATCGGGTTCAACAAGCGTAATAAAGCGAACATGCTCCGACGATTGCTGCCCGGAGCGGCGGTGTTACCGTGCTGGCTTTGCCTCCTGCCTGTGAAAGGGGTGAAGAAGGACTTTAGCCACGACCATCTCTGGTAACTGCGTTGATAAGCAGCCTCGTTTTCTTCCCTCAGTCTCTCACGGGCGACTTCTGTTTCGGCCTGGGCGATGTCTCTTTGGATGGCCGTATCTCTTTCGCTATCGTCACCTGGATATCGTCTACCCAGACTGAAAGGGCTGCTATTCACTAGAAACTTGGCCTGCGCAAACAGATTTGTTGTAGTTGCAGCCGCTCTGTCAAGCCATCGACCATCTTCCGAGCTGTTCTCTTCGGAGCCCTGATCTCGACGCTCAGGGTGGGTTCGTGGACGAGGTTCTAATTGTGCTCTGGTGGACAGTTGTGAGCGCCGGACCTGGTTCGACCTCAAGCCCTCGGTCGATCTAAGCGTACTTGCGCTGGTATTTGGAGGTTGCAATCTGGGTATAGGCTTTGGCTGTGCCTGTGCCAGCGACGGTCCACCCATCCGCGTCCTCTGTATATGGTCTCGTAGCTCTGGCTGTGAGCGTCCAGGAGCTGGGGTGTTTGTCTGGGCAATTGGTCTAGGTCCCTGATGTTCAACAAGATCGTCTTCTTCGTTTCCCTCTTGGTGCTCGTCGGTAGCGTCAGTGCCCTGCTCATTTTCCTCATCCTCTTCTTCTTCATCTTCTTCCTCCTCTTCTTGTTCAAATCGTGGTTGTTGAGCAGGCAGCTGCGGTGGCCGGCGAGGTGGTGCGCGCAATGGCGATGGTCCCACTATCTTCGCTGGCCCCTTGTAGGCGGCCTGTGGCTGTTTGACGAGGTCTACTTCTTCGTCTTCACTGATTACAGCAGGAAGTTTGTTCACTACTGAATGTGAGAGTCTCCCGTTTGCAGGGGCAGAGGCTATTGACAGTTCATCGCTCAGCTCTGGCCGTTGAGGTGGTGGGGCTCTAGGCGTCGAAGTTATCGTTGCATCACCATAGAAATCACTTTCAATGCCAAAGCTTCGCGCATCGTCGCCATCACTACCATCAGGCCTGGGGTTCCTCAGCGACAGCAGAGGGCGTGTCGCTAGTCCCGTGACGGGATTACCAGAGAGATCTACAAAGCGTTAGTATCACGTAGCTCTATCGAGGCAGGATTTCCTCACAGGAAGGCAGATGCTGTGATTGGGACAGTTGGTTCCCGGCCAATTCATCGAGTTCTGGCTGGGCAAGTTTCGGACCTTGCGGCTTTTGAGTCTTTTCCTGCCGGTCTTGGTGGTGGTCTTCTTCTTCATCATTCACGCCGGGTGCCTTGAGCACGTTTCTGACCGCACTGCCAATATCTCGAGCTTGGTTTCTTGAAAGACCATGACCAGGTCGTGACGGCATGGGCTCAACCTCCGCGCCGTACGAATACTGTCTTCTGGAGCTCGGGGTTCCCTGAAGCGGGGGGAGGTTTGGTTTTTGAAAGGTGAGCGGGTTTGAATTTGATGGTGTGTCGGGTTCTCTGACGGAGAACCGCGTCGGCCGTCTACGAACTGGACGAGGGGCCATTTGGAGTCAGATGCGGAGCAATGATAACCGTCGCAGTGGTGATGTTCAGTGGAACTGAGGCTGGAGAGAAAAGACGGCTAAGAAGCGATGGGTGAGGTTCCGAGAATTTCCAGATGTACGACGTGTATGGCGTTCATGAGATGGCAGTCAAGTGAGCTGATGTTGAGGCTCGAGGTCGAGAGTCAATCAAGTCGGCACAGCTCGCCGGGAACTCAACATAGCAACGCAGCCAAAGCCCGTGCCATGCAAGAGCAATGGCTTCGACAGATGCCTTGTTTGATGGCGGGATGATGAGAATTCAATCGTTTGAAGACCCGATCCTTGCAGGGGTTCTCTTCAACAAAGGGCATGTTGCTGTGAGGCTCCGTTACCCATGAACATGGCGCCGAGGAGCTGAGGCAGGGTTCACAGGACTCGGAGCGAGTAGACCAAGAAGGGGCGAATTTGCCGCAGTCTGTCCTCTAGGCAGAGAACCAATGATTTGGACGGCAACTTGGGGTCATGAAAAGGCTAAAAAGCATATAAATTGATGTTTTTGCCGTTGCGAATTTGGTGTTGCAGGGTTGTCGCCGTTGTTTTCGTTGACGGCGGCTGTTGCTCTAAACGCGCCTCCAGACTAGCGGCGTGTCGCGCCCGAAGCTTATCCGGCGCATACAGAGCACGATGCGGCGTGAGATCACGTGATACAGATAGAAGCAAAGTGATGGGATACATGCACAGTCACGTGGGCTGCGATGTTGTGTCACATAACTTGGCTCATGCACACGATGTCCTCGTACGGAGTACTGGTGATTGATATACTCATGACTCGATGTTGTATTGCTGGTCGTGAGAGCTATGCGAAGCCTTTGAATGTGGGGTGGGGGTAATAAAAGCCATTGACAGCTCGGCTAGTCGAGGAGCTGAAGTACTTACGTACTCAAAGTGCTGGTACTCCGTGCTCAGGCATTTGGCGTCCGGCGGAGCCAATAAATGCTCAGCCGCGAACACGAACCGCGATGTTACTCAGGGGCCAGGCCAGGGCGAGACGGCGCTATCACACAAGGAGGCCTGGGAATCGCTTGGAAGGCTTGCAGCAGCTCTCCGCACTCCCAGGCACCGTTGTCGTTTTTATTCAATGGTTGTCCTGCTCTTTGCCGCAAGGGTAGCGGTGGGCCCACCGTCCGCCCACGTGTGGCGCTCGCCATTTGCTTGTCACCTCAACAAATGACCGTTTTGGTTTTGCGAGGTGCCATGGGTTTGTTTGATAGACACTGCAGCCTCCCGTCTCCCGTCTCCCGTCTCCCCGTCTCCTTTATAAGTAACCAGAAGATCAGCTTCATTTTGCACCACATCTTTTCATCCCGTCGTTCTTCGACGCTTTCATCCAAGGTGCACTCCCCGAGCACTTGCTTTGGCCTTCTGAATCCCCACTCTTGTCGTCTCCCTCTTCACTCCACCTGTGCCGCACCCGCATCAATTCCCCGGTGCTGCCCCTCACTGGACTTTCTCGTCAGATATCCGCACCCGCAGAGCCGCTCCCGACTTTTGTCGAGGGTCGACAGAGCTCTCTCCGTTCAACCGTTCTCCCAGCCGTCAAATCTGTCACGATGCCTGTCGGAACTGTCCTCGTCACCGGGTAAGCCACGTCAGCCCGAAATCGCCAACATTTTGGCTGCCCGAGCCCGCCCAGGGGAACCGTCGTCAAGTCACGACCACCAGGGCCGCCCTTGACCTAGGATGCCCACGGCATCCGCCTCGATTCAAGACCGGTCAGCTAACTTGATACTGTTTTTTCGCACCCTGCAGTGGCACCGGCTACATTGGCTCCTTCACCACCTTGACCTTGCTCGAGAACGGCTATGATGTCGTCATCGTCGACAACCTGTACAACTCCTCCGAGGTCGTCATTGACCGCATCGAAAAGCTCTGCGGCCGCCGCCCCGAGCTCTACAAGGTTGACATCACCAATGAAAAGGCCCTCGACGACGTCTTCGCCAAGCACCCTTCCATTGACAGCGTCATTCACTTTGCTGCTCTCAAGGTAAACGCTACTTCCGGCGCCAAATGGCACCCAGCCGCTTTGCGTTCTCGGGGCAAACAACTGACCAACTCCAGGCTGTCGGCGAGTCTGGCGAGATCCCACTCGAGTACTACCGTGTCAATGTCGGCGGCAGCATTGCCCTTCTCCGCTCCATGGAGCGGAACAACGTCACCAACATTGTCTTTTCTTCGTCGGCTACCGTCTACGGCGACGCTACCCGATTCCCCAACATGATTCCCATTCCCGAGCACTGCCCGATCGGCCCTACCAACACCTATGGCCGCACCAAGTCTATGATCGAGGATGTCGTCAAGGACTGCGTCAATGCGCAGAGGAGCAACCTAAAGAAGGCCGGAAAGCCTTTTGAGCAGTGGAACGGCGCCTTGCTGCGATACTTTAACCCTTGCGGCGCCCACCCCAGCGGTATCATGGGCGAGGATCCCCAGGGTGTTCCGTACAACCTGCTGCCGCTTCTGGGCCAGGTCGCCACAGGCAAACGCGAGAAGCTTCTCGTCTTTGGCGATGGTACGTTGTGAAGCATGCACTGCAAAGCCGCACCGCAAACTCTCCCACTGATAATATCTAGACTATCCGTCCCGTGACGGCACCGCCATCCGCGACTACATCCACGTCATCGACCTCGCCCGCGGCCATCTTGCTGCCCTCAAGTACCTCCGCGAAAACAAGCCCGGTGTCAAAGAGTGGAACCTGGGCTCTGGCAGAGGCAGTACTGTCTTCGAAATGATCAAGGCATTCAGCGCCGTGGTATTTGGGCCAGACAGCGGCAAACAGCTAGAGCACGAGATTGTCGCCCGCCGACAGGGCGATGTCCTCGATCTCACGGCCAACCCAACCCTCGCCAACAAGGAGCTCAACTGGAAAACGGAGCTTGGTATGGAGAAGGCATGCGAGGATCTATGGAGGTGGGTCAAGAACAACCCTGAGGGGTATCGTCAGCAGCCCCCGGCCGAGCTGCTGGCTGCCATCAAGACATCTTGTCCTTCTTGAAGCGTCTTTTGGATAAAATGAGGAAATGGATGGGATTACAAGACGGATATCCTCACGATAGATGACCCCAGTTTGAGACCGCATGTAAGCTGGACATGATGTGTAAAATTGAAGTAAAAGTTCCAATTCGGTTGATACACGGCTCCTCGTGATTTTTGTGTCGTTTTCCCTCTTACCTTGGCACCCAGTTCTCTCACTCGACACTTAGGAGAAGCTTGCCCTTGGTCTTTCGACTCACAAGATCAGAGTGAGCACGCCCCGCTTCCTTCAAGGGGTAAACGTCATGAATGGCAATCTTGACCTGGCCGGAGGCCACCATGTCCAACAGCTCGGCGGAATACTTCTCCAAGTCCTTTCTCTCGGAGACGTAGCCGTAGACCTTTGGCCGCACCAGCCTGACATTTTTGTCCGCGAGTCGAAGGATGCTGAAATCGGGAACCGGGCCCGACTACCCAAGTCACACACATACATGCACACGTTAGCCATTCCCATCAAGCAAAGGCCGAGCGAGAGAGTCCCAGCCCGCGGGCCTGCGGGAAGGCTCCCACTTACCGCGTTGCCAAAGGACACGAGGTTCCCCTTCAAGGCGATCATGCGCAAGTCGGCGTCAAACGTGGCGGCGCCGACGCCGTCAAAGATGGCGTCCACGCCGTGCCCGCCCGTGATCTGCTCCACCCTGGCGGCCACGTCGTCGTTGGAGTTGACTGTCCACTGGGCGCCGAGCGTCCGGGCCAGGTCCAGCTTCTCCTGCGTGCTCGCGGCGGCAATGACCTTTGCGCCGACGCTCTTGAGCATCTGGACGAGCAGCTGGCCGACACCGCCGGCGGCGGCGTGCACCAGCGTCCACTGGCCGGGCTGCACGTCGGCGGCTTCCCGGATGAAGGTCCACGCCGTGAGGCCTTGCAGGAACACGGCGGCGGCTTGCTCCGTCGTCAGACCGGCCGGGAGGGCGATGACGCTGGATGCCGGGACGGCTGTGTACTGCGCGTAGGCCTGGGAGCCCATGTAGACGACTTTGGTGCCGGGCGGGAAGCCCGTCACGTCCTTGTGGTGGGAGACGACCTCGCCGGCGGCCTCGTTGCCGAGGACGGCGGGCAGGCTGAGCTTGTAGAGGCCGCTGCGGAAGTAGGTGTCGATGAAGTTTACGCCTGCGAATTCGTTCCTGACGAGGACCTGGCCCTCTTTGGGGGTGGGCACCGGCACGTCCTTGTAGTCGAGGACGTCGATGCCGCCGGTTTTGGAGATTTCCACGGCCTTCATGGTGGTTGGGATGGGAGCCATGGTGGGCGGTTCCGGAGCACGCTGGGCTTGGGAGTATGGGCAGGTTTTCGGCGCGGATGGGTGAGGCAGGAAGGATGATAGTCGCCGGCGATGGTGATGGTGGGTATGAGTCGACGCCTGGGTTGACGTGATGATGGCGGGGGTTTGACGGCCCGCTGCGGATCCGAGGCCCGGCTAATTGCTATGATGATGGGAGAAGCAATGGACGAGGCGGGGTCTATTCAGGGTGTGAAGCGGCATGAAAGTTAATTCGTTCGCGGATTGGCGGTGGGTGTCGATTATATACCCTGCACGTCCAGATGCTTTGCATGAGGGGACCTCGAGGAAACCCAAGTTAGTTTCGCCGAGCCGTGGACATTGGTAAGCCAAGCTCGATTTCCGACGGTAGCCAGGTGGGCAAATACTCGGGACCTGGAGGCTACTACTTGGTACTTACCTAGGTACTGCTTGGAAGGACAATGCAGCTCATGATACTGGCGATGGATAGTTAACGCCTTGATTGGCAGCGCTTTTTCTTTTTGCTGGCGATTCGGCCTGGGAGTCAGCAGCGGTGGCGTGTAGTCAAATCAGTTTGCTGCTCGATGCGCCTCCGTTCGTTGCTCTTGTATGTCTGGACTCTGCACACTCTGCACACTCACCAGATCCGAGGTTGCAAGACCAACATATCGCCTGGCAGAACCTTTGAAGACGCTGTGGTTTCTCACAGTCACCTAGACGAAAAACTCCCGGATCGCCTTGGCCACTTCGTAAGGCGCCTCCTCTGGGATGTAGTGCCCGCTATCGACACCATAGCCCTCCACCACGACTCCCTCATCCGCAACCTTGCGCCACTCCGCCGTCGCATCAAAGCATTTCCCTACAATGCCCCTTTTCGCCCAAATTATCCTCACGGGAGACTTGATCAACCTTCCCTCTTTTAAATCCGCCTTCTGCTCATCCAAGTCCAATGTCGCAGCAGCCCTATAGTCATTGCACATGGCATGCACCGTGTCCTCATCCTCGAACAGCTTCACGTACTCCTCATAGCACGCCTCGTCAAAGATGTCCGGTCGGCTCCCATTCCTACCACCCATGTACAGCTCTGCAAACCTGCGCGGTGTAGCGGATATCAGCGCCTCCGGTAGCGGCGCGGGCTGGATCAAGAAGAACCAGTGGAAATACGCAGTCGCGAAATATTGAGTGGTGGCTTCGTACATGGAGAGCGTGGGGCAAATGTCGAGGAGGATAGCTCTGCGTACGTGGCTAGGATAATCGACGAGTAGCTTGTGGGCGACCCTGGCGCCGCGATCGTGTGCGCACACGAAGAATGTCTGGTGGTTGAGTTGGTTCATGAGGGCTATCATGTCCTTTGCCATGGCGGACTTGGCGTAGGCCGCTATGGAGGACGGTTTGGACGATTCGCCATAGCCGCGAAGGTCAGGGATGATGAGGTTGTATGTGGTGGTGAGCTGAGGGGCGATGCGGTGCCATATGTGACGGGTTTGCGGGAAACCATGGAGGAGGAGGAGTGGGGGAAGGGCTGATTCCGGCGACGTTTGAAGACCTTTGAGGGTGACGGGGGGATCGGCTGAAGTACTGATGGAGAAGGTGATGAGCCCGTCGAACATGGTGAGGTAGTTCAGAGCTGGTAGACCTTTTTGATGAAGCTGGGGAAGTGAGCTTCCGAGTTGGTGGCGGCGTTGCTGTTGATGTCATCCATCACTGATGACCAAGGAAGTTGGGAGTCCGGTGTGCGGGTCAATTTTCATAGCTCTATGAGACATGAAACAGGCACTGGAAAGGAGCACTTGTCTCGGCGAAGGTGAGCATCTGAGGCGGAGCTAGAAAGACGAGTAGGCTGTTTGGCTCGCAATCCCGTTGCGTTGACGCCATGGTTTCCACCTCCATGGAGCACAAGCCACAGCATCGTAGCACCAGCGACCGGAGTTTCTTTGTACCTTTCTCTTTTGCAGGCCTTTATCGATGTAAGACATGGCACGTCAAACCTGGTAGCGATTTGCATTTCAAACGGGTAACAAAGTTAGGCGATACATGTACTAGGTTGGGTTTCTCACTCCTATGCCGAGCGAAGATCGGCACTCGGCAATAACTCGGATTCGCTGGATGAGTCTGCGCCATGTTCTATTAAAAACAGAATTTGCGAAGCAATGGCGAGAGGTTTGCTGGAGGGCGCCGATGGGGCGGGTTTTGGAGGCTGTGCATGGAGGCCGCGACAGCACCTCACTAAAACCACCAATGAACGATCTTGCCATCAGCTCTCGGTGCTTTGGCGCAAGAGAATACTGGTCTTTGGATGATTCAATGCGCAAAGACAAGGATAAGAAGTGTGTAGCTCGGGATGGTGTGGAGCTGGAAAGAGTTGGCGTCGTCGCGGCAGTTGTTGTCTGATGAAGTTTCTGGCTGAATGTCCGCAGCAAAATACCAAGGTAGTCCAGATCGACTCGATGTGGCGCGACTCGGCGAGGCATGTCCAAAATTAGCAGTCCTCGTGCGTTTCTTGGTATAATACGGAGTAGTTATATGATGTCTGAAGGTCCTTGACTCGTTGTGGACGACACGCGAAGGTGAAACCGAAAGCGAGCGCGAGGCGGAATTGTGGCAGGGAGGGTGCCCACTTTGCAGGGTGGCTGCAGCACAAATTCATAACGGCACAAGTGGGCGTCATCTTATGCATCTAGCCTCGGTCGTGGGATACAGCTGTGCGATAGGTACTAGGTACTTAAGCCAGCTGCTGTCAAAAGGCTCTTCATCGCCTGGTACCTATCAAGATTACTCCGTAGACTCGCATTGTCTCTCACGATTACCGGCCCAACTGCCAAGGTGGTAATACCTAAGTACCGTAGTAGGTACCTAGGAAGATATGCCAAGCCCTTTCTCCTTCCCTTTTTGAATCCGACATCTCCCAGCTTTTCATGGTCGACTCGGCACATTTGAAGCTACATCCAATGCAGTCCTCACGCGCGCAATGCCATTTCCAACGCCAAACGATTGTCAGCGGCGCATTATCCAGCTCTCGCAAGAATGGGCAGTTGACCTGCCGCCGGCCACGGCACCTCTCGCGAGACCACAGAACTCGCCCTCCTTTTGGACACCAAAAGATGACGAAATAGCCGAGGGCCTCATGCAACGACGAGCGTCTGAGCTCTCGCAGCTTCGGCGCCAAAGCACTTTGAGCAAGGCATTTTCCTCCAACAATTTGAAGAAAGGCAAAACCTGGGATCCCCACGAGGTGCTTGAGGTGCTCTCGGTGTGGATAGCCAACTCGGGGTCACCCGGCGTCGCAGAGGCGCTGATATCGAAGCTATCTGCGGCAGGCGTCGTGTTGAGTGGAAATCAAACAAAGCAAAAAAGCAGTATCCTGAACCGGAAAAAAAGCGTCGATACCTTTGTTAATCGCTCGAAATTCTTAAAGCTTGCTGTCGAAGGCAATCAGTATGACATGTTGCAGGTCTTACTCCCCCACGCTGACGGATTCTCTATCGACCAGGCGCTTGCTCCGGCTATTCGATCTGGAAACATACGAATTGCTGAGTTGCTATTAAAATATGGAGCCCGCGCTTCACAGACCCCTGAGGGCCAGGACGCTTTTCGTCAAGCTTGTGCCGTCCAGAGCCAGGCGCACATGATCGGGTTATTATTGCGTTCGGAAAGCCGACCGAACACGGCGTGGATATCAGCCTGTATGTGTGATGCAGCACGATCAGCTTGTCTGGGAACTGTGCTGCATCTTAGCAGGTCGACAGCGGACGGCAACCACAACGAGGCCCAAGCCTTGAAGTCGGCTATAGCCCTAGGACGACAAGATATCGCTCTAGCGATAATCATGGGCAATATCCCACCGTATGGTCCTGGGCTAGATGAAGCGTTCCAGATGCTTTACCAGCATCCATCCATCATCCCAGCGACGAAACTTGCCATGGCGGAGTTGCTTCTTTGCGCAGGCGCGCAGGGCGACGTGTTGTCACAGGCACTGGAGAGCGCATGCGAAACACAGTTCTACGACATGGCAAATCTATTGTCCAGGTACGGAGCATCGATAGAATACAAAGATGCTATCGTGCTTAAGACGGCGATTGCTCGTGGTGAACTGGACCTGGTGACCTCTCTGCTGACCGATTCGGCCAAGTTAAGCCCTGCTTTGGCCTCCAGTTGTGTGCCGCTGATTGCGAAGCATGCGCCGTTTGAAACTCGAGCCACGGTGCTTGGTCTGCTCTTGCGGAAAGGCGCAAACGGAACCGCATTAGACGACATGCTCATCGACGCGGCTGAAGCGGGCGACCTAAAATCCGCTGGCTTGTTGCTAAACCCAGTTGATCCAGAGACCGCTCCCGTCACCCCGGACGATTCGGATTATACCCGACTCTCAAACGGGAGACCACACCATTCAGCAGCCTCCGTGGACCATCAATCTGGCCAAGCCTTGCGAACCGCAGTGTTACGTGCCGACGCGCCTATGACGGATAAGATTCTTTCAGTCCAGCCTACAGCTGAAACCTTGTCGATTGTCTTCCCCATGACGAAGAAGTTGTCGCCTAAAGACCGCTATCGAATCGCTCAATTATTTTTGAAGAGACCATTACCCGGCCCTTTTCTCCACGCAGCTTTGCATGATGCAATTAGTGAAGATGCTTCACAACGAGACAACTCCTTTATCAAGCTGCTGTTGGAGCACAATGCCGACATCAACTTTGGTCACGGCTCAGGACTCGCGGCTCTTATTAAACAAAAGGATATCAGTCTTTTGGGGTCACTTTTGCAGAAAGCATCGCCGCAAACCGCCGCTTCTCGTGTTATGGATGTCACGGAAGTGTCAGACCACAGGGAGCGTTTTGAGATGACGTCAATGCTGATTGACGCGGGTGCTGCAATCGGGACTCAGCAAATTGCCACCGCACTGTTGCAAACCCTTTGCGAGAAGCCTGTCGACATGTCCCTGTTACGATTGTTACTGCAAAAAGGAGGCGCTGACGTTAATCTGCTCGAAGGTGCAATAGCCAAAACGGCTGTTTCGAATCCAGATCCGAAGGTCCTGGATATGGTCTTTGCATACAGCAGACCATCCGCAGCAACGGTGACCTGTGCATTCAATGAATTAGCTCCGCTTCCACCTACGGACACCAAGGCTTGGAAGCTGCGTGCCATTCTGTCCAAGTCAAAGCAGAAGGAAGACTTGAGCCGGGCGTTAGTACACGAAGTCCATTTATTACTGCAGATGAACAATGACAAGGCGTCATTGTCGACATTGAAGATTCTGCTAGACAGTGGAGCAGATCCCAATGCCTGCGAAGCTGCAGCCCTTTGCCATGCCATCGCTGGTGCAAACGTCAAAATTTCCGACATGGTATTGGAATCCAAAACACCCCCTTCTGCTGCTGCATTGGGTGCAGCGCTTCCACATGCACTTCGAATCACTGACCCTATGAAGAGATTGACGCTCACTAAACAACTTGTGAACGCTGGTGCCCATCCTCTCGAGGTCAACAGAGCTTTGATTCATGCCATCACGATTTATCCCAAGGATGCATCGCTGCAGAACACTTTGGTGGCCGCTGCCGATACGTCAAACGGTGAGGCGCTGTCACTATCAATCTCAAAGGAACTACCGGAGACTATGGATCTGCTGCTGTCAAAGTCACAGTCTTCTCTGGAAACCCGAAGTATCATGCTTGCCAAGGCCATGAAGGCTAAAAACCAAACAGCAAGACATGACATGTGTAAGGGTCTGTTGACACTTGGGGTGTCAACCGCCACAGCATCAAGTGCTCTATTGGTAGCAGCCAGGGACGGGGATGTTAAACTCGGAGACTTGCTCATGTCTCACGGCGCGAGCATCGCAACGAACAACGGTCAAGCTATTGTGGAGGCCTGTCGTGGAGGTTCGGCCGACGTTTTAAGTGTGCTCTTGAAACAAGATGGGCCCGTGGAAAAGAGTACGCTAGATGCTGCTTTTCAGGCTGCCACAGAGCTTGGGGATCTAGGCAAGCGCGCTGTCGTCCTTGAACAGTTGCTAAAGAAGGATTTGTCGGGCGACTTGGTGGATGCTCAACTCCAGCCTGCGGCTCGATATGGCGAGGACGGGCAAGCGCTATTGCGAGTGCTGCTCATTGCTGGCGCGGACCCGAACTTTGATAATGGTGAGTGTGTTGTTGCGGCCACCAGAAGCGCCTTCATTGGCAGTCTAGAATTGCTTCTAGGTCTTTTGGAAGAAGGGAGCAACCAGGCATGTAGGCATGTTTCTGATCATGACGCTGCCTTTGCTAACCGTGTCACAGAAAAAGGCTTCTCAGGCCACACTATCAAGATCGCTCAAAGCGTGCTGGAACCTAGGTCGTGACAGCCGATTCAAAGTTGTTAATAATCTCGTGAACGCAGGCTTGCAGCCCACAGACGACATGCACATCGCACTGAATGAAGCAATTAATGAAGATGATCCCGAGGACCGGCTTGTCAGACTCTTGCTCAATCACGGCGCATCACCAGCGGCCAATGGTTACAAAACCTTTGTGGATGCAGCGAAAAACTCGGCTTCATCGTCCCTGGCACTGCTCCTAGAAAAGAACCTGCCACAAGAAGATATAGGCCGTGCTTTCAATCACGCATTCACTAGTGAGACCTTTGCCAAGTGGTTCACCGACCGTGGGTACGAGACGGCCAAAATCCTGCTGGACAAGGGGGCCCACGGCGAATCCCTGAGCGTTGCATTAGTTCTTGTAATGAAGAACTCTTCAGTTGATACTGAGATATTAGCGAACCATTTTGTGACGTTGCTGATCAAGCACGGGGCAGACGTGAATTACCACGACGGCGAGCCACTTCAACAAGCGGCCTCAAAAGCAAACGTTTCATGGACAAAGCAGCTTCTAGAATGTCGACCAACTATTGCGACATTGTCACTGGCGTTTCAGTGCATCTTTGATACGGCATTATCACAAGATCACGTGCTTGAATTATTTAAAATGTTTGCGGAGTACAGTGACGAGGATGTCAGAATTGATGTTTCGGGCTGGCAGCACGGGTCGGAGCCCGTTCTTGTACGAGCTATTTCGCAATATCCGAGGTCAACTATTATTCTCGAAACTTTGCTCGATGCAGGTCTCTACTATGATCAAGCTACTACGTACAAGATTCATTCTGATATCGAAGAGGAAGAGGTCATGACACTTCTGACATGGGCTATTTCACAACCCTAGAAGCGAGTCAGCACCTCTGTGATCGAGCTGTTGCTTGCTCGTGGCGGTAAGGAGGACCCTACACAGCAAACAACGACACCCTTGTGACTGACAATGAGCATATGTAGCCAAAGTAAATGCGGAGACAAGCCTATCTCGTACCACACCGCTCATGCTTGCAATTCAGACCCGACGACCTGACCTCGCCAAGATCCTTCTCCTTCAAGGTGCAGAAGTCGACAGCCTAGACTACTTGGGAAGAACCCCGTTATCCATGGCCACCGACATGGGAGGCCATATATCGGCACAGATCCTGCCACTCCTCCTCGCCGCTGACCCAGCTAGGGACGATGGCTCCCTTCACAACGCCGCTCGTGACCTCAACTTGCCTGCTGTCAAGATCCTCGTCCAGTCTGGCCATGATCCTGATTTCCCCAGCCCTTTGCACGAGGGACGCAGTGCTCTCGCGGAACTATGTCTGCATGGGTCAGATAAAGGTGAAATGAGCGCCGATCACGAACGCACCATGCAAAAAGTCATGACATTCCTTATCGACAATAAATCGGATCTATCGATAAAAGCGAACGACATGACTCTCTTGCAGTTGTGTTTTGAAGCGTCTGACCCCGTTGTCACGACACGATGTTTCCTCAAATCAGGCATGTGGAAGCTCATCAACAAGCCCTTCAACTTTTACACCCGCGAAGGATACACATACTCCCCCACCATGTATATCAAGAAATTTCTCCCACAAACGGACTTATCCGATACCCTTCTCAAGATCCTCAAGGCCAACCGCGCCAACGATGTCTACTACGCCATTTCTGGAGCACAGCCACCTGACGCGGTTGGACTCCCTGAAGACATGGCTGTCCAGGAACGCGCCCGCAAAGCCCGTCTCGAACGTCTCGCAGAAGAAACAGAAGACTTTTCCGCATCTATGGCTCGGAAGCGGGAAATCGCCTCTGTTGAGCAGCAAATCCTCGCCCAAAAGGCGGAAATGGAGGACCTGCGCCGTCGCAAGCTACACAACGAAGATGTAGCGGCGGTACGATCGAGAGCCCAACTAGAAGAATCACTAGCCAGTGCTGCCCATACACGCAGACTGCAAGAGCATCATTCACTTGCGGAATCATCCATCTCACATAGTAGGGCGCTTGCTGCTTCAGAGCTGGAGGCCGAAGAGGCAAGGCAGAGGAAGGCGCTAGAGTGGGAGACGAGGCTGAACACGGAGAGAGTAAATAATGCGCGGGCACAGAGTTCGATTAGAATCAGTGAGAGGCAAGAGGTTGAAAAGATTGATAAGAGTGCCGATGTGAGGATAAAGGGACGTTTGGAGGCGCAGAAGAAGCTGGTGGAGAGCCAGGAGAAGTTGGCCAAGAGATTGGCTGATGGACCAGGTGGCAGTATCAACGATCCGAGGAGACAAATTGGTTATGTGACGGAGTTGAATTGATTGTATAGAAGTTGGGCATGTGGAGTTTGTTGCGCATGTGGAGTTTAGGATTTGGGAGGGTTGACATGACGATACATGACGAATGACTTGAATACCAACATGAGCGTCGGGCAACAACACCCTTGAAATACCCCATCTTGAGTCCATACGCCTCCGTCATGTGTAGGCAATACGCCTCCTTCATGTGTAGGCAATACGCCTCCGTCATGTGTAGGCAACACGTTTCGCTCGGTGTTGTATCTGGATCAATAGGGCGACGCCATCAGCACCTTGTCAAAGTATGGTCAACGATGGTGTTTTTAACCGTGACATTGCTCAGATTGATGGGGATTCTCGACGGTCTAGAGTGAAATTTTATTGAGCCAGTGATCGCTACGAACTTGTGAGCCATGTTCTCCCAGTTGGTTCGACTTGTAGTCACCTCCTAGCTAGTCCTGAGTATACGTTTCGTGCGACCTTGGTTTGTGTCACGCCACGCTCCTTATATCCTATGCGACACTTTGACCATGCCGCGACCACAATCAGATCTTCTACTCCGTATCCCCTCGAGTCTTTTCGAAGAGCTCCATGCTATCCTTGTAGTTTAGCAACTTTGGCGTGTGGCCATCGTCCTGCAGGGCATGGTCTACCTCCTCGCTCTTCACCTTCTGGAGCGCGGAAACCCGGGCATCCGTCGCTGCTGATGTGAAAATGCGGACGACGTAGCATTTCTTCGTCTGTCCGATGCGGCTGGTGCGACCTGCCGCCTGAAGCTCAGTCGTTGTGTTCCACCAGGGGTCGACGATGATGATTCGATTGGCGCAGGTAAGATTGAGTGATTGTCCGCCGGACTTGATGCCCGCGAGCTACGTTGCTGGGTGTTAGCATCAGGAGAAGCAGTCCGAATCGGCAAGAGTTGTGACCTACAAAAACCTTTGTGCTTGCAGAATTGTTGAAGGCCTGAATAGCTCTGGTCTTGTTCTTGCAATTCATGTGTCCGAAATAGTACACGAACCCGATCTGGGCATGCTTGAGCATACTCCCGAGCACTTTGGCCGTAATGACGTTTTCGATAAACACTATTTTCGAGGGTATCAGTGCCATGTTTCGTCTTGTGATGCATGCTCGGGGACCGTGTTACCGATGATCTTGTCCTCGGGGAAGTCGGATTGCCAGCTCAGTAATACAGTCATTGCAGTCGTCAATCGAGAGCTTGGCACCATTGAAGAATCTTGCAGGACGGAGCTAAAGATGAAGAAGCCAATTTGGTCCCTTTCTCGGAATAGAGTGACCCCGTTGTCATCGGTATCCGGGGGACGATAATCCTTAATTGCTAGTGCCGAAATTACGATGGACGACATCGTACGTTCATTTCGAGCACGATGTACCGATGCAGTACATTTGCTAGCAACACACCTCTGTTTCAAAATAAGATGCAATCCACAGCTTTTTCTGACATGCTTGACTTACGTAGGAACTTGCGGCGTCTGTCCCGAGGGGAATTTCGGATTGCATCACTTCCATGAAACAAGAGCCACAGTAGATGTGGTTGCACTGAATCGTTAGCACATGCTTTTTGGGCGACTCGACTAGTTCCAAGGCTCACTGTACCTCCGGTATTCTCCTTGGCATTGTCGGGTTGGATGCCAGGCACTTGATGCACCAACTGTCCCTGATGCGCAGTTCTGTCTGAATGGCTGCAAGGTGTTCGTCGAACTCAAAGAGACCTCCGAACGTGGCCTTGTTGAATTTTCCCATCTGGTCAAGCCCCGATTGATAGCGCATAAGACTTAACTTTGCGTCACTTTCAGAGAGAATCTGTTGAAGAATTGTTTGGCGGCCCCCAACGGCTTGTATCCTGCTGCGAAGGTCCTGGATTTGGCATTCCTCCTCCAGCTGGTGTAACAGTCTCTCAATGTTGTATGGATGTGAAATCAGACGTCTCATGTCCACACTCTTTCTTTTTCGCTTCTCTTCTTCCTGTTCAGTCTTGCTACTACCTGCCGATGGGGGCATTTCGGTCTCGCCTTGTCCCTCGGGGAAGCTTGAGCACAACTCTCTCACAAATCTAGTAGATTAGTCGGTTAACTTCTCAACGAAACTGAGACAGAATTGAACCATACATATAGATGGCTTGCTCTTCATCTGCCAGTGGAACCCAGATATTGTGTGTCTCGCAGCCGGGAATAGGGAGGATTTGGTGACTGAGGAACGTGTCACGTTTAGTTCTGACAATTTGTTAGTGTATATCGCACGCACAAACAATCAAGTCTCTCACCTTCGGTACATAAAAGTAGAAATGAGTGCCTCAAGTTTTGCATTTGCCTTATTCTAAAGGTACACCATGTTAGTATTCCCGGAAGGGCTGGGTGAGCGCTTCTCTTCACCTGGTCCATGTACTCCCTGCGAAAAGCCTTCTTGCCGGCTTCTTCTATTTTGAGTCCGATGAACTGCAGATACGGTATCATTTCTGATGACATACTTAGTGATTCGAACTCTCCGACAGAGCAGACTGGATTTGCCTTACCATCGGCAGCGTTCGAGAGTGGTGTTCCAGTCAGGGCCCAGCGGTGTTTCGCACGTAAAGTACACATAGATTGCTTGGCTGTGCGGGTGTTAACATTCGCGCGTGCGTATACATGAAAACGAAGCCTTACTGAGACTCTTCAAGTTCTTGATGCTGTGCGCCTCGTCTAATATAATTCTGTACCAATTCAAACCAAGTATTTCTTCTTGATCCAGCTTGTCTTTCTTATGCCTTTGGAAATAGTCTTTGACTTCCTTCGTTGTCGTAATCCTTGATGCCAGTTAGCATAGGTACAGTAAAGCTAGAGTATAGTTCTTGTCTCGCCCCGATGGATGACTTACACCATCTTTAGGCTACCGCATATTGCGGCTGACAGTGAGCTGGCTTTGAAGTAATAAAACGAGACAAGACCTCTGACGCTGTCACTGCAATGCTTCTTGACCTCTTTCATCCACTGGTCTGCAATGATTTTGCTCGGGACAATGACCAATGTACCCGAGATATAAGTCGTCAAATCCTCAGCTTCTGGGGGGTTCCCTACGACGCAAGCCAGGCTCGTTATGGTTTTACCCATGCCCATTTCATCGGCAATCAGCCCTCCAAAAGGGCCGGCTCTTGCGCATTCTCTTTTCACCATCCAAGCTGCCGCGGTTATTTGATGCCCGTGGAGCGCGGTTTCCATCCCCTTCAGCAACCACTTCCCGTCAATTGCCTTCACTTTCTTGTACCCAAACAACCTCGCTGCTTCCTTTAGATCCCGTCTCTGCGTCCGAGTTCGACGCGTGTCTGCATCTTTTGGAATCATGTCTCTTAGTTTCGCAAACTGCTTTCGGTGCGTACTGGCATCAATATCGGGCATTGCCGGGGCGAGCGGCTCAGCATCAACAAATCCACCCGCTATGCCTTGTGGGAGATGGACAAATAGATCCGACTCGGAGCTAACATTTGTAGTTTTCGGTCGTTTGAATGGATTTCCACTGGCAGTCCCCCCCTTTCGTTTGCCTTGTTTGTGTCCGCTCTTTTGCTTCTGTTGAGCCGCCCCATCTTGTTTCTTGTGAAGCCTAGCAATGAACTCACGAGCGTTTTTTGCCGGCGGGGGTCGCCCTTGAGAGGGTTTCTCGGTTGCAGCCTTGGTACTTTTCTTTGTATCCTTATCCTCATCTTCTGGACATTCGAAATCACTGTCGTCTTCGTCTTCCTTCTCAGTGTCGCTAGACTCTTGGCTGTCGTCGTCATTTTCCGCGCTCTGGGGTCGTACATGTGCAGTAAGTGCGTGTCTCGGGGGCTGGCCTAGGCCACTGCTGTATTGAGAATCCTCTGCGAATAGTTCCTGAACTATGTTTCCTCCGTTTGACTCTCTCGCTATGTCTGGTTCTTTCTTTACCTGTACCCGATCCATACCTTGTTCTTCCTTTGTGTTTTGGGGGTTGTTCTCCAAGCATGTTGTAACTTCGCTGTCCATTTGAGCATCGTTGAAGTCGATTTTCGAACCGGATGGTTGAAGAGCGAATTCCTTTTCATAGAAATGAGCATAACCGCAAAACGATTCAGATCTCTGAGTAGATGAAAACTTACCACAAGTACCGCGGCCGCCACAGCGTCGGCTTCTACTTTTACTCTCTTACCGTCCTCCGCCATCGTGATCAGCCCAAGAATCCCGAGAGAAACCCCAATTCAGTAAAGATGCTAGAAAAAGCAGAAAAAGCCCGGCCTCATACGGGGTATCAACTATAACACCGTTTCCAAAACACGTCACCCAGTGTATCCTGAGGCCAGTCAAGATGGCGAGCTCTGATCGAGGCCACGAGGTAGCATGTTTGAGTTGTGGAAGGCTGCGTTGAACTTCTTCATTAAATAGAAGTGGTCATGCCAGATGTCAGAAGTTGGAACACCTGGCAACTCCTGGCAACACCTGGCAACTCCTGTCAACTTTGTTTGCCCGAGTGCCTGAGTGCCAAGGAAGCATCTGAAAAGTCTGCGAAAAGATATTATTCAGAATCTAAATAGCAACTACCTAGTTGACGCGAACTGGTCTCTGGGTTTTGACGACATTAATATTTTGCGCCAAAGCCACGAAAAAAATACAGCTGCCTCTTGCTGCTCAAGCATATTTCAAAGTTGGAAACAAGCCCAATCGTACGTGAGATTCGTGATCTCTGGTCCCCCGTCCAGTATACCTACTTGGGTAGATATGCGCGTAGCAACAGTTGAGTCTACCAGGTCGACATGATTGACATTCTAATGGGAAGAACATATCTGTAGGGTAGGCATCTTGCCTCGGCCCCCGAGCGCCAAACTGTCCGTCGGACTCGGTCCATCTATCGACCATACACGCATAGATACGAGACAGACAGTCTCTGCTGAGATAATTGCACCCATGGCGAAATAGCCGCCATCACAAAGTATCGCCTAGGGACCCAAGTCAGCCCGCAAGGTAGCACACTGCTCCCCAAGGGATCCCCCAATATCTGCGGTGCCGTCGGCCGAAAGAAAAGCACGGAGCTCGACATGGCTTGTTTCGCGACGGCACTACGGCACACAAGATCTGCGGCATGCGGAGACTACAATATGAGCAAAGTCACCCCTCTGGCCAGAGGGCAATATTCCTGGCCATGCTTTGTCTTTGGGTGGCGGTGAAATTCCCGGCCAGCCACTTGGCCACGCCATACCTACAATGTCAGGGAGCTGTCATTTCTCGGTTGGTGACAGATTTTGACGCGTGGTTTTGGACTGATGCAGCAAGGCTGCATGAATGACCCAGTGGATGACTGAATTACTTGACAGATGAGTAGGTTCGTCATGGGAGAGACATGAAACACGATACTTGCCTAGCCAGATTACCTCCCTTGGTACTCGGTAGGTAGGTATGCTACCATCACCACCTTCTTCTCAACGAGGCAGCACGCCCATCCGCGGTAATGCCTCGACAATGACAAGACAGGGACTGATCTGATCCATCAGGTGCGACATTCCGACGTCCCTTGGTTCCAAGCCACAGCCAACTGCCCAATCATGTCCAGATTTGGCGCTTTCATGCGCACATCGGCGTTACGCATCATCGTGCATCTAGCTCCCTTTCCGGCGTCCAGTCGGTAGTCTTGCCCGACATTGCAGATGGGATGGAGGCCGTTGTCAAGAAGAGGAAAAATAAGAAGAAACGCCATGGTATCTGCCAGGCCCCATCATCACTTGGCGCGGAGTTGCCCAACTGATTTTGATCAAAAAAAGCCGGCATTAGCGGAAGACCATCACAGAGCAGGCCAATATGAGATCTGACCGCTTGCTCTGGGCCTGAAGCCTAAACGCCTTGACCAGCAGCCGTTGATGTACGTACTCAGCTTCACGTACTCCCTTCTCCAGTATTGTGATTTCTGCACTCCGCTCTGTTAGCTGCGATCCTCGTTTCGACTTGTGGCTTGTGCTCATGCTCGTGCTAGGTCTTGTCGTCATCCTCCTGAAATATAAACAATTTCAAACCATCCCGAAGGAGGTTGCCTTCTTGGGCGAAAAAGTAGAGTCAAGCCATGGGGGCAAGAAGGAAGGAATGACACATCGACCGTTCCGTATGTGTTCCTCAGCCCATATCGCCGGTTGGAACCCACAAACCACACGTCTCGCGTTGCCATGATCCAGGGACATCTTGGATGTGCAAAAAAAGCCATCTGGAAAGCACCTTAAAAGCTAGGCATGAGCTGTGTCTGCCGCCATGGTGCCAAGGCGAGATGTCAAACTTGCAGCGCGCCACGAAGGTATAGCTGTCAACGTTGGCCTCATCACTTTCAGTCTGAGGGACACTTCTGCTGTTGATTTGACATCGGAACACCTAATCGAACTTCACGTAGCTGCTGTGGTGGTAGGGTCTCTGAGTTTCTTGGCGACACTTGTTGCGGTGGCATTCTTCATACGGATGCGCCGCAGTTTTCGTCACGAGTGAGTGAAGCTGAATACCGATACAAAACATCTCCGGGGTTATTTCGAAACTGATGCATAGCCGCAGCCTAATTCTTTTGTTAATCCTGAGCGACATGCTGGCAACGCTGTGGCTTGTACTTCTCCCTGCTATCGAGCTGGCGCGTGGTCCGATACCGTCCAACTCGACCATTTGTCAAATCAGCGGATTCTTTCTATCCGTGGGAATTGAAGCATGCGACCTGACCGTCCTTCTTGTCGCCATCCATACCGGCCTATACATCTTCAGAGGGCGGAGTGGGCTGTATCCGTACCGCTTTCCAGCATATGCCCTAGTTGCAACAGGGTCTTTGGTGCTCACATGTCTAGCATTCGTCAACAATGCAGGGTTCGTCAATTCTGGTTCTTATTGCTATTTGCCCGCGAGTCCAACTTGGGCACTTAGGTTCCTGAGTTGGACACCACGATACGCGGTTTGTCTGGCCATAGCGCTTACATACACCTGTATCTATGTTTATGTGAGGTGGATCATGATCAAAGTCGACAAACCAAACAAACAGAGGAAAACGGACGAACTGCTTCCTAGTCGACTACAGCAACTACCACGGCGAGGCTCGGTACCACCTACTCCCCCAATAGCGTACCACGGACTCATCCCTCCAACGCCGCCGTGCGACAATATGCTAGTGGACTATGGCTGGAACAAAAAAGCAATACACGGACAGAACCAAGGATCGAGAGAAGGCTCTGCTGTTGGAAGTCGGGATCGGCGATCAAGTCCGAACCGGATTGTGTCGGCGACGCCACAAACTGACTGTGAGGAGAGGAGCCTCGTGTTAACCAAAGACTCCTTCAAGGACTATCCCCAAGGTGCCCACTATATGAATGACTCGAAAGACAGAGACCCCAGGCTGTCGCCAACGAGCCGCCCTGCCCCAGAGCGGCACAGAATCAGCTGTTTATGCATGGATCGCGACGGGGCTGACACGCCTCACGTCCCGCCTCGGTTGAAGATGGAATTACGGCTGCAGAACAGTACTCCTGAGACGGAGTCGCTGCCCAACTTGGTTCTATCACCCACTACGCTGAACGAAACTGGCATGCCCGAGACAAGGCACAAGATCCGTCGCCAGTTGAGAAGAAAATTGATCTATCCTGTGATATATATCCTGGGATGGATTATTCCGTTTGCCGCGCATGTGACCAAGGCCGACCGGACCAACCAGCCGTTCCCGCTGGTCCTGGCTGGGCTTGTCAGCATTTGCATGCAAGGCCTGGCTGACTCGGTGGTCTTTTTGATGCTGGAAAAGCCGTGGCGTCACCGCAAGCGGCCCGTCTGTTTTGTGCCGCTGCGCAGGCTTTCGAGGGTGAAGAGAAGCTCGGCGAGAGTCGGCCGTACCAGAGAAGAGATGCTCGTTGAGGGCAGACTGGCAAGAGCAAGGAGGGACCGGGAAGCGGAAGATCGGCGGCGTCAACCACGAGAGTTAGAGAACAGCAAGCGTGGGTGGTGGGACGTGAAACTTGCGGGAATAGACGAGTCGAGAGACGAAGATTTAGAAGGGGTGTTTTGAGGCGACATTGCAGGTGCTTGACGGCGGTGGCGTTTATTTTCAAGCGTTAAATACATGGAGTCACTGTAGTTGACGCCAGGCCAGTGGCACTAGACTGTCATTTGTTTTGTGTATGTATTTGCCGATGGTTGTTACCGCCCGACATGCAACATATTCTCGACCGCATACGTGCCCGAGCGATTAGCCAGGATCCTTGGCAGTGTCCATTCCAACGAAACTGCGGCCAGCGTCAAATCGTTGCTGTACCCATTCATTATGCCTCGGCTCCGATTTTCCTTTGCGATTCCAGTGCAACCCAGATTCCCTTCAACTCCTTGCGCAGGCCCTCCCATGTTGTTCCTTGTTGTTCCTGTTCCTGTTCCTGTTCCTTTTCTTTTCCTTGCCATTTGTCTAGCGTCTCAAGTTATCGTGGCCGCGCATCAGCCCTCGCGTATAAACTTCAAAAAAGCTCTCCCAATGGCAACGCCGTCGTGCGGCAGGGGCGCCCTCTCCATGGCATCGTCGTATACCTCGTCGGTGAAGATGCCCACTGTGTGCCGGTTAAACAGAATCTCGGAGATGATTTCGTTCGTGAACTCGGGGTGGCCCTGGACGGTGAGGTACCTGCCCGGGAGGTACATTCCCTGGACGGGGCAGAAGGCGTTGCCGCCGAGGGGGATGGCGTCGGGGGGCAAGTCTTGCACAACGTCGCGGTGCATTTGGTGGATGCGCTATCGGGGAGTCAGCGGGGTTTTGCGGGCATTCTTCTTCTTCCTGTCGCGTGCGTGCTTTCTTGGGGTCGCGTTTACCAGGGTGTCGAGACCGAATATCTCCTTGCCCTTGCTCGTCAGGTCGACGTCCGTGACGGCCACCTCCCAGCCTTTCTCGCTCTTGCCGACGCCGGCGCCGACTGCGCGGCCGATGATTTGGTGGCCGAAGCATGCGCCGACGACGCGGATGCGGGCCGTCTCGAGGGCCCTTTTGGTGAAGTCGACGAGTTTCAGGATCCACGGGTCGTTGTCGAAGGCGGTGTGGCGCGAGCCGGTGAGCAGGAGGGCGTCGACGTCGTCGAGGGCCGGGTAGGAGTGCAGGTCGTTGACGACGTCGTGGGCGGAGATGGTGAGCAGGCTGGACAGGTCCTGCGGCGGGTCGAGCGTCCTGGCTGCGCTCGAGAGGAGGGCCGTGAAGACGCCCGCGTAGCCGCCGAACTGGGAGCGCGTCTGGGGCTGCGGCGTGTCGCACTCGAGGATGGCCAGGCGGAGGACGGACGGGGGACTCATTTTCTGGCGGCGCGAGGGAGACGGCGAGGAGAGGCGGACGGGCGAGGCGAGCGAGTCGGCGGGGAGAGAGCGCGAAGGGAGGGGGTTTTTGTTGTCGATGCGTGGGAAAATGGGAAATGGGAACGTGGATTCTGGCGATGCGCCGCCGGCCCGATGCCGCGGGCGCAGGCGGACGAAGTTGAAACGGGCGACTCCACTCGGCGTGCGGCCAGGTTGCCAAGATGGGTGCCTGGCATCGCCAATTAAGAGGCGGTGCTGTTGATATCAGGTTGCGCCAGTACTTGCGCAGTACATTTCCGTGTCCAGCTGCGGCTGCGGCGCAAAATATCGAGGGCTCGGCTACCGCCGGGTCCCAATACGGAGCAACGCCGCCCGTACCGAGGTCAATTGCTCAGGGCGCTCACTTTCTTGTTCGGGGCGCTCAATACCCCACTCAGACCCATGTTTTATGCGGCAAGCCCCATTGCCATGCGCCACAGTACATTCTTAGTACAAAGGTATGGCAGCTTTACTCAACTCCAAAATCGTCTAAATAATGCTGCAGCCCTACGAATTTTTCAACAGGCAGCAGCTTTTTCCTTCAACAACATCACGATGCCTAACGAAGGCCCTCACAACACGGGATGGGTAATTGAGCGGCCGGAACAACTAGAAAATCCGGCCCGATTGTGAACACATTGAGCGAAAACACTAGAAATCGCGTTTTTAAGCGATTTAGAGCGGCGCTATTGAGAAATTCGTATAAATTACACAAGCACCTTTTCGATTAATTGAGGGCATTTTGCTGCCATACATTTGTACGAAGAATGTACCGTGGCGCATGGCAGCGGGGCCGCTAGACCAAAAACAGGGCGTGGTGGGGTATTGAGCGCCCCGAGCAAAAAAAAGTGAGCGCCCCGAGCAATTGACGTACCGAGAGCATGTCTCTCCTTGCAAAGCCGCGATTGGTCCTTGGCGCGGCGTCGAACTGTACGGCAGAGACTCCGAGGCTCGTTTTATTCATTGATTTATTCGCTCCCCCTTCTCCCCAAAGCCAACCCACCAACCCTCCGTGGTTTCCATCAAGACGCATCTCAACCAACGCAGGGAAGACGCGGCTGGGTTCAGCTCGGCGCTTTGTCAACATTGGGACTTCCGTGCGGCGCCCACGTGCAAAATTCAATGAATGGGTGGGTATCGCATCGCAGCCTCGCCCAAAATGCACCACCACCACCACCAACACCACCACCACCACCACCGCCATCCTCCATGCCTCGTCCGATGCACCGCAGATAAAGGCCGGCCAGCGTGAGCACAACCCGCCATGTCTAGACCAACACTCCAGGCATTTCTGGCAACCGCCCGCAACGCCCTCAGAGCACCGCCGGCCCAGCGCCCCAAACCGCTGACCTTTGTCGTCGGCAACGAGTCCGCAGGTAAACAGCTCGTCACTCGGGTGCCTTGCCCTGCCTCCATCACCCCAGTCCCAGTGCCTCGCTGAGACATGCCCCAGACCTCGACTCGCTCTGTTGCGCCATCGTGTACGCCTACATCCGCAGCCACACGGGCCACCATGCGCTGCACATCCCGCTCTCCAACCTCCCGCGAGCAGATCTCGGCCTGCGCCCAGAAATGGCCGCCGTGCTGCAACACGCCGGCCTGGCGGCCCGCGACCTCGTCACCCTCTCCGAACTCCCCGACCCCCTCCAGCCCGAGGACACGCGCTGGCTCCTCGTCGACCACAACTGCCTCACGGGCCCGCTGAAGCGCTTCCGAGACCAGGTCGTCGGCTGTGTGGACCACCACGTCGACGAGGGCGCGCTCCCGGCGGGCATCGAGCCGCGCGTCATCGAGCCCTGCGGCAGCTGCATGAGCCTCGTCGTGGACGAGTGCAGGCCCGCGTGGACGCAGCTCCTCCAGGCCCAGGACCTCGAGGCGGCACCGGCGCGGGGAGCAGCCGCCGCCGACCTGCTGCCCCCCGGCGAGCAGGACCGGCTCGTCAAGCTGGCGCTGGCGCCCATCCTCCTCGACACCGTCAACCTCACGGCCGAGGCCAAGGTGCGCCCCAAGGACCCGCAGGCGGTGCGCTTCCTCGAGGCCCAGATCCGCGAGCCGGGCTTCAGCACCACGCGGTACTACGAGCTAATCAGCGCCGTCAAGGAGGACGTTTCCGGCCTCTCGCTCCGCGACATCTTCCGCAAGGACTTCAAGCAGTGGGACGAGGCCGGCCTGTCCCTCGGCATCAGCTGCGTCGTCCAGGGCTTCGAGTACCTGCTTGAGAAGGCGGGGACAAAGCACGTCTTCCTGGCGGAGCTTGCTGCCTGGGCCGACGAGCGCAAGCTGGATGTTGCTGCCGTCATGACCACTTCGCACCCGGGCGGCAATTTCCACAGGCAGCTCCTGGTTTGGGGCCTGACGGACAGGGGCAAGGCGGCAATTGGGAGGTTCGGAGACGTCGGTCGGCCCCTGGGACTGGAGCAGTGGGAGGACGGGGCCCTGGACGGTGACGATGGTGATGGGGGCAATACGAGGTTCGCGTGGAGACAGGCCAACCTGGCGGCGAGCAGGAAGCAGGTCGCGCCGCTGTTGAGGGAGGCCCTGAGAGAGAAAAAGTAGCGACGACGACATTGTGCAGCTGTGGACGGTGTGAAAGAGGGTGGTTAAGGGGTTTGAATGTTTCCAAAGAACGGCAGGAAAACGCCACAGCCTTGGCGCCACTGATGGGGATGCCAGAAAACCATACAGGACTGGGCTAACTGGCATCCTGCTCTAGAACTTGATATGAGGTATTATTTTTATCTTTTACATGGGACCCAGCCAGCCTTACAGAAATTTATATACATATCAGTCATCCTATGTGGTACATACTGCCATGGTACAGGGGTAAAAAAAAAACGACTCCCATTCGTTTAGAGGAGCAAAAGCACCGGTGAAGGCTTGGTTCAGCTTAGGGCGTGCTATTCGTGAATCGTTGCACGGCCTGTGCCCGCTCCTCTCGGGCCTGGCTACCGAGCAGATGGCGATGAGCCTGTTCGACTTCTCTCAGGACCCGCACAAACTCACGATGCTGAAGGCGTCGTTGACCAATGAGGTCCAGCGAGTCCAGCGATGGTGGGTTATGAAGCATCTCCTCTGCCGCGGGATCGGCGACTAGGATGCAGGCCTTGAGCGCATGATAGACGCTGCCAGCGGGATAAACGGGCGGTTCCTCTTTCAGCATCTCCGGGTACACCCACCGCAATGCATCGATACACATCTTGGTGTCTTGTGTAGAGGCCATGACGCGGTAAGCCAGCTCATAGAGTTCTGGGGGTCGCGCGATTCGAAATCTGGCAGGCGCGCGGAAAGCGTCCCAAAACCGATCCCAGGCTTGCCGCTCGGCGTAGGCTCTCATGAGCCTAAGTGTTTGGCTGTGCTCTAGTGGTGCTTGGAGATTGAGCAGTAAGAACTCCAGGTTGCGTTGCGCACGTTCCAATTCTGGCCCGTACGCAGCTGACGTGGCTATGCATTCGATCAACATGACCAGCATTTCCTTGGATCGGACAGAGATGCCTTGCTCCTCGGCCGCCTGTAGTAGTTGATCAACAAGCTCCAGGCGTGTGCGGGCGTCGTCCTCTGAGTGAGTTACTTGAAACACTGCTGATATCAAGCGCTCAACAACTTTCTGACCTAGAGACGTCCCTGAAATGTGAAGGTCCGTGACCAGTCGCTGAAGGGTCTTGAGCTCGGAGTCTGCAGGCGTTTTTGACAGGTTGCAACTCTCTGATGGCTTCTTCTCAGATGTGGCAGCTTCGTAATCTTGAGACTCGAGCCTTCTGGCGCTCGTGGAAAAGAATCTCTGCTGCTGTGAAGCCTGCTGCAAGTATTGCCACTGTACAGCGGACGGGTTGTTGGGAAGCTGAATCTTGGACGATACCAATGCCTCTAATTCGGTTTGGTCCTGAACGGTCTGCCCTTTAATCTTCAATGTTTGCTCCAAGTTCCGCTTCAGCACGCCTTGCCATAGAGTTTCCAAATTTAGCTCGTTTCGCCTGGGCTCGGTCATGCACTGAACTACAACGGTGGTTCCAGTTCGAGCAGCGCCAAAACCGGAGAACCGCCCGCTGGCGTCAAAGCTGGCGGTTTCGTCGGGCACGCTGTCACTTGTAGAAAAGTTAACACACACCCATCCCGTGGATATGCCATTGTCGCCACCTGGAGGAATCATCGTATTGGTGCCCATCAACTTGGCTTTCTTTCGCAGCCGTCGCAATTTGGTCTTCAATTCCCCAGGCCCGATGAGCCCGTCAGCTCGTGCATCCACTTTGCAATTCCGTCGGAGCCATCGCACGAAGCGACCGGATGAAATGTGCAAATGCCGCTCGCTCCGGGCTGTCGCAAAGAGCATGATGAGATTCGGTCCAAGGGCAGCCGGAGGATCTAAGTCGCGCAGATCCATGAGAGAAATATCATCCAAGCCCATATCTTCGAATATATATTGGATTATTGGGGCTATAAATGCGGGAGACCCTTCGGGCGCCTTTGGGAGGGAAGGCGTGTGAAGGCTTGGGGGATGTCTCGGCGGCTCAACCTCGAGGAACCAAGGATTGTCGGTAGCAGACTCGGCTTTTGTGGTGCTTTTTTGTAAGTCATCATGATTCTGTGAGGTCTTTGAGGCCTTTTTCTGCACTGAGCTGAGAGGAATGTGTCGGTCGGAAGAAAAGAATCTGCTAGGTGGCAGGGAAATTTGTATAAAGTGAGGTTCCAGATGTCGGAAGGCCGGTGGCGATCCAGCCACAACAGCTCTAAAAATGGCATTTCTGCAGGCGCAGCACCCCAATGCCGCGACCACTGGCCGTGGTATCATCCTGGCTTCCTTAGAACACGGGTGGTTTTTGATCTGGTGCGATTGATGTTGCCACCAACGAGAGCAACTTCCCAGCCGTTGCAGAAGTGGCCGATGAAGCTCCAACTTTTTAGTGGGTCCCTTAGCATCAGCTCAGAGACGCCCACGTGATGCCTCCCCGGAGTGGCCAATCCGGGGACCGACTTGGCAGCCAGGCGAATTTTTTTGACGGACCCGTTCTCCTGTCAATGAATGGCTGTGGGATCTACAATCTTTCGCTCCTTCATTCCCTTCGCGAATTCGGTATTCAGGCTCACCCATTCATCTTTTGTATTTTTGTGACTTTTGGGAGCTTGCCTTATTTCATTTCAATGATTTAATAATTTTACCCTTGCCTCAGCAGCTACGCAGCCTGTTGAGTTCACGCTTCCGTCTCGCGCCTCGTCACGAAGATGCTCAGTCGACAAACGAGGAGCAGCGTCCTTGCTCGCCGAGCGGCAACAAAACGCTCATTTGGGCCACCGAGAAGACTCCCTTCCGTTGCGCCGACAAGTTTGTCATCGCAGTGCCGGAGGTTGGTCATCACACGCCCATGTCGGCCATGGCGGAGTCGCAGTCTGGAGTCCTCCCCGGGCCAGTACATCCACGAAAGAAGCTTAGCGACGGCCATTGACGACTTCAAATTCGAGTCCACGCCGTACCATCACCTTCAGAGCTCTTCAATGCCACCATTTCAGCCTTCCGCGCTTCGCTCCCATGACATGCGGCCTTTCGATTCTCCAGCCCCCTTGACGATTCCCGAACCTGGGCCTCCCAGGTCAGCCACTAAAATCAATACATATGGCATCCCTGGCGATACAGAAGACATGCTGCCTGTATTTGATGCATGCATTCGTGTTGGCAAACTCGACAGGGCCGCTTTAGTGTTGAAGAGGATAAACGCAACGGGGGTGCTCTCTGGCGAGGAGCGTATTATACTCAACAACCAGTACCTGCGAGCCTCAATTAAACAGATGCGAAACAGCCCGGACCTACGACAGGCCGAAGAACTTCACAAGTGGTACGAATTGCAGATTCGAAGCAAAGGCCTTCCACATACCGCCGAGACTATTGCTTGCATGCTCAAGGCTTCCCTTCTGTCTGAGCGAGGTTCGAGACTTGACCGTCTGGTCAACAGGTACATGGGCATGGCCCCCGGCGAATCAGGTCTTCGGGTCCTTAGTATGGATGATGTTCTCAGCGACCAGGATCTAGCGGTCATCACCGAGATTTGCCCAACGTACAATTTCACCGTGGATCCGGACGAAGATGTAGAGCTGTCCGCGTTGACTGAAGAACACGCTCAATTAAGATCAGCTGAAGCCTCCATTGACCAGACTGTGGATGCTGTATCGTGCGACGAGATTGCAGAACCTCTGCCCACACCACAGCGTGGTGCTGGATTGACGTTTCTCAAGAAGGGTCTTCTCCTGCTCAGGGACTGGCAGGACGTGGACATCTCAAAAATGTCGAACGCAGATCGACGCGACATTCAGCTACAGCTAGAGCGAGATTCGATTGGATGCGCAATCGAGCGTTGGAGAGAGGCTAACAAAAATCTCGCGCAGATGGGGATAGCCACTGCCGTCTCAGCATCCTCTGCTGAAGAATCCTTGTCTCGTCGCATGGCGGGATGGCTTGACTGTCTGGAAGAGAAACTGAAAGAAGAAGTGGCTTTGACCAAGGTTTCCGAGAACAAAACCGCCAAGTCTGATCAAGATCTCGACAGATGCCTGTACGGACCGTTGATAAGTCAAGCTGACCCTGCTCGGTTGGCAGCTCTTACCATTCTCTGTCTCCTCAGCCTTGGGGCCACTCAAGGCGCCGATAAAGGACTGCTAGTGAGCAGGCTTGTAAACAATATTGCCAGGCTCGCACAGGAAGATATTGAGACACAAAGGATGGAAAGGGCTCAACTCTCCGACAAGAAGTTGAGTAGGCAGGGCACCAGAGCACGTCGCAAAGTTTACTTCACTGGTGCCACAACGAACATGGTAGCCGATGCAACCAGTCAGCGCGAAACTGCAACGATCGTTGAAGATGTCTCTGAGACGGTCAAGGAGCTGGAAGATGCAACTCGCGAACCGTGGTCCATATCCATTCGCGCACAGGTTGGCTCATTCTTACTCAAAACTCTTATCGAAAATGCTTTTATCAAAGTTACGGTGACGCATCCCACCACGAAGGAGCTTATTAGTCAAAATCAACCAGCATTCACACACATGCAGCAGCCTCGCAGGGGCAAGAAAGTTGGTGTACTCCATCTCAACTCGCATCTTGTGGAACAGCTAAAAAAGGAACCCATCGGCGACTACATTGCCAAGCATCTGCCAATGATTGCTGAGCCCAAACCTTGGCGCCAGCTGAATGAGGGAGGGTTTCTAGATAGCAAAACGGCAATTGTTCGTGCGAAGCCGGGCGACATGGAACAGGCGCTATACACCAAAGCCGCCATCAAAACAGGGGACATGAATCACGTTTTTAAAGGTCTCGACGTCCTCGGCAAGACCGCCTGGCGAATCAACAAGAATGTCCTCAATGTCATGATGGAGGCCTGGAACACTGGAAAAGAAATCGCCAATATGCCACCCCTGAACCCCGAGTTACATATCCCGGAAGAGCCGGATTCATCTGCAGATCCGCTGCTGCGAAGGAGTTGGATGCAAGCTGTCAAAGCAATTGAGAATGAGCGATCTGGGCTGCACTCTCAGCGGTGTTTTATGAACCTCCAACTCGAGGTTGCACGAGCATTTAGGAATCAGACCATGTACTTTCCGCACAATGTCGATTACCGAGGACGCGCTTATCCAATGCCCACTTATCTTAATCACATGGGTGCTGATCACAGCAGAGCGATTCTCAAGTTTGCCAAGGGAAGGGCACTTGGGGAAAGGGGTCTTCGATGGCTGAAAATTCACCTGGCCAATTTGTACGGGCTCGACAAGTCGAGTTTTGACGAACGTGAGGCCTTCACTGATGACAACATCTCCAACATCATCGATTCCGCCACAAATCCTTTGGACGGAAGCCGATGGTGGCTCCAAGCGGAAGAAGCGTGGCAATGTCTGGCTGCCTGTTTCGAATTGAAGGCAGCGCTGGAGTTGCCGGATCCAACCAAGTTCATCTCACATCTTCCCGTTCATCAAGATGGCACTTGTAACGGTCTTCAGCATTATGCTGCCCTTGGTGGTGACACTTTGGGAGCTAAACAGGTCAATCTCGAACCCGGCGAACGACCGGCGGATGTTTATTCTGCAGTGGCAGATCTTGTCAAGCAGGCCATTGACAAAGATGCCAAGGCCAACAATCAGGCTGCGCTGGTGCTTCAAGGCAAAATCACCAGAAAGGTTGTGAAACAGACAGTCATGACCAACGTTTACGGCGTCACATTCGCTGGAGCTAAGAAGCAAGTCTGCAAGCAGATTGATGCCTTGTATCCCGATTTGGGAAAGGAATGTGGAATACCAAATCTGATTCTTTCCACATATATTGCCAGACACATCTTCAATGCCTTGGCAACCATGTTCCGCGGCGCCCATGATATTCAGTACTGGCTGGGTGAAGTTGGTGGTCGGGTCTGTCGAGCATTGACACCAGCCCAGCTCGAAGAAATTCGGGAGAGTTATGAGAAAGGGGGGCGAAAGAAGCAGGATGAACTGGATGATATCGTGAAACAGTTTCGCTCTTCTATAGTTTGGACAACGCCTCTGCGCATGCCAGTGGTCCAGCCGTACCGGAAACACACAGCCAGGGAGATCAGGACCTGTCTCCAAGCAGTGGTCTACCCGACCAGTGACCAAACCGACCCTGTCAACAAAAGAAAGCAACTTCAAGGCTTCCCCCCTAACTTTATTCACTCCCTGGATGCAAGCCACATGCTGCTGTCAGCCTTGAGATGCCATGAACAGGGATTGGATTTTGCGGCCGTGCACGATTCTTTCTGGACACACGCTGCTGATATTGATACCATGAATGGTATCTTGCGAGAGGCTTTCATTCGGATCCACGAAGAAGACGTCGTCGGTCGCCTTGCAGCCGAGTTTAAGGCGAGACACAAGGGCTCACTGTACCTGGCTCATCTTGACCCTTCCTCTCCCGTGGCAAAGAAAATCAAACAACTAAGGAAAAGCAGCAAACTTTGCCCAAAGGAAGAGCTAGTTTTGGAGCACAAACGTAATTCACTCAGACTTTCGGGCAACCCTTGGGATCTGGAAACTGCCAAGAAGATTGTGACACCTGCATCTGTGTATGAGGAGATGGCTGGAGCTGAAATCGACGTCAGCATCACCAATGACCTCGAAAACATAGGCTTGGGTGAGATTTCGCAAGATGAAATGGACACTGACGAAGCGACCATGGCATCCGAGACGATAGAGGACACAGCCGCTGATGACGACGGTATGATGGACTCTGACGATCCACACGACGCCGCAGCCATATCTGAGCGCCTCATGGAGAACATGAAGATGAGCCATTTTGAAACACTCATGCTGGGCACGACAGGGCCAAATAAATCGACCAAGCGTGTCACCAGACGTGCCGCCTCTGTGCCGGTGTGGCTGCCTTTCACTGTTCCACCAGTCCCCAAGAAGGTACTGCCTGCCCTTCAGCAACCTATGCAGACTCCGACAGTGAACGGACAACTAACATGTTGATTAGGGCGACTTTGATGTCACACGTCTACGAGAGAGCAAGTACTTCTTCTCATAAGACACGTTTCTTGTTGTATTAAATAAACAAAAACCCAGGGAGCTGGCGTTGGGGGTATTATTCCGAGTGTTTAATTTTTTTGATATCGCGGGAGCATTTACATCGGAGTTTATCAGCACTGCGTTGAGGGAAAAGGCACCTTGTGCACGCTGCCCTAGCTTGGCCAGGTAGAGGCACACGACTCTTATATACTTGCATATAGCGACGGCATAGGTATCTGTACGTTAGACGGAGTACTTCGAGAAAGGTGGGAGGAACAATACAGACAAAATAATGCAAACCGAATTTGCTACGAATGCGCAGGATCAGGACGGGAGATGTCAATCGAGTTTCATAGCATGGTCTCTGAGACTCTGACCCGGTTCCACTTGATATCTACCTAGGTATCTACCGCACAGCAGCGTCCTTCAGAGTCTGAACGGTGCAAACGCCACCAGTCTCGGTGACCAGCTTGCCAACGCCAGTCTTGCCAAGCTTCTCAACGACACCAGCGTCAAACGCAACTTCCAAGTCGTCAGTGGTGGTAAAGCCAGGCTGGAACGTCTCCCAAATCTTCTTTTTGGGATTCAACACACCCTCCGGCTCGCCCTGCCAACCCTCAAAGAACACACGGTCGCCAGCCTTGCAACCCTCTGGGGGGGCGACCAGTTCCACGGGGCCCTTGTCCTCGTCAACCTCGCCCTCCTTGACCCTGGGAGAAGCGGCAAGAACCATGGCGCACGACTTGATTCCTCGCATCTTGACGGGCTTCAAGTTACACACGACTACGACCTTACGACCCTGCATCTCTTCCAGAGGGATGAGACCGTTCAGGCCCGAGCAGACGGTTCGGCAGACTTGGCCCTCGTATTCAACGTAGTCCTCGTTGCCGGCCGGATCGCCCATTGCAATGGTCGAGACGTACAGAGAGTCGGCGTCGGGGTGCTGTACGGCCTTGAGGATGTGGCCGACACGGAGATCGATGAGACAGGGCGATAGGGGGGCAGCGGCGGGAGCAGCCTTGGGCTGCTTGGGGGCCTTTTCCTTCTTTTCCTTCTTGGGTTTCTCCCCGCCCACGGCCGCCGCCGCGGCACCCTTGACCTCGTCAATTTTCTCCTTGGCCTTTTCCTTGGTGCGATCAACCAAGCTGGCCTCTTTGTTCCCATCTACGGCGGCGGCGGCGACGGCGGCGGCGGCGGCGGCGGCCTTCTCCTTCTTCAAGCGCTCCTTCTCGGCTTTGGCATCGACGGGGGGCTTGACGTAGCGAACGTCGTCCTGGTCAACTTGGATCTTCTGGTCATCCTTGAGCTCAAGACCGAATAGGGCAGAGTTCTGGACAAAGTCGAGGTGGCGGACGATGTGAGGGTGGCCCTTTTCGCCGGTTCGCTCATCAGGAGACCACTTGGCGACGATGGGAGAGAGCGTCTCGTAGATTGCTACGTCAGCCTTGCTGGGCTTGCTGCCGAGCAGGGTTGTGCGGCTGGCGAGATGGCTGTTGAGAGTCTCGAGGATGGTGGCCTTGTCATGGCCGGACCTGAGGCGATCTGACGTGGTTAGCCATTGCTGGATTTCGGCCTCCTCGGTGGGAGTGTACGTCTGACTGGCGATGGAAGCCATTCTGCCCAATGGGTTGAACGAGGTGGAAGAGAGTGCCCTGATGGTAGGACGAAGAGCCTGGACGCGAAACAGTTTCGTTGGGGTTGGTGGAGAAATTCGCCTGTTCTGGGCGCAGGCGATTTCTCTCAAACTTGTAGGTTAACTTGTGGCGTGGATTGAGTGAACCCTTGTACGTCGTGAGAACGGGCAGCATTGAATTTTTCTTGTCAACGGCGGGGTTGTCTTGGAGGGGCAACGTCCAGCTGAGCCACTCGGATCAGCCAATGACCAGTGCGTTCCTGGCCCTGGTGGACCGCCTTGCCTCCTCGTTAACGCGCTCCGCACCATCCGGCACGCAAGGCACGTGACTGCGCGCGAATTCGCGTTTCCAACGTCATGACTTTTTAATGGGACTGGCGCGTCTGCCATTCTCAATCGCTTCGGTTGGTTTCAATTCAACTGTAGGATTTGCCGGAAGACGTCACGTTTCGGTCAGCTTCGGCTTCCTTTATGCTTTGGGTACAAACTGTCTGTACAAATTGTCGGCTTCATCTTTCTTATTTCCAGGTGGCAACCAAGGATCAATCCCAAGGCAGACACTACTTCGTGCGTTGCGCTGTCCACCGTGGCCACAGCTCATGGTCGCGTTCATATGACGACTGGTACCATGTCATCGGATGTCTAATCAGCTCCATCAGAAGCTCCGGCCATGACAAGCCCTCTGAGTTCGCCACCTCCTGTGGCATCGCCCAAGCCTGATTTGTTATGCGACATTACTGAGGACAGTCTCATCAGGGAAGAGCGTGAAGCACGTGATGAGAACAGAAAGGAAGAGGAGAAAAGAATATTGGCGGCTCGGAAACCGAGGAAAAAAAAGGCCGAGACCAAATCGGAGCGCGAGGCCAAGGCCCGAGAGCTGGATGAGTTGCTGATGAAAAGCGCGGCTTTCAGTGATATCCTCACCAAGAAGACGCAAGCTCTAGGACGAGTCGGGAGTAGCCTCGACGGAAAGACGCTGGGAGAACATAATCTGCAAATGGCGAAGCAGCCCGAGTGCATGGTGGGAGGGACTATGCGGGACTACCAGTTGGAAGGCCTAACTTGGATGTTTGAGATTTGCTGTCAGGGCATGAGCGGGATTCTTGCCGACGAGATGGGTTTGGGTTTGTAGCTTTACCCCGGTGGCATGTCTTGGTGATGCTGACTACTGCATCAGGCAAAACCGTCCAAACCATTGCTTTGATCGCACTGCTCCGTGAACAGGAGAATTACCTCGGGCCTCACCTCGTCGTCGCTCCGTTGAGCACGCTGTCGAACTGGATGGACGAGTTCCACAAGTGGACTCCATCAATCCCCGTCATCATGTATCATGGGAACCAAGCTCAACGCGCGAAAATTTTCCAGACCAATATGCTCAAGAACCTAAAAGGTGGCAGGCCAACGGCCAAGTTCCCGGTGGTTTGTACCTCGTATGAAATGGTTTTGCGAGATCAGCATAACCTGTCCCGAATCCAGTGGGAGTTCATCATCATCGTATGTGTCGGAGGGCCTACGCACTCGTTTTACACATCTCTAATTTCATTGTAGGACGAAGGACATCGGATGAAGAATGCAGAAGCCAAGCTTTTCCAGCAATTACGGCAATTCTCATCTGCGACTAGATTGCTCATTACTGGTACTCCGCTACAGAACAACTTGAAAGAGCTCTGGTCATTACTTCATTTCTTGCTGCCAAACATCTTTACTGACTGGGAAGCATTCGAGTCGTGGTTTGACTTTTCCGATTTGGAGGATGAGAGAGGCGCCGAAGAATTCATTGCCGACCAGATGAAGCAGGACCTGGTTAAAAAGATCCATCTGATCTTGCAACCCCTTCTGTTGCGCAGAATCAAGCAGGACGTTGCGGCGTACCTGCCTAGAAAGCGGGAATATGTCTTGTTCGCGCCAATGACGAAGGAACAGACGGATCTTTACAATGTCTTCACCAACAAAGAGATTGATACAAGGCAGTACCTTGAACAGAAAGTCCTGGACAAGGTCAATAGCGCAATGGCATCGCGCAGTTCAACTCGCGCATCATCGCGATCTAGCAGTCGCGCGGCAGCGGCGGCCAAGAAGAATGAAAGCACAAACGGAAGCACAGTCTCTCTTGCCGTGCGGCAAAGCCCTCGCGGCAAAAAAAATGAAACCAAGCCAACGTGCTCGCTTCCAAACGCTTTCAGCTTGATGATGGGGAAGCGCGCAACTAGTTCGCCCGTCCAGGGCGATGCCCAGAAGACCGCCAAAACTCCAGCAAAGCAGGCTGCGAAGAGGAAAAGTCCGCCGACGTCTGTGAGATCTGATAGCAAGAGCGCCAGATCAAGCCGCAACTCAACCCCAGCCAGCACGCGTGGGAGACCGCGGAGGGGGAAGACATACGAAGAGGCAGACTCGGACGAGGAAGATGCCCTATCGGACGATGCATTCGAAGCCAAGCTCGCAGGCGAGATGGACAGAGATGGTGACGTCGAGGAAGAGCTTGATGAACTCCAATCGCCAGAAGAAGTGGAAAGAGCGCAGACATTAGAACTTGCCAGTAAGTTTTGGGTACTGACATGTTGAGAATCCAGCTAACCGCATCATGCAGAAAAACAACTGGCGCAGAAGAAACTGGGAAACCCCCTGGCCCAGTTGAGACTGGTGTGCAACAGCCCTCATAACTTCTACAACCCCTGGGCTACATGCACCGATGTCCCCGTCGACGAATCCATCATCACTTCTTCAGGGAAAATGCTGCTTCTCGATCGACTCTTGCAGAAGCTATTCGAGAGGGGACACAAGGTGTTGATATTCTCGCAGTTTAAAACCCAGCTGGATATCCTGGAGGATTATAGCAGGGAGCTCCGAGGCTGGAACGTCTGCCGCATCGACGGGTCCGTCCCACAGGACAGCCGTCGGCAACAAATACACGACTTCAACAACGACGCTGACTACAATCTCTTTCTGTTGTCAACCAGGGCGGGAGGCCAGGGCATCAACCTGGCATCAGCCGACACCGTCATACTGTATGACAGCGACTTTAACCCTCAGCAAGACCTTCAAGCGCAAGATCGGTGCCACCGCATCGGCCAAACTCGACCGGTCATTGTGTATCGCCTCGCCACGAAGGATACAGTTGAAGAGTCCCTCCTCATGTCAGCAGACGCCAAGCGCCGTCTGGAAAAGCTCGTGATAAAAAAGGGAGGGTTCAAGAGCATGGGCCAGAAGATGGAAAACAAGGAACAGCTTGACGCAGAGACGCTGCGGGCTTTGCTGCTGAAGGATGGCCAGGTATATGAGGCATCGGGAGGTGATGAGATTCTGAGCGAAGAGGACATTGAATTGCTGTGTGATAGATCGGACGAGGCATACGATAGAGCGGCCAGTGGTCTGGGTGATGCGGACGGGTACCGTGTGGTTGAGACGGGTGCGGATTCTATCAAGATGGCGAGAAAGGATTAGAGATGCGGCCAGAAGTAGACGCTGCGAGGTGTACCTGTATTGTATTCCCAGACTTGACACGCGACGCCTCTGTTGCAAACGTTTTGAAGCAGACTGCGAGTGCCCGGCCCGGGGCTTCACGCTAGCGAGGGCGTTGATATCGTCAAACCGACGCGATTAAAATCACGTCGCAGGGATGCTGCCGAACCCGGCCGCTGGATTCCACCGTCAATTCACTTGCCCGTCGGCTTGCTCGTGTTGCAACTCACTCACGATGCAACCACCTGCGCCACGGTCCTGCGTGGCTGGGCTCGCAAGGCGGCCATGACACGACCTTCCTCAACGAGTAACAAGCAACGGCTCGCTCATCTCGCTCATCTCCTGCTCCTCCAAGCCATCGTACGTGGTTGGCGCCACGCCAACCAACCCGTCGTGCAAGGGGTCGAAACCAGGCTCTTCGCGTGTGTTTCTTCCCTTGCCTCGGTCGACAATGTATTTAAAGCCCGGCATGGCGAGATGCGAGCCGCGCGACAGGTTTGTCCACACGGCCAACGCCTGGGCACGCACACAAGACAGCCGCATACCACCGCCGCGCGGAACACGTCGCACTCACCACCCGTCTTCGTTCCGTACCGACTTGCAATTCTTCTAATTCTTCCTCTTCTTCTTCTTCTTCTTCTCGCGATGAAGATCCACCGCCAGGTGCTGCTCGCTTTCGCCCTGGCCGCCGCGGCCCAGCAGACGTCTCCTCATCCGACGATGCAGCCGCCGCTGCACACTTTCCCGCCCGTCGTCGACACCACCGGCTCGGCCTCTGCTTCTGCTGCAGGGACGAGCGCGACGTCCGCATCGGGCTCCAGGTCGGCCGCGGCGACAGGCAGCACGAGGGCGTCGACTGGCCTGGCCGTCCCGACGGGCCAGGTCAAGATTGCGCCTGTTCTGGGGATCGCCGCCGCCGCCGCAGTGTTGGCGCTCTAGGACTCAGGAGGGGGAGATTCTTCGTGTCAAAGGGGCGGCCACCGAGCTCATGAGCATGCATGCATGCTTCGGCCTGGCGAGCAACGGTACCAACGGGGCCGGGAGGCAAGCCCTGAAACCTGCCCAGGCAAACCGCCAGCAACTCACGTCACGCAGGTCATGAATCATGGCTGTCGTGCTGTCGTGCTTTCTTGTACAGTAGCATCTTTACAATGCAGTCCCGCAGTTCCATTCGCTTCGCCCCCACGCCTTCTCGCCGGACTCGTGGCCGTCATCGAGGCCCTCGGTACGTGAGTAGACAGACGCCTCGCCCGAGACGGTTGTCGTCGGCCCGCCCAGCACGTAGGTAGAACAGGTTGAGCAAGTTGGAGACGGAACCCTCTCTTCCGGCAGACCACTCTGGTCGACCTGGTTGCGCGTGCTGCGCGGCTGCGGATCAAACGTCTCCTCGTCGGGAGGCATGGCGGCCTTGTCCTTGCGAATCGGGACTCCTGGCGCCACCAGGGCGAGCGAGTGTAGGTGAAGCTCAGGATGGAAAAGGCGCCGGTGAGCCCTGGGCTATGGGAGAACTGCGGAACGGCGGAGCTGATCTGGGGGACGCGGCTAAGATGCAAAAGTACAGGTCGCCGTAGGTGTGAACGGGACGTCGGTCGTCGAGGCCGAGGAACGCCTCTCACATGATCCCTTCAAGAGACGCCCGTGGTGAATTCCTCATGGCTTGAGAATACGCCGGACTGTGCTGTGCTGCAGACGTCGCGGCCCAAGGCTGGCGGCACTTCGAGAAGCCATTACGGAGAGCGCTGACGGTTCGAGGCCCGCGTCTGTTCCGCCCAGTAGACGGATTCTTCAAAGGTCATGGTTTGGGCGTTTCCGTCAATGGGCTGGTGAGCGATATCCTTGGGGAGGTTCCAGCCAGGCCAGGGGCAGACGAGCATTGCCCGCGGTGCTGATCAAGCCCGGTAGTGCTCCGTACTCACATTGTATATTGCCTGGTCTATGGACACAAAAAGGCCTCCAAACTGTCTGTTTCCAAGTGGCGCCGGAGGGTATGACGCGTGGTACGTGGTGCTACGTAGTACGTGATACGCTGTGATACACGATACGTGCCTAGTCGGGGCAAATCTTCATCCCAGGTACATAGTGACCCCGACAGTGGCCATCGGAGCAAGATCCGCGTCGGCAAGGAGTACACTGGCGCAGGTTTTCATCCTTTCGTCGCCGGTAGGCCGTTGCGTGGTGGCCGAGACAATCCCGCCATTGGTTTCCTCTTGGTGGTGAAGAGAAGTATGGTTCCAAAGCCCGAGTCTCCATCTAGTCTCGACGTGGCCGGGCACCGAAACCTTCCACAGACACAGCCAGGTCGTTGCCATGTCCGTTTTGTTGCCGGCAGGGTTCTCCTCGCCAGGACTCAGGAGCACGACACCATCTCAACCTTGGCCGAGTCCCCGGGCGGTGTGACAGGGACATCATCATACTAGACGGCTTCTAGACGGAATCCTTCACGTCCAAAGCAGGGAATGCAGCCAGCCTCGGCTACATGAGCTGTACAGATGCTCCTCCCACGCAGCAACGAGGCGGATCCTGATCCTGTGTGCCACTCTTGCTGGATATAGGCAGAGCACGGATAGGACTATGGTACCACGGAGACGGAACGGCGGGTCCTCGCGCATAAAGTGTGCATGCTTGGTCATGTCCTATCCCGCTCGTCATCGTCCGATGCGTCTTCAACACACGCTAGAGCGTTGTAAATGCAACGGCAAAGGATGGGAGGGCGTAATTCAGCTGCGTCAGTTCGCCCCCTAGTGCCTACTTCGGGCCAGACGGCGAACCAGAGGCGTCCCAATGAGACCTAGCTAGATCTTCCGAGGGGCCTTCTAGACTGACGGGCCATGGAGCTCCAGATTTCAACGTCTTTCGGGCAATCCCGTGCCGTCCGTGGATTCGACGGCACGCATATTGCTCCACCTGGCGCCGTCGGCCGTGGGATTTTGACGACGGGAAGGCTCGGAACTTTGGCATGGTTTGTCGAGGCGTGCTTTGTCGGTCGAAAAGGGTCAACAGGGCGAAAACAGTTTCCTTGTGTCACATCTGTTGTTGTCCAGGAGCCCAGGAGCTTGCACGGACCTTGCCTCGTCACACTTCTAGAGCTACGGAATATTCGGAACTTTGGGGGCGTCGTCAAGGAGGTGCTTGCCGGTATAAGAAGGCCAGTAGTACGAACCAGTTTCTTCTTATGCCCGGCTGTCCAGAACCTTGCGGCGAAATCAAGTTCACGGCACGACGAAAGCCCATGGCGGGCGCTGTGGGAGGCCCGACGCCGGACAAATCCACCTCGTCTTGGAGTGAGAACGTGTCCGGGAAAAAGACTGTTGCTATATTCAATCTCTTCGTCGCCATCCTGGTATTCACTTTCGCCTCTCTCCAGACCGCTCGCCGCCCGTGGAGTACCCATCACTCTAGGCTTCGCAGCTTCGCCCGAACCGGCTCGCCTAGCTTGGGTTCTCTCGTCTAGACAGCTCCCGTCCCGACCACAGCTGACAGACGCCTTCGTCTGGATCGAACCCCTTTCCCTTCAGTCGTGTTCCCTTCTCGTGATGAGCATTGGGATATTACTGTGGTACATGAACCATGAATTGCAGTAGTTCCACTCGTGGTTGAGGTCAGGAAGCCGAATCTTTTCGGTTTCGCGCGGGGTTAGCAAGCTTCGTCAAACCTCAAAGCTCTTCCGCCCGCAATGTGTCGTTACCCGGGTGTTTGGCTGCGGCAGTCGGCTCGGCGGAAAGTGATGGGGAGTAGCACTTACGTGAAACATGGTGTACAACGTGGCCATGAGCTTGTACATTTCCATCTTGGCGAAGAGCTTCCCCGTACAAGTTCGGCTTCCTGCGCCGAACATGAAGTCCCCGGACTCCTCCATTCGTCGGCGACGCCGTACGAACTGGTCGCCGTCCTCGTCGCACCTTTGCAGCCAACGTTCTGGAACAAACTCGTCTACATCCTCGCCGAAAACGCCGACATCCCTCGTCACGACGTTGGGGTTGATGCCGACGTTTGTCCCGGCTGGGACGAAGCGGCCGTCCGGAAGCCGGAACCCGGCTGCAGGAACTTCTCGCTCAAACATCAAGCCCACGGCTGGATTCAGGCGTGCCGCCTCGCGGATCACTGCGTCCAGGTAAGGCAGCTTGCAGATGTCTCTCCACTGGGCGGGCACAGAGAGCTGCGCTGCTTTCAGCTCGCTCTGCAACTTTGTTTGCGCTTCCGGGCGTTTTCCAAGATGGTACACAATGGGTCTCAACGCTCCGGCCGTGGAATCCCCTCCCGCCAAAACATTGAGCATGAGCCAATTGACGAGTTGATTGCCGTCCGCGACATCAGGGTAGATGTCTTTGAGCCCGTAGTACTTGTCTATAAGCGTGTCTACCTTGGCGCGTTCGAGGGTTCCTTCGGCAAGCTTCCTCTGGTAATCAGCCAGGCGACGAACGGTGTATAACAAGCCATTGACTAATGGCTTGGGGCCAATGCGGTAGATGGGATTCTTGTCCAGCCAACCATCGAGCCAAGGCGCTTGAGACACCTTCTCTGTTTATCAGCTGTGCTGCTGTACAGGTCGTGTCTCTGGGCATCCTACTTACCGGTGCGAAGTAGCGAAGGCCATCGGATGATTCTTTAATCATGCCCTCAATATCCTTTTCCTGGTCGATGAAACCATAATGCTCTCCAAAGGTAACATTGGCAGCAAAATCCCAAGCAACTAATGAGCCAAGTCAGCGCGCCCCCTCCCCCGTCATCAAAGACATGGTCACGGCTCCGTGGTTTCAAGCATCTCACAGTATGTAAGCCAATCTTCCATCATACAGACGGTATCTGGCGTGAGGCCATCCGCGAACTTGCTGCCCAGCTTGTTGACAAACTTCTGGATAGTCTCGTCCATCAATGGTTCAAGTTCCAGGAGCTTTGTCAGAGTCCAAAAGCCAGCAATCGGCCTGGCATACTTTTTGTGAAACTCCTCATCATGAGTGTTGAAGATGTTGGAGATTCTTCGACCGTCGATAAGTGCATCGTTGACACGGTACATTTGGCTCTAGTCAGAATAGTAAGCTTGCATAGTACTTTTTTTTTTTTTTCCTCCTCGGCTTTCCCTGAGACGGGACACAGGCCAACGAGCGCCCCCTCCCGCTCTGTCTCTCACTCGACGGTGTTTTCTAACCTTCTTCCACGCTTTCTTACTTGTGCTGGCGTACACCTCTTTGATCAACTTGGGGTCACTCAGACTAATCGTATTCGGCCCAATTCGAACGGCTTGGCCCCATCTCCTATGCCACCCTCGAGTGGTAGAGTCCACATTGCCACGGGTTGTCAGGAAAGCCCTCCATGCATCGGTAAACTTGGACGCAAATGGACCCGGGAAAGTTCGAAGAGGCGACAAGAAGACTTCCCAAATCACTCTGACGAGGACATACAGCAAAAGAAGGGCAACAAGATGAGCCCCGGTGGTGGTTAGCACGGACATTGCGGAATGATGATGAAGGCAGCACGAAACTGTCAGATTCGGAATCCGTCTACGCGGTTATTAGTAGGAGAGAATGTCTTGTTCTTGCATGATTTCCGTAAACTTGACTCAAACAATGATGCGGCGGGGAAAGGAAAACTGCGAGAACAAATGCATTATACCTACCCACTTCCCGATATGACAGGTCTTGCAGCCATGCGAATCCTGGAAAACCGGCCTTGCCTCACTAGTATGTAGCTGCTCCGTTCTCTGGGAGGGGTTGCACCCTTTTTGGAGACATTCCAACCACTTTGACTAACTCCGCCGCGTGACACCAATGCAACCCGTGTTTTTGAATCACAAGTCCGGAGTACACACCATTCTAGTAGGAAGAAAAGTATGGTCCATCTCAGGGGGCTGATGGTGGCGTATCAAAGCTTGCGATTGAATACGTGCGGCACCGATAGGCCTACTTGAAAGTATGCATGTAGTCGTCTCTGGACCGGCTTTGATCCTGGGGTATCGGCAAAAAAAGAAACGTTTTGACGGTTGCCTCTGTGTCCGAAGTCAAATGTCAATAGTGGCAGCTCAAACGGCTCGTCTCGACTCTTGAGGCGCCAACTGATGTCGCCTTTTTCGTCTGCCACATTCTCCAGATCAACCTGGGCTTTCCCGAGGGCCAACTCGTAAACGACCTAGTAAACTGGCGACCAGGTTCGTGACAGAAGCGGCATCAATGTCGATGTCGTGGCTGCAGACATATTTTCAGCTGGTTCATCCTAGTCGCTGACCCGGACGCAGCCCAGAGTTGCAATGGCTTCTGACGGGCCATGTCGGTTGTTTCACACCTCGTCGCTTTGGCGCCTCCCCCGCCTGGATCCTAATTATTCAGGCATATGAGTCTAAAGGACGGTTTAATTTTGCATTGGTTTGGAGTCCAGACTGACCTTGGTCAATTGGTTACCGACTGCGAGACAAAAGTACAGAAATCCGCGGGTCGGTTGTAACTTCGGAAACCAGGGAATGGTCGGGGCTTCCCCAGCCCATCAATCCGCTACCACGGGTGATCTATGACTGAATGGTCGTCAAAAAACGAGATGTCACGATGAATACTTGGTTGATTGCGTAATGACTAATAAGCGCACAAACGCTAGCCGACGTACAAAGTATCTAGGTATACAGACTGCACTATAGGGTAGGGGCCTCAGGCACCAAGTGACCAAGCTTCTAACCTAGATTCCTCCCTCCATTTTATGTCCGTCCATTTGAAAGTTCAACTGAGAGCTGCGCATGAGACGGCACGTTGCCTCCATATCCATCTTATCTGACTTACCATGTATCGAAATCCGGTCAAACCGCCCCTTTTGACAAAAATGAAAAGGCTCTTACGGCATGACAGGTGTGTGGCTTCGGCGACGAACATATGATGGACAGACGACGGCTTCACATGCGACGAGGTCTTTCACCAAGCTCCATCAGCACAATGTGGTTGCAACTAATTTCAGCGGCCCAGCCGGCGCAGTACCACGCTTCAAATTCGACCAAGTGCGAATCCTCCACGATGAGGGCGCCAATACTCGGCAGGGCCGTCTGACGCAATGGGTCAACTACCGACTTTCCGAAAGAGTCGATGCCAAACAGTTGGTCGCCGAACGGAGGTTAGTATCGGGGATTCTCAGCAAAACATGACTGAGCCCTGTGGCTCGTTTTCTGGAAGCGCGGTTGCTACAACTCAAAACAGCGGGCTCAATATTCCGTCATGCTGTACACTCGGCGTCTTAGCAGAAGGATAGTATTGGGGCATCTGCCAAGACACTTGGAGAACCCACCGTGATGTTAGATGTTGCTGCAGAACTTCTGATGACACAAGGAAGGGCTATCAAAGATTCCCTTCCATTCCTTCGCAACCATCCGCACCGCAAGATTGCTGCGGCAGTCCCGCCGATTCGCCACTTTTCCGATGACTATCATGACGACACTGCTTGCTCTCTCGGGCATGCGGATTGCGGCATGAATCATCTTCGACCTTTGTGAGGAGCGCTTGGATTGCCGATGGAAGATTCCGTGGGGCAGAATTAAGCGTGCTGGAATTTGCAAACCTGCAATTCCGCTTTGCTTGGCAAGCAATGAATATTCATAAGGCGGTTATCGTTCTTCGACGCGATAGAACCGATCAGCATCAAGGATACCGCATCATGAGACAACATTGCGAGTGGACCTCATGCAAGGCTGGTTCATTGGCATCGTTTTGGCTCGTTTGAACGGGTTACACGTGCTGGTGAATCTAGATGTGAATGGATGTTTGAGCCCTTTTCAGGAGACCCCAATCGTTTTGTCACCTTCCTTTGCCGGCGTCCTGGTCTATGCAACAAAGATTCCCAGAAGAAGACAATGCTCTTAGGGACATGGGACACTGGTACATAAACAGAGAAGAGGCGGCTGGGCGGTCAAGGGCGTCGGGGGTTCGGGGCGACAGAAACAGGCATTGTTTGTGTTTTCAGTTGTTCGAATGGCACTTTTATTAGCCGCGCGGGCGCGGGGGGAGTTTGGACAGTTCCAAGAGCCGCTTCACTCGTCCAAATGTCATGCCATTGTGGCAACGTGGTGGACCGTTACAAGCGTACCCGTGTCTGGTTGTCCACAAATGTCGGTCTCCTGGCCGCATACATAACGTTACATACCTTACGAAAGCAGAGTGAGAGAGGCTGGCCGCCGGGGCCAAATATTCTGTGAGTACCAACGCATCCTTTGCCCGGTCATGACGGCAGCATGAAGACTATTAGATGGAGTGAGATGACGGCATGGGGATTTGTGTGGGACATTTTCGACGAGCTCCTCAGCATTGCAAGTCGGCCGAGACCGGTTTTCAGCCTAAAGTAGAACTAAGCTTGGGATCAAATCGAGCCCCGGGTCGGACAAATTCGTATTATGTGGTATGTCTTGCGAAGCCCATTCGGGGGAGTAGCCATCCCATCGACGGGTTCAATGCTAATAGTATTAGATTGAGGGCAAGCTTGCTAAGAACACACAGTCTTCAACGCTAGTGTGCCCTCCAATCAACAACTTATTCCAAGCTGGAGCCGTTTGACCGACGTTATGTCACGCGCATAAGATTTATTCTTCCACGGCGAGAGTTTTCCTCCAGTCTGGATGCCTTCGTAGCCAACGACATGCCTCGGAGTAGATTCTGCCCAGGAGCTGAAGCGCCAAGCTTACTGCTGCTGCCCTCAAAGCTGAGTGTAGCTGTCGTTGAGCCCAGTGCTACGGAGTACTACCTCCAAGCCTCAAACTGGCGATAGGATAACGTTAGTCGCTGCATGTCGTGTCACTTGCGCCTGTGCGCTCTGCAGGCATTGGGTGAGACAATGTGGTGAGATGAACACAATACTGAGTCAAACGACATCAAGTGCGTTGAGCGAGAATCATCCAACGGATGATTATTTAACGCTGCTGGCCGTTTGTGTTGAAGGACTTGCAAAAGCCTTTGTTGCTAGTGTCTTGGAGCGCAGTCGACTGCCATTAGACTCAGTCGCGTCTGCTCAAGTTCCAACGCTCAAGATACAGAGGACTTATCCCTCTTCAGCTAGGGAGTACATACGACTATCAAGTTGATCAACACTATTGAAACATGGACTGTGGGGGCCACGGGACGGCTTGCTCACTTGGAAGAGGACAGGGCTTCCTCAGCCATGCTCTTGCAGCAGGTCGATTACCCCATTCGAAGGGAACTAGATCCGCCTCAGCCGTTCAAGCAGATTATCCATTGGGGAGAGGAAGTTGGGACGGTCGTCGTTGGTCCCTGCCCTAGGCGGTCAAGGCACACCCGACTTCTATATCGACCGAGGATCATCTGGTTGCATGCCTCCCTGTGCGGGGACATGATGGAAAGTGTACCAAGGTCAGAGTATTTCGGACAACTACTACGGAGTAGTCCGTACCCCGTACTACATCTTTTACTGCCGCTCGATATCGGAGCCCCTGAGACATTGGTCTTGTTTCACTTGGCCTCCGTCGAGGGGGAGACGAGAGAACAGGTTGTTCAATGGCTTGCCAATGGTAGAGCGTTCTATGAGCATGCTCGAACGTACAACCTTGTGTAACGACATGATGAAGCACACTACTCTGCAAGATACGTACATTGATTCTTTCATGAAAGTTGCTGACTCTGATGGTCCAGTCGGCGCCGCCACTCATCGCCAACGTGCTTAAGTCCCACTTGATGGGCGGGTTGACGCTCGGAAATCTGGCTGTAGTGAAGAAGTCCTATGCTTAGATATGGATGGGTCGAGACCTTGGTCAGAGACAACCACAGCGGGCGACGGTGCGTGCGCAACTAGCTAGGTAACGATAACGGCTAGATCCGTACCGTCAGTCTCCAGCAACCCAATTTGTCCATCGCCGAGTACGGAGTACGGAGTAGACGCTATCGTCATGATGATGCTCCGGCATCTCGTCCAGGTCGACTTATGGAGAGACAGTACTACGGAGCAGAAGGGCACCTGGGCCTTTCACCCACGTTGTTCCCCATTTATTAATTCACCAAAAGCTCGAGACGGGGTGCTGCGGTTCTATCCGGTTGGCTCCAACGGTTGTTGTAGTAAAGATGGTGGCAAACAGACAAAGCACGGCGTAGCAGCTGCTACAAAGGAGAAGTATGAAGGATCTTCCAGCCACTCCCGTGCTTGCCTGAGCAAGGGGGGAAAGGAACTTCCAACCCACAATCCGGAGCAGGATCCCTTACTCCGTATTGGATGCATTCTTGATGGAGTGGAAATCAACCCCCAATGCTCGGAAGTTGGAACCCTGCCCTGGGCCGAGAGTCAAGATCCAACGCGGTGGATATAGTGGAGGCTCAACCTTGGATGCTGCTTGCCGGATGGCTTCCGCGCATACCTACTCCGTACTACAACGTCAAAAAGCAATTTACGAATATTCCGAGGCAGCCCTGCCCTGGCGGATTGCCACTGATGCAACCCCAATCCCGAGCTCCTGCATGTCTTTGGCAGTACAACTCCGTGCAATGGAGTGACAAGAAAGAAAAAAATGACCTGTCTTCTGGGCCAAATTTGCGTGTGTCGGTCCCGTGGAATGGGTTCCCGTGACATGCGACGGGAAGATTTGACGCCGAGCCCCTCGACACAGACAGAGTGCAGACTACGTCGCATGGCACCTGGAAGAGCCAAGTTTCCTTGATGAAAAATACTACGCTGCCGGTGGGCTCCATGTGGCAAAGCGGCTTTATCTGCTCGCACTCGAGTGCTTCTCTGCCGTGCGTTGGGGGGGGCGCCGCTGGGCAACCAGGGGCAAAAGAATGAATATGGGCGGTTGGAGCGCGCTGTGCACGCCAAAGGTTGGCCATGGGGTACGGAGTACATGCCTTTTTCAATGTGCAAATGCGAGCTTGCCTTTGAACCAAGGATTCACACGGTAGCTCTGATTTCTCGTGTAACCCTGAAGCAAAGGGATGGCTCGGACGGATATCGAGATGGGACCAACAACAAACATCGTTTATAGAGTCAGCCCGGTATCTCCCAACCATCTACTCGATGGCTTGACCGGCCCATGACCCAGTGACTCTTTTCACAGCCAACAATGCCGTCGATAATGATACCAAGGGCAGGGGGGACGCCGGCAGCCAGCGCCGAGTATCTCGCGGAAAGCAAGTCCGGAAGCCTCAAAGTAATCCTCTGGATTGCTGCATCACTCCCGACACTGTTTGTACTTATGCGCTGCTACACGCGAGTGTGGCTAAGGAAAGTGTTTGGTCTTGACGACGCTTTCATGGTGGCGGCTGTGGTATGTCCAGCATTTTCAACCGAACCCAACTTTTGACCACGTGAAGGCATTCTCCTGACGAGCTTTTTTGATTTTTTCCCTTTTATCTTATTTCCGAAGCTCATGTTGATTGCATACGCTGCCGTCCTGAACGTGGCTGCAGACAAGGGGCTGGGTCGGCACTTGGAATATATCATGCGAAACCCGCAAAACGCCATGGATGTTGCCATGCTCAGCTTTGTATCACAGCCGCTCGTCATCGTGTCGTGTGCCTTTGGGAAAACCAGCTTCGCCCTGACTTTGATCCGGGTGGCAGTACAGCGGTGGGTCATAGTGCTCCTTTGGTTCATGATTGTTTCCATGAACATTCTGCATGTCTTGATTTCAATCTTCGTCTTCCTCCGGTGCGAGGATCCCCGTCACCTATGGAATCCTACAATTCCCTCCAAATGTTGGTCGGCGGCAGCATTCGATGACTTGTCCCTGTTCATTGGCTGTAAGTTTTGATTTGCATGCTGACGGTGTGTTACTCTTGCCGTTCTGACCGGCTTTTCACCGTACAGCATACTCGGCCGCGACGGACTTTATCCTCGCGTTGCTGCCATGGGCGATCCTCTGGAAGCTGCAGATGAAGAAGCGCGAGAAGTTTGGAGTTGCTGTGGCCATGAGCCTCGGCATTTTGTACGTCATCCCCGAGCTGGAAGCTCTCGTCACCATGTCTTCACAGTTGGTCGCAGGATAAGGTGTAGTCGTGCCGGAGTGACTACGTGCCAAGATGCTACACAACAGACTAACTGTACTACTTCCCGCCAGTGCCGGCTCCATTGCCATTATCAAAATTCAGTATCTTGTCGCAAACACGGACGGCCAGGATATCACTTACTCCCTCGCTTCGCTCCTGGAGTACGTTGCAGCACCAGAGCGCATACGGGTTCAGGTCCGTAGCTTGCTAACTGTGCCTTAGATGGGCTGGAGTAGAGAACGGCGTCATTTTGGTGGGCGCCTGCGTTCCCACCTTGCGACCACTGCTCAAGAAGATATTCCCTGGGTCTACGGCCAAGAAAGAGGAGCCGCCGTCTCATGACACGGAGCTTGTGACCTTTACCAACTTCAACATGTTTTCTCCAAAAGCCAGACGGGGGCAGTGGAGTACGACGGTTGAAACCGAGCATCCCCAAGATACAGACGACCAGAGCGAGCGCAGCATTCTCAAGCGAGCCCCTGAAGAGAGCGAAAACACCGACGTCCTTCGCCGGTCGAGCCGAGGAGCTGGCCTGGAGCAGCCAAGCGATGAACCGCATCACATCAAGAAGACAATGGAAGTTGACGTCATCTACCATCAACCATGAATGCTTGGTCTTTACGACTCGATAATGTACGATTTGATACCTACATACATGTTGAATAGAGCAAAGATACACGACTGTACATTCTCATACCTGCCTGGGCTCGATAGATGTGGCTCAAGTTTGACGGTGCAGGTCCTTTACACGTGAAGACGGAACCATTGCAATTGATCGTACCTTGACTGAGCAAAGCTCAACGAGGTCCCCGTCTCGTGCTCCAGAGCTTGCGCCGTCGCATGATGCTCTGCTTCATATTTTGCGCCATTCGTCTGCAAACAAGTCACTGGATGTGGGCATCACTTCCGAGGTGACATTCGAACTTGACGAGGTCGTGCTGGATTGATTGATTTGCACCTCGGCTTTTCTCAGAACCTGCGACATTCAGCCCGCAGAGCCGAGGGAGTTGCCAGGGGAATAACGCAGGCAGAGGCTCCGTTGCGATTGGAAAGATGCCGGCTGGTCGATGCCTCCTGAATCCTGAATTCTGATGCCTTTGCGATTGGCTGGCTGGCTGGCTGCCAGTTCGGTGCCGGCTCTCGGCTCCCGGCTCTCGGCTCTCGGCCCTGGCGGTGGTACGTACACAATTTCCAAACGCAACAAGGTTCATCACGCATGCTTCAATCGACAAGCTTCGTCAGGTCTCACGAACAACTCGGCCAGAAAGTCACCACCATGGCCACATCACGCACTCCAGACTGAGCAACAAGGCCCTTACCCCTCGTCCAAGATCCCCGAAGACTCGGCGACCCGAGCGGCACTGGGACATGATGGCACATCTGGCCGCAGGGCTCGAGCCTCCTCAACAAGTTCAAGCGTCTCTCAACGCCGCTTGGAAGGGCGTCGCCTCTGTGCATGCAGAAGTGAGCCTTATCCGGATTCCAACTATTGGCGTTCGTCGACAACGCTTGGGCGAGCTGCTTTCAGAGCTGCAATTTCTGTGTGGCCTCCTGAATTGTATTTTCTGCCTCTCTCTTCACTTGTCAACTCAAGACCAGCAGGCTGTCGACGGCTTCTTCAACTATGCCATCTTGGACAGCATTGCACGTGTCGTCGAGAACATTTTGGATACTGCCGCCACGGCCCCGGATGATGAGTTGGTCACCATGACTGTGAACGTGAGGTTTTATCGGGACCTGGTATCACAAATCGCCACCTTCGCTGCCTACAACCTGTCCGTCCTTCACCAAACCCTCTTGATAGGACATCCCATACCGCCTTCAACCTCGAAAATCCCCACCGTCGATGATCTTGGTCCAACTCTGGAGAAGTGGCTGCGTCTGCTGAACTCTAGGCACTATGATCGAACCATTCTCGAGTGGGCTTCTGAGCGTGGCCTGGTTCAGGCTCGTCGAGAGTTGGACCCCGAATACCAGCGGGCAGCCACAGGCTGGGCAAAGTTCGCAAGCACTAGCTGGGAGTTCATAGAGCCTTTTGTGAGACAACTCTTTGCCATGCCAGCCACCAACAACTTCACACAATGGGCTATCGAGCACGCCCGATCATCCTGGCCATACGTCTACGGCTTCGACGCGCCTACGGCCCAGCCCGTGGTCACCTTGGTCAATGATATATCCCTTGGAAAAGTCACGCCTCTTCACTATGCTGCCATGCTTGGGCTTTCCGACCTTGTCAAGTATCTCTTGCTTGGTTCCCAGACTATCAATCTAGTCAATGCGAACGGCTGTTTCGGGACGCCTCTGTTTTGCGCCCTGGTCGGACCTCGTGTGCTGTTATTTGGAACCCAGCCGTCGTCTTGGGGATACTTGGTCGTTTCAATGGAGCCTGCGGATGCGGCGCTCATCAAAGAGCTATTGGCACGGGGCGCTTCGGGAGACTTCAGCTTCTCCATGCCGGACGTGGAGAACCCGATTCAATTGACGCATGTTGCATTCGTGGCGGCCACCATCCTCGAGGACCCTGACATTTTTACAATGGCCGCGGAAGCAAGAACCCCCCTCCAAGAAGATTTCACCCTTATGCTCATCAGCTCCTCCGTCTTTGAAGAAAAAGCTGATTCAAATCCGGCCGTCATGTCTAAGCTAGTCACGGCAGCTTTCGACCGGGCTATGGTTATGGCAGATGACAGCCTGCCATGGGAGGATGACGTGGTCTGCGGTGCTATTTGGAAGTTTATGAACGTAGAATGCTTGGGTTTCGATACGGAACAAAAGGTTACGTTGCCATTCATCAGCGATGGCGACTTCGCGTCCGTCGTACGGCAGTGCGTGATTGACGATCGCGCCATCATTCATGGTAGGCCCGTCTACCTTGAGCGACTGATGCAGGACAGGCGCTTCGACCCGAATCTTCTTGCTCGGGAGGGTACCGACGAAGAAGGCACCATTTTGCATTTGGCTGTCAGTGGCAGGCACGAGCTGGTGCTGCACGAACTCTACCTCGCCAACGCTGACTTTGGCGCCAGGGACGCGCAGGGCCGGACTCCCCTCATGGTTATCGAGAGCGTGGCGGTTTTGAGAGCCCTGGTCAGGCAGTACAAGGTTTCGACTACAGCCAAGAACAACGACGGCCAGAACATCTGGCATCTAGCGGCCGCCACCAACGATGCCTCACTCCTCAAGTGGCTCTGTGCAAATGATCCAGACAAGCCCGCCAACATCAACGTTATCAGTAACGCTGGGCGGACACCCCTCGCCGAAGCCCTCCTTTGCTTCAGTATTCTCTCGGACAGACAACACAAGCCAACCCCGACAGCGGCGAAGACGCTGCTAGACGAGGAGTTGGTTGACGTCAAGCTCGGGACTTCGAACCTGCCAATGAGCATGGCAGAAATCACCGCCCAATGGACAGACTCCGAGTTGGCCGCTAAGCTAGTAGCGGCTGGGGTGGCAATCTGAGGCTTTTGTATTGATTGCTTTGACACAGTCTTTTCCCCCAGCGGGCACGAAAAGTGTGACTGACGAGGTCACGACTGGACCAAGGCGCGGAGAAAACCACGACTATCATGAGAATGTAATGCATAAGGGCGGGGAGCAAAAAAAGAAGAAAAAGAAAAAGAAAGCAATACGGCAGAAAAAAAACAGAGTTGGGCAGGGTCTTGAATCGCATTTTTGACGGCTTTTGGACGCGAGTCGACATGCTTGCTGTAGGAAGAATATGCTACTTTCCCCGTCCACATGGATTTATTGACGGCGTACTCCGTAAACTGTACATGTAGTTCTACCAGACCACCGCCGTGAGAGCGGCAGCGAGCAAAGCAAGACAGGCGTCGTTGCTCCTCGAGAAGATGACGAGTAGTTTGGCCGCAGGGAAGGAGGACCTAGGCAAGACAAGCAAATAATTCACCCCTCCACAAACACCACGCAGTTGGTATCCGTCGTCCATTCGCATTGTATATGAATCCCATGACGCGTCCCATCAAGCCGCGCGCCCGCAAACGCCAAGCAATGCCTCGACAATAACACAACACAACAAACATCCCGTCAGCCCCAGGTGCCGCCGCCGCCGCCCCTGCCGCCTCTCCTCTGCGCACTCAGCCTCCAGTCGTCCTCGCCCGCAAACTTGTTGTACAGCGGCTGTATCCGCTCGGCCTGCCTCCTCTTGCTCAGCCTATCGCTGGGCGCGACCTTGAAGAAGGTGGGCGCCGCCTCGACCAGCCACTTGGGCTCGATGGACGACGTGCAATGCATGTACTCCTTGGTGGTCAGGACGAGGTCGTGGTAAATCACCCACTCGGCCTGCTTGCCAAACAGCGCCGAGCTGGGGTGCAGGTAGACGGGCGTGCCCTCCGTCAGCGTCTTGTACCCCTCCTGGGGGTCTTTGCGCGCCGCGTTGCGGAAGAAGCCTGAGCACAGGGCGCGGCGGACCTTGTCCGTGTTGCGGCCGCACGAGACGATGGGGTGCTTGTAGCGCTCCATGATCTTGACGAGTTGGTCGCGGACGTCCTTTGCGCGGCGCATCGAGCGCGCCTGGATGAAGTTCTCGAAGCACCACGGGTAGGAGTAGCCGTTTTGCTTCCACGTGTTGTAGACGTTGAGGAAGGTCAGGTGGTCCCCGTGCGGGTCGTGGAACTTTGCCTTTTTCTGATCGGCCTGCGTCTGCTTCTCCTTGGGCCTGTAGAAGACGGCGCCTTGGAGCGAGAGCATGGCGATGATGCTGAGGGCTTCGTCGGAGCACTGGTGGTCCACGGCGGAGAGGAGCACCTTGGCCGAGGCGGGATCCATGGGGAAATCTGCCATTTTGCGACCCAGGCGCGTGAGGAGGCCCTCGTCGTCGAGGGCGCTGAGCGCGTAGAGCTCTTCCAGCGCCGTCAACATGGTATTGACGGGGGGGGGTCCATGAAGTCGAAGTGGAGGAGGTCGTTGATGCCCATTGCTTTCAGCATGAGAATGGTGTGCGAGAGGTTCTGTCGCTGGATTTCGGGGATGGTCGTGGGCAGCATTTCAGATTGGTACGCTGCTTCGGTGTACAGTCGAAAGCATTTCCCTGGGCCTGTCCGGCCGGCCCGGCCGGCTCTCTGGTTCGCTTGGGCTTGGGATACTGGCGTCACGACGAGCGAGTCCATGCCCAGCTTGGGGTCGTACGCGCTTTGCTTGACGAATCCGGGGTCGACGACGTAGTAAATCTCATCAATCGTGATGGACGTCTCGGCAATATTCGTGGCAATGACGACTTTCCGAGCTCCCGGTGGTGCGGGATCAAAGATCCTGCTCTGCATCTCAGCAGGTAGGCTGGCGTAGACTGGCAGGATCAGAAGCTCGGGGACCGACGGACCGAGCGCCTTCATCCGTTCGTACAGGATCTCGCAAGCCGTGTCGATTTCCTCCTTTCCTGTCAGGAAGAGTAGAATGTCGCCCTTTGGCTCCGTCAGGTGGATTTGCATAACTGTCACCAGGGCCGCATCCAGATAGTCGGACTCTGGTCCCCTTGAATAAAGAATCTCGACCGGGAAAGTTCGACCAGGGATCGTGAAGATGGGGCATTCATGGAAATATGATGAGAACTTGTCCGCATCAAGAGTTGCCGACGTGACGATAATCTTGAGGTCTGGCCGGCGCACGACAGCCTTCTTGAGCAAGGCGAAGAGAACATCTGTTGCAATTGTACGTTCGTGTGCCTCGTCCAACATGATACACGAGTATCTCTTCAAGTCAGAGTCCATCAAGACTTCTCGCTGCAACATACCATCCGTCATGTACTTGATCCTTGTTGATGCACTGGTGCAGTCGTCGAATCGAACCAGGTAGCCAACCTCTTCTCCCATCTTGCAGCCGACCTCTTGGGCAACACGCTTCGCAACCGACATGGCCGCGACTCTTCGGGGTTGTGTACAGCCGATGATGCCCTTGTCCGCGAAGCCTGCCTCTGCCAGGTACTGGGTGAGTTGGGTGGTCTTTCCGGAGCCAGTTTCGCCCACGACGATGAGAATCTGGTTTTCCTGTACAGCCTTGATGAGCTGGCTACGGAAGGCGTATACAGGCAAGGATTCTCGCTGCTCCTTGATGCTGAGGTTGGTTCGCTTGCCAAGAGGCTGCCCCCCGGGGATGACGGCTTTCTTCCACTCCGGAACATCTTCCGACTCGGCTTGCGTTCTCGCATTCCTCAGGTCACTAGCAAATGTCCGTTTGTCGGGGTCGGCCATGGGGTCCTGCCACTGTGATGAGAGGTTCTGGTTGGATTGCTTCTCCTTGGCGGCAGCATCTGCTTCTTGCTGCTTCAGTTCCTTTCGTTCTTTGGCTATGGAAGTGCCAGACATGGCGGCGCGGTTCATCGAGCCATCAGGGGCCTTGACGACACGGATGGGAGAGAGCTCCAGAGACTGCTTTGTCTGGCCAGCCAAGAATGGGGGTTCTTCCTCGCGAACTTCAATGTCCACGTCCTCTTCCAACGCCATCTCTCCATCACCTTCAAGGGTAGCATTGTAGTCTTCCTCCAAATCTGGGTAATCGGAGGCTTTGGCAACCCCGGACGCAATAAGCTGCCTGATTTCCCATCTTTCCGGAGATGTCATGCGCTTCTTATGCCGTCTAGGCGGGCCGAGAGCATCTCTTGGCATGGCCGAGGTGTCGTTGACGAAGCCATTCTTGACACCACTTCCAAGGGCCTCCATATTAGCCCCTGTTGTGAGTCGCGCTTGCGGTTTCAAGTCCATTCCGTTATCTTGGTCCACGTCGTTCATGCACAATCCAATTCTCTTCCCTTCGATGCTGATAACCTTGACCCAAACATCCTGACCCTTGGATAACAGGTCGGAAGGGTGGTTTACCCGCTGTCCCGAGATTATTCTCGAAATATGCACGAGACCGTCCACCTTGCCGCGAACGTGGTGTAGATTTACAAAGACACCAAATTCCCTAATGCCAGCCACATGGCCTTGGTAAACCTTGTGCAGCTTTGGCGCATCGTCAATTTCAGGGTGTGGTGCTCTATCGAGCCGGTCATCGTTGTCGTCTTCGCCATATCTTCGTCCCCGTCTGTCTCTGCGCGAATCCTTGAACCCGTCCCGCCAATCTTCATCGCCCCGATCTTGTGACCGGGATCGCGACCTAGGATATTTCCGTGCGCGTCGGTCGTATGAGCGCGATCTGTCCCGTCGTCTCCTCCGTAAATCCTTGCCCTCGTGCTCGGGGCTTCTGCTGCGCTTCCTGGATGCCTTTTCTTTCTTGGCTTTGCCTTCTAAGCCCTCTAGCAATGCAAGGGTGTCATCTATCGCGTCTGTGCCGTTGTCATGCTCGACCACTTTATCTGCCAGCGCAAGACCACTAAAGACCTTCTCCTTCTCCTCAAGTGTTCGGGAGTGATGTTCCTCTCCGTTGACTTGGTCGCCCATCCCTTTGAATTTGGGATGCATAGCAAGCACTAGGCGATCCAAGCTATCCACCAGACTGGGCGGAAAGTCCGCGCCAATCTTGTCGAGCTTCTTGCGGAAGTCATCGGTGCTGGAGCTTTCGAGGCGTTGCGAGATGAGAAACTCGGCCAGGGTCTTGTCGTTGATGCCGATATGGTTCTGTAATTCGGACGCGACCTTTGATACGAGCGACAGAAGCTCGAGATTCAGTAGGTCATCCATGGCAGGCGAAGGGTGCTTTCCCGCGCCGACATGGAACGGGACAAGTTTGTACGTGCTTGTGAGAGAATCGCGATGAGGGGCCAAAAATGCGTTGGGAGTCAGGACCCGCCGGTGACAGCGACGGGTAAATGCCGGAGTCGGCCAGGTGGCGTGCCTTGACCCTAACCCTGGATTTTGATCACCTAGAAGCTTCTGGAGAGGTTGTCTATATATATATATATATATATATATATCTATATGTCTAGACAGTAAATTTAATACCAAATCTTTGGAGTCATCAAATGCATTTGCAAAATGAACCATGACGCATGTTGTCAGCCTTGCATCCCAGAGATTCGCAGCCTAGAGCATCATGCCTTCTGATGTAACACAAACATGCAGCTGAGTTCTCTGAAAATATCAGGTAAGTGGATGGAGAACTCGGATGAACCGTGGCTAGTTCTCCAGCTGCATGCCTCCGGCTTCAACCCGCCGTCGACTGAATGTCAATTTGTCACACAAAGAGTGCCTTAGCCAGAAGCCACTTTACACGTAATTTTTCCCTTCCTCTACACTTCTTGCCGTGTGACACATTCCCGGTCATTACGTTTCTAGCATCTGCCGTGATTTTTCCACCGTAGAAGTAACGTTGACATGGGATGGGCTGACCATCCTACACGAGCAAGCTATCGGGTCCAAGTTTGCTCAAGTGATACAAGATACGCCTGCATGAACAATGAGTGACAATAATTCAACAACTCAAACACCTCAAGATCTAGCAGCACGTCCGAGACGGCGCTGCGTAGGAGGCTTTCTACGCCAGAGGCCGTTGACCTCTAGGCGCCTACCAGACAACGGCATTGGCGAAGACACACGCTGAGGACGACTGGTAACGGTGGCATTCTAGTCCTCTTCCTGGAGGTAAACAGGACTGAGCAACAACAACGGCCTCATGATCGAGGGCTTCGGCGCTGCGGGATATCTTCTGCCCGGGCCAAGCTGTTTTCTCGACGTGCGTCCTACTCCTCAAACCAAAGTATCCAGGCTCAAGGAGTCGAAGAATGGCAGGATCCATTGGAAAAGCACGACTCGCCAAACCGTCAATCAGACCCGGCTTCAACTCTGACGCCTAGGTTGACAAGCACATCAAGCGTGTCGCACGGCTCGTTCCCGAATGGACCACGAAAGTACAAAGTGTATACGGCGCTGACAAGAAATATGACTCCATGGACAGCCGCGGTCGGCGCACTTGCTCTCTGACGGGTGAGCATTTCGCAAACATCAATGGTGGGGTTCTCATGATCTTGCGGCAGAGCGTACAAGGAAAGTGTGACGTGGGCCACGTCCATTTTTTAGTGTGACAGATCTCGTGGGAACGTACGTAAGTACTCAAGTACCTAGGTACTTATACGTAAGCCAAGTCCCTGTGGCTTGCAAATAGACCAGCCATCTCGCTACAAGACCACAACTGTCATTACTGCACATTTCGCGCAACGTTTATTCATAATGTAGTTGTGCAGAGGAAGGGGACGGTCCGTTCTTTACCAAAGCACGTATCCGTCCCCTATGCTCAGGTTCAGCCGCAGAAATGTCTGCCTAGCTGCGCAAGAAGTCATAATTGTTGCCTCTCATTACTCGAGCCCCCCTCCAGGCCTCCAAGGGCCGTTCGATTACTCAAGTAATCCGTACTACTGTGTACTACTAGTACGGAGTACGTACCCTGCGCCACCATCCTTCTATCCAATCAAGTGGCCTGCTTGCCACCCGCTCACACGCACGCTTGAATGCTGGCCAGCTGTTTTCAAGAACCCGTGACGGTTTTGGCTGTCCGTCGCGATGCCTTGCGGCTGGACTTCGTCATCACCCTCCCTCCACCCCATCTCACCTGATAACTGATTCACCTCTCCCGGCTCAAGATTACTTGCGCGCTCTGGGTCCCGCCACCTTTTCAACCAGCAGAAAATCCGTTTCTCAAGCACTGCACTACATTGTCGATATTAGATTGTGACCATGTGCTCCGCGGACATTTTCCTCAGCGTACTGGCCATCCTTTTCCCCCCGCTACCAGGTACGCCCTCCACGGTCCAAGCCCAGCCGTAGTCTTCCTCCCAACGGATCCTATCTACGGGCACACAAGTCCGTCATGATGCCATGGCTAACATGTCAAATTAACAGTCTGGGTGAAATGCGGCATATGCAGTGCCGATTCCATCATCAACCTCCTCCTCTGCTGCCTCGGCTTCCTTCCGGGCCTCTTCCACGCATGGTACATCATCGCCAAGTTCCCCGAGCCGGCATACGAGTACGAGTCGCTACCCCAAGAAGGTGGCCGCGTCACATATGTCTACGTCCAGACTCCGCACGTCCCTCACTGCCGACCGCCCGCGCCGAGCGGCGGCATGGGCTACGGGACTCAGCAGGGCGGAATCAATAAGAACCAGCAGCAACATCCGCAGACACATGGTTCGCAACAACCACAGGGCCAGGCTGGTGCTTCTTCTGCGCAGGACACGTCGAATTCGCACGATGGGGTGCCGCCTAGCTATGCAGAGGTTGTGGCCGGTGACCATAAAGTCCAGACCTAAAATTAAAACTCACGGCGAACCTTTGGGAGACGGGAGTTCAAGAGTTCAGGCATGGAGAGAGATTCGTGATTGGCCTTGTCACTTTGAAGAAGCTGCTGGCTGGTAGTCTGTGCTTTCTAAATGGCGGCGTCTTGGTCGTGTGGGCAGCTTCGGGAGCTCATTGGGGGTCTCATAGGACCATTCGCTTCGAATGGTTATGGAATACTGAATCTAACCACGTCTGTATATTCTAGGTTTTAACAGCATCCTGACCTTTTCTGTTTTTTTGTCATCATGATCCAGGGTGGTGCAATATTTTGATCAAGGATCTCTCGATTCACTTTCCAGTGTGCCTAAAAATAAGCTTTTCGAGCTGCTGTGTGCGCTGTGTCCACGTCTAAATATTTCCCTCACTCCGCAAATGGTCTTTCTTCTGCCCCTGGGTTATCAACTGACGGTGCTGGTCGATCATCATCTCGAGGCGGTTTGTAATGCCTCATCATTTGCTGGGGCAAGAACGTATAGAACGATGGCACAATGCGCTGAATAGTCTTGATGAACCGAATCCCAGTGTTTAACTCAACAATGGTCATGTCCATTTTCATCCCGGTCAAAACGTTTGCAAGAAGCGAGTCTTCGAGGTAAACCCACGTGTTCGTGGTGCCCTGGGACGAGATGGGGGTATTCGGCGTCTCCCAGTCATCTTCAATCATTGCTTGTTTGAAGAAAACTTTACCCACCGGTTCAATTTTACAGTCGATGCCTTCGATTCGAAGAGCAGCAAACTTGTCCAAAACCGATGGGGAGGGTCGTTCAACCCTGACAACTTCCAAGGTGTGGCACTGCTTTTCGACCTCCTCAACACGGCCTTGGACGAAGTGATCCAGAGTGAACGCCTCGTTAGACAATGCACAGACGGCAAGAAACACAGTCTTGGGGTCGAAATCAGCAGGTCGAGAGAATGACTGAAATGACCAGTCGCTAGCCGCCACGGAAGAGAATAACTCGGTGGCAGCAAGGTTGAAGCACCCGGGCAATCCACCCATGAGCCTATTCACAGCCGGCCACTCTTGTCGTGCCTGGCCGCAAATCTGCAAGGCGGACTCGACGTCGTCTTTGTACTCGGGACAAACTTCGTGCAGCAAGACGTATCGTAGAAAGTTTTCTACAAGGGAGATGAAGCACTCGGTCCTCTCTGGCTCAAAACCTGTCAACGGGCCCAGCGATGTAGAAAACAAACCGGCTGCCACACCGGAAAAATCGATAGACCAGTGCTCGTCGTCTCCATTGTAGAATCGATTGTCGCCGCCGCAGGCTCCATTGACCGTGTCTGAAACTGTCGCCTCGCGACGCTGCGCGGGTGTGAGGTCTTTCAGGTCGCTGGTGTCAAGTCCCGAGAAGGCATTACCGCGGGTGTCAATACCGCCGAGGAAGAGGTATTCGTCAAAATAGAGAACTTGGTCTCCCTGCAGGCGTCGACGTGCCCGAAAGCGCCGGATACAAGACTGAATTCGTCTATTTCGTCCTGATTAATGCAAGGAGACGGCATGCTGTGAATGACAAGACGTACTCTTCAAAAGGGAGGCAACTGAGGAACACCCGTACACATTAGCGAATCACAATTGGAATAGCTACATTGGCGACCTGAGTCCAGACTCCATACGTACTCTGCATATATTTCGAGCTTCTCTTCGGCGGCTTCGTCCGGCGTCATTGGCGGATCAGCAAAGTACTCTGGTAAAGTGTTAATATAGTACATAATGGGAAAGAGAAGTCATGAGACCACAGCTCACCTTCAAATCCCGTCCCGCGATTTCGCGGTAGTGCAGTTTCGCCTCGCAGGGCGGTGGATTTCTTGCCTCTGGACCTCTTCTTCTTCTTTGGCGCGACCTGGTGACCTGGGCTGATTAAAGATGTAGCGTCTTGGTCAGAAAACTGGTGATCGCCACGATTTCCTCCGCCATCATTCTCTGTGGTTTGGTGAGCCGCTATGGTGGCGTCGCCGGTCAGAGCTCCGTTATCCATTTGAGGCGACAATAAGTTGTCAAGAAGTCTTGGGCACTTTGAGATACCCACGAACTCACCAAGCATCAAGACAAAGAAGATTTGAAAAGAAGCCCAACAACAAGTTTTGAAACCTAGCCTACACATTTGCCAGCTGTCGTCTGACCGTCCCAGCTGGCGGCAGCTCATATGAAGGAGCCGCGGCAACTGTGCACAAAGGCGTTTGCCTGGCAATGTGCAAACAAAACCAAACGACATCTCATCAAGCGCCTTTGTGGCAAGGATTGACGGGCATGAGTGGGACAACCTCTCATGGTCTACCGATTTTCACGACGACAAAGTCTTGGATGAAGCGAAGACGCGCTGCAAAGCCATCCCGTGCAGGCGTGGCGTAAGCGCTTTGGTCTATCGGCAGAACTGCACGACCTCTAATACGAGTTGTGGTTTTTTGGACGGGAAAAAAATAATTTGAATGCTACGGAAAATTTCGGCACCGTGGCTGCACATTGGCCAACGGAGCGAGTGGTCGCAGTCACACGGCATGGTGTCCCACGTTGTGCCTCATGTCGGCTGTGCGCAGAAGTTGCACGGACGATCACCTGCAGCGGTGCATGTATGTATGTAGATATCTCGCAAGGGGGTGTTCTTGGAAATGGTGTTTCAAGGCCGAGTGAGTTCCGAGGCATTCGCAGTATTGGTTGTCGTGACGAAGCCGCTTGATAAAAGTGGAGCCCCAGTTATGTCAACCTACCAGCTTACGACAAGGTGCGTTGATTGACCACGACACCAAGTGGTTCGCACTCTCGTTCTTGTAGCCCTCCCCATCATGTCAATTCCGGGCTTGGGCCAGATTCCCGTGCAGGTGATATTCCACGACGTTCGTCAGTCTTCGCACGACACATGACTGACGAGCCAGCTTTCCTAGACCGTCACCTCTTCGACCCGCACAATCGTCCTCAAGCCAGCCTGGGAATGGCGTTTCGAAGTACCTGCCGGCCGCATCATCTCCGTCAAAGTCCTCTCTGGCACCGCTGAAAAGGATGGCGTCGAGCTTGCTGTCCGCAACACCTACTCTTTCAGGGCAATCAAATCCAAGATTTTGACTTGGCACGGATGCGAGCTCGAGGTCGAGGGACGGACTGACGACGATTTCGTCGCGGAATATGCTTCCCCCGAGGCGAACCCGGCGAATGCATATGTGAATCTCCACGCCCAGCTGAGTGAGATGCGGAAAACGGCCGTGGCCGAGCGGAGAGAAGGCCCGAGGCTGCTGATTGCAGGCCCGCCGACGACTGGGAAAAGTACGCTCGTCAGGACGCTCGCGAGTTACGCGACGCGACAAGGGTTCGAACCTATCGTCGTGAATGCCGATCCCATGGAGGGTATGTTGAGCCTGCCGGGGACGCTGAGTGCCAGTGTTTTCGCCACGGTGATGGACCCTGAGGCTGTTGACGGATGGGGCACCACGCCGACGAGTGGACCGAGCACCGTTCCTGTCAAGCTGCCGCTCGTCTACTACTACGGGAGGAATCTGCCGGATGACGATCCTGAGTTCTACAGAGAGCTGACGAGTAGGCTTGCTGGCACGGTGAGTGCGCGGCTCACCGAGGACGAGGGTGTCAGGGGCTCCGGCGTGATTGTGGACACGATGGGCGTCAGTGAGAAGAGTAAGATTGGGGAAGACCTGCTCGCTCATATTGTCGACGAGTTATCTAGTAGGTTGTCGCTCCGATGTGGTTTGAACGCGACGATTGGAGGAAGCTAACGGTGCCAGTCAACATCATCGTGGTCCTCGGCTCCAATAGAATGACAGCGGAGCTCTCGAAGCGCTTTTCTGCAGAGAAGACTTCCCTTGGCGAAGTCATCCACGTCATTGGGCTCGATCGCTCAGAAGGCGTAGTTGAGCGGGACGAAGGCTTTTTGGAGCATTCAAGGGAACAGGCCATCAAAGAGTATTTCTTCGGGGACGCTAGGAGAGCGTTGAGTCCGCAGATTCAACAGGTTGATTTTGATGCGCTTGTTATATATAAAGCGTCTGATTGTGAGTTTTTTTTTTAGGTTTTTTTTCTGCCTTTATTTGTCGTCGAATCCGACCTCCTACGTTCTGTTGTGGCTTTGTAGGGGTCTTCCGTGATTGACGCTTGCCATTCGGCTTGCTGCTGGGGACCATGCGCGCGCCACAGCCAGAATGTAGAACATTATTCAATGGATCCTAACTATTCATAGACTCGGCGTACGAAAAAGCAACATTGTCCCGCGATGGACCCTCGTCCACCATGCAACACTGGACGTTTGCCATCATGCACGCTTCGCCCAAGGATCCTCCCGAGGTGGTGAGGGCTGCGACAGTGATGGGTTTCGTGTATGTTTCTGATGTTGATGAGGAGAGGCGGAAGATTAAGTTGTTGGCGCCGGTGGGTGGTAGGCTGGGTGATAGGCCGTTAGTTTTGGGGAGTTGGCCGGAGCCGTATATTAATCTTTTGGGGTGAGTCGTTTTGTCATGTAGGAGTTTGGGATGCAAAGTGCTATTGGCACCGGCTTTCGTGGGAGGCGCAATACCCAAACATGGATGAAGATTCCGTTTTGATATTGGAGACATGTGCCTTGCTACTTTTTTGGGCCGCCCGTGCCCAGCACAAATACCTGACGGCTTTTGGATGTCACAACGATGCTCCAGATCCAGTAGGCCATGTGCTAGTACCTGAAAATGGCATCTAACTTTTGTCTGGAAGGTGTCTCTCATCTCATCGTGTCTCGAGGTGGGCAACACGTGATGCGGGTGGAAGCTAGCAGCAAGAGTAGGATGAGCATTTCTCGGCATCCAATCTGATTGGGTACCAACCCGCGAGAGGTGTCGTGTCAGGCAAGCAACTAAACAGCTTCAGCGGATGTCCAGCACGGCCGTGAGCACGACATGGCAAGACTCACGACACATTATCGCCGTCTCAAATTCCGAATGGCCATTCTCGCAGATGCAACGCCGGGTCCTCGACATGGACCTAGGTATGCCAAGTTTGCAATCCTTGTAGAGGACAAAGGCGGGTTCAACGTTATGCTTAAAATGTTGATGCAACCTTGGTTTCAAGTCTGTGTTGATTGAGGGGCGGCGCCTGGGTTGGGGGATGGTCTGCAGGGTAACCATTTCTCGAAGACCAGATGGTGCGGTAGCCTGTGAGGGAAGAGAGAGAGCCGGTCCCAATCTTTCGGATCTATTCGACGGCGTCGGATGGAGGCATTACTCCGACAGGTGACCGTTTGCTAACGTAAAGATGACGATTACCGGGACGCCGCAGGTGCCAAGACACATCGGGCCAAGCGATGGGTAGGACAAGGAAAGGACGAGTGAATGATGGCGGCATCTCGAACGCCACCCCGACGCGCAATGGAGACTCGGCGCTGCCTAGTCTTGAACGGCTTGGACGAGACTCTTGGGCCACGCGGGGATGGTGGATGTTGAAAAAGAATTAGTTAGAAACGACGTTTGACTGGGCAGTCAGCAGGCCAGCCAACGAGGACGCCGCCAAGGGATACGTAGGTACGTAACTACCTAGGTAACTACTCCGTACCTTACTCCGTAAGAAGTAGGCATGCCATGGGACTCTGCGGTTGTGTCACGCTCCAGAGTGCCTCGTAGTAAGTTACAGACCACCAGCACGCCGCACGTCTCCAGTATGTCGTGCAACTCAGCCACACTCAAAGTGGATCGTCCATCTTGGCACCAACCTAAATCTCGACCAAATCCTTGGCCTCACTACTCCGTAGTTACCTTACTATTTTGTGCGAACCGTTCCAACTCGCCAGAGGACGAGACAGCATAAAATGGGATCGAGGCTACATCCAAGTATGGACGCTCGTACCAAGTGAGTACTCGAGTAAGTACCCTGGTAGGTTAAGTACCTAGACCTACTTACGTAAACCACCTACCTACTTAAGGTAGGTACCTAGGTACTTTAAGGTAGGGCTTAAAGTTCAACATCACTGGTGGGGCATGGCGCACTGATTGTCTGCTTCTATGCACGGAAGGCGCCAGTTAGCTTGTTTCTTTACCCTCCGCATCAATCTCATTTGTTCCTTCGGTCCTCGACTCCTCGGTCATCCTCGTTGACTCGTCAGTCATCAGTCATTAGACATCACGCTGGCCATGTTCAAGATAATCAGCCACTTCCTGGCACACGGGGCCCATCTGGGCTTGGCTTGCCCAGCTTCAAGCTCCGGGACTCTCCATGCTCGTGACCAAGGTGGATGCATCCCCTGCTCTCAACTGCGTGTCTTTTCCTCGCCGTTGTTTTGTGCTGCTTTTCTTCTTCTTCTTCTTCTTCTTTCATCGCCATCCTCGGGCCTTCATTGCTTTAGTCCCTGCTACTTCTTCATCGTCCATCCGATTCCTCTTCTTTGTGGAAGTCGGACCTCGACGCCAGCATCCCACTGATAGTAGGGACTTTGCAGTCCTCCTCGGCTTCCGCCTACATCGGCTCTTTCACCTTTCCTTCCATCTTACCAAGTCTGCTCGCGGCGCAGCTTGATATACACGTTCGATGGGAGAACCTCTTGTTGTCAGTGCGAATGGTGCAGAACACACCAACTCCTCCTCGGACTCGGAGGCCATCGCCGGCCCCGACGACCAGCCACCTATAGCGGAACCTCCCGATATATCCTTTTCAAGTGAAAAGCCAAATTGTCATCATACGCATTCTGCCCAACACGTTGCTGAACAGCTCGCCACCGACCAAGACCATGGGCTGAGCGACGACGAGGCGGCCGCCCGGTTGGCCCGGGACGGTCCCAATGCTATCAAAGGAGCTCGGGGTCTCTCCATTTGGAAAATCTTTTTGCAGCAAGTCGCCAATGCTCTAACTCTTGTCCTCATCGCTGTCGCTGCAATATCCTACATTATTGGCGACTTTGTCGAGGGCAGCGTGGTAATTGCCGTAATTGTGCTCAATATTGTCGTTGGGTAAGAATGACTCATCACTATTTCGGCCTTCACTTCGGTGACGGTGCTCTGGGAGATCCAAGTTTGGCTCTATACCGTTCTCGCTAACGCGGCCCAGGTTAATTCAAGACTACCGTGCAGAGCAGACTATCCAATCTCTCTACGCGCTGTCTACGCCCAAATGCAAGGTTATTCGAGATGGCCACAGCTATACCGTGAAAGCCGAGACACTTGTCATAGGCGACCTGGTCTCTCTTGCGACTGGTGACGTAGTGCCAGCAGATTTGCGCCTGGTCCAGGGTATGAACTTGTCCACTGACGAGGCACATCTGACTGGCGAGTCTGTAGCCATCAGCAAGAAGCCCGAAGCGGTGTTTACCGACCCTGACATGCCCGTTGGTGACCGTATCAATCTGGCCTTCAGCGGTAGCTCCGTCACCCTTGGCCGCGCTACTGGCATTGTCATCTCAACCGGAATGGACACAGAGGTTGGCCAGATTGCCGAGCTCTTGCGCAGGGAAAAGAGGGAGGTCAATGGCAGTAATGCAGCGGTCAAGGCCCTCTACTCGTCCTACCAATCTGTTCGTAGAATTTTAGGCCTCGAAGGGACTCCTCTGCAAGTGACTCTTAGCAAGTTTGCCCTGCTTCTTTTTGTCTTCGCCATTCTTCTTGTCGTCATTGTCTTCTCGGTCAATCTATGGGACATCGACGACGATATCCTTCTCTACGGCATCTGCGTTGGCGTGGCGGTCATTCCCGAATCCCTTCTCGCCGTGCTGACTGTGACAATGGCGGTTGCAACAAAAGCAATGGTTAAAGGCCATGTCATTGTGCGCCAAATGCCGTCCCTCGAGGCAGTAGGCGGCGTGACCAATATTTGTTCCGACAAGACCGGAACTCTTACCCAAGGCCGCATGATTACTCGTAAGGTTTGGCTTCGTGGTGGTCTAACCGGTACGGTCGATGGGACGTCTGATCCTTACGACCCAAGCAGTGGGAACGTGTCCTGGTCTGCTTCTCTCGTCGGAACCTGCATCAACCTGTTCCTCGATGCTCTTGTTTTGTGCAATAATGCCACCGTCTCAGATGGAAAGAAGGAGTCTGAAACCGATTCCAGCAGCGTTACCACAGCCTTTGAGCCCGCAGAATGGAAAGCTGTGGGCGAGCCTACGGAAATTGCACTCAAGGTGTTTGCCATGCGATTTGGGAAAACGACTGGGAGCGATCTGTTGACCGCTGAGCACCCGTTTGACTCTTCATGCAAGCTCATGAGTGTTGTCTATGGTAATGGCTTGGAACGGCAACGGCACGTTTACACCAAGGGCGCATTCGAAGTAATTCTTCCAATCTTAGCCGAGGACGAGGGAACGAAAAAGGCGATTCGCGCAAAGGCCGAAGAATTTGCTGGGGAAGGTCTTCGAGTCCTGTGTATTGCGGACAAGCTCATGGAGGGAGCGATTGGCGACTTCCAGGATCGTTCCAAGGTCGAGTCCCATCTACGTTTCCTCGGTCTTGCTGGGCTTTATGACCCGCCTAGGCCCGAGACCGCGGGAGCTGTGAAACAATGTCTGGAAGCTGGAGTCACGGTTCACATGGTTACTGGTGACCATATCAAGACTGCTACCACCATCGCCTATGAAGTTGGCATCCTGCCCAGAGACGTGCCGCTGGCTCCAACGACAGTCATGTCTGCTGCTGAACTTGGCAACATGACTGATGAGCAAATCGACGCACTTGATTCTATTCCTCTGGTAATTGCCAGGTGCAGTCCGTTGACCAAGGTCAGAGTCATTCAGGCCCTCCACCGCCGAAGAGCATTTTGCATCATGACTGGCGATGGCGTCAATGATTCCCCGGCTTTAAAGCAGGCAGACGTCGGCATTGCTATGGGCGACCGCGGAAGTGACGTTGCCAAGGAAGCATCCGACATGGTTCTCACAGATGATAACTTTGCTTCTATCGTTACCGGTATCAGGGAAGGCCGGAGATTATCTGACAATATTCAAAAGGTACACGGACCTGGACTATTGACCAAACTATCTGCTAACGTGCGTCACATATAGTTCCTGCTGCATCTCCTTACGTCCAATTTAGCTCAAGTTATTTTGCTTTTGATAGGCTTGGCTTTTCAAGACGATGAGGCAGTCCCGGTGTTTCCATTGTCTCCCCTAGAGATCCTGTGGGCGAATCTTGTCATTTCCTCTCCCCTGGCTCTTGGTCTGGGCCTTGAGGAAGCTCAGCCTGATATTTTGCAGCGGCCACCTCGGAGTCTGCGCTCTGGTGTCTTTACATTCGATCTCGTTCGCGATCAGCTCATGTACGGTTCTTTCATGGGCTCGTTATGTTTGGCGGCATTCATGCTGGTAGCATACGCGGCTTCCGGAGAGGGATTCCATGACCTAGCTCATGGATGCAACGACGGTCCAGGTGGAGTCTGCGCCCCAATTTTCCGCGCCAGGGCGGCAACATTTGCGACGTTGAGTTTCTTGCTTCTTGTTACAGCATGGGAAGTCAAGCATTTCCATCGAAGTTTGTTCAGCATGGACAAGCGATGGTCCGGTCCATTTTCGGTACTCAGGACTGTTTATCACAACAAATTCTTGTTTTGGTCCGTCGTAGCCGGTTTCCTTGCTACGTTTCCCGTCATTTACATCCCATACGTCAACACTGCCGTGTTCAAGCATACAGGTCTTACGTGGGAATGGGGCGTAGTAGCAGGGTGCGTTGTGACGTATGTCGGGCTCGTGGAGTCGTGGAAGGCTGCCAAGCGAGGTCTTGGCCTCGGGGTAGATGGGCATCCAACGATGGCCGGTCAAGTTTAATGCTGGGCGTGTGATGATGGTGGGGAGTCCGGACAGGTTTTTTTTCGGAATTTAACCATGAGAATATCTAGCTTGCATCAATATCACGGATTTCCTGTCCACGGATAACGAGTAGCATGTGGTTGCCGCTGACGCAACCGGTCGAGGATCAAAGCGGTGGTACATCTGCTCTTCTCCGTTTGCAACCGCTTGAGGGCTGGCTAGTAAAGTCTGGCCCGGTCCGCATGTGATTCAATGAAGGACACACTTGGCAAAGGATTGTGTGAGCAATGTGTCGGGCTTAAACCACAGCCCATCTATGGGTGAATCCGACCTCTAGAGACGGGTGGTTGCTCTCTGTTCACGACATGTCCTCCACGTAATACGGAGTAGTACCAGGCGAAAGGTGTCGTCGGTGCAGCCGCAAACATAGTCGTCATGACCATGATACAGCATGGCTGGCTAGGTTCCCAAAGCTTGTACTCGGCAGACCAGACAGGATCGCAAGTAATTAGCATCACCGACATGGGGGCGATTGACACTCAAGTACGGAGTACGGAGTAACGTGTTGGCGGAATCCAAAATCATGCCGACGGATTGTGACACAAGCTCAACCTGGCACGACAAATCCTCTTCTCCTCCCGGCTCGACGTCGTCAGTCGACGAGAAATCCCAGCCCATGAACCTTGATGGCCACCCCCCTTATCATCGTCGTCGACCTTGATGGACTGCCGTCGTCGGCAGCGTCGTTTTCCAGGCCGCGGATGTGACGAGTGTCTCAAGGAATGCGTCTAGACTCGTAGCAGCGTCACCGACGCATCGTAAGCGTCGTGGCCGACGATATAAAGCCTCGAGATGCCCCCCTCCTCCGGACACGCCGTCTTTGAATTTTTGAATTTGTACTCTCGCCTCGACTTCTCAACCAGGATTCGGGACTGGACCTGGGACTGGGAATGGCTGATCGAGCCGAGAACTGGGTCAGAAACAGCCCCGGGCCCTGGACCGAAGACTGACGAGGATTGACGAAGGCTGATGAGGATCCAACTTGGCTCTGCCCAGGGGTATTCCACTGTTCTACTACGACAGCTCGACAGATGGATGAGGACGAGAAGGGACTCGACCGAAATGCAGAATGGCGCCATCTTTCTTGGATTTGCTTCTCACATGTGCTCAGTTCGGTTCGGCTGGACATGCTCCCTACGGGGAAGAAGGCCTCGTCTCTCTCGCATGGGCAGTTTTTTTCGCGGCGACTTCTCTCATCGCCGCTGAAGCTGGACGGTTGCATTTTCTACTTCAGCCGCCCCTTTCGGCTCTCAGCTCTGAGTTGCTCTCGTCAGTGCGAGGTGCTCGCTGGGAATACGGCTCGAGCATGTGAGTCTGTTTCTTCATCATCGTCGCTGCCCGTGGCAACTCCCTTCTCTCCCATCATTCATGCCTCACCTGACTTGGCTCAGCTTGGCATTTTCCTTTGGCTGGTTCCCGCCGTCCTTGCCTCTTCCTTTGTCGCAACTTTCAACTGTTGGGGGCGGCGGGCTTTGCTCGGGCTCGAATCGATCGTGGCCAATACATGTCATTTTTTCTGTTCTTTTCTTGTCCTCCCCCTTACATACACATACGTGCAGCACGAGTACAGTACATACGGGGCACGAGAGGCCGTTCTCATGCGACATTTCCTTTCCGACGAGGCGTACAGCTGCGTCCCATCGGTGAAGGGCTTGCGTCGAGACTCAAGACCCTCTCTGTTGATGGTCTTTGCTGGCCGTTGATCCGTCGAGGAAGTATTCTGGTGGATTTGCTCCATGCATCATGCATCATGCTTCATGCTTCATGCGGCCTAGTTTGCGTACATGCGGACTCTTGCTCTTGGAGTGGCCTTTGCCTGTTCGTGGGACGTTCAAGTCGCAGACAAAACAAGCGCCATGCCATGCTCTCTCTCAGGGACATGCCGACTCTCCAAGTTCTGGACTCGCATCTTATCCAGGGCCGGCTACTCGTGCCTGGTAGCTACAGCCTGCAAGAACGCAGCCGCCGTGAGGCAACTTGGATGTGCCATGGAAGGCTGTGGCCTGCTATCAAGCCTCGTACGGCTTCTGTCGGATCCATCTGCCCGTTGGAGAGGCACGAGTCAGGCAGGGTACGTTGAAGGCTTGCTCTGTCGTCGAGTGTTGCCGCGGTTGCCGTGAGAAATAAGTTATCGGCCCGCCGGATCAGTCTCAGTCTCCTGTTACAGCTTAAAGCCCGATTCCCTGTTTTCTTGCCTCTTCCTCTGTCCATTTTGCAGGGGAAAGAAGAACAGGGACAGGCCGATCCTTTGCCTTGGTACATGGTACGCTCACAAAGCTGATTGTGTTGTCTTACAACCATGTCCCTCAAGCCATGCCATCTGGCAACCCGGTCCCGGCTGAAGAGCGTCTCCCACACCGACCAATCAGCCCATCTCCGAACCCTACATGATGTCCCATGGGCCCCCGATGGCCCACGATGAAGCGGGGAAGAGAGCGAAGAGAGCAACAGTGCTTGCAGCAAGAGGGCATCGATGCAATGCATCTCCCTGGATGAAACGTGGTAGCTCTCTCACCGTATCGAACAACCCGCGCTTTGTGGTGGCGCCGCCCGCACGCGTGCAGATGAGGAGCTTCAGGCCGGCCATAGTCGTCATGAGACAGCCTGGAAGTCGGGACCTTGGGAAACAACGCCAGGCGCATATACTCCGGACCCGCGAGCGCAGCGTGAAGAAGCAGGCAGAGCAAGAAGAGGAAAAAGTATAAGTAGGGGCTCCAGGAACGGCATGTTGCGCGTCTTTTGCCTTTTCTCTTCTTCTGTATCACTGGCAATCAAGATTCAAGACAAAGTTTGTATACCGCTACTACTTACCACTTACCACCTACTACAAATATCTCTCCAGCAAACCATTTCACAATGGCTCCCTGGTATGCAATCATGACTTTTTGTTGTCAAGCGGACGGCTCTGGCTCGGTTCCTCGACACCAAAGCTTTCTGACGGGAAATGAGAAAAGCTGACGCTGTACACAGCAACTGCTCTACTTGCTCCTGCTCCGGCTCCTGCGACGGATGCTCCTGCTCCAGCTGCGGCGTAAGTTGTCCTTCGTCTCTCTCTGTCTCTCTCTCTGTGTGTGTGTGTGTGTATATATATATACTCTAGGGTCTACCCAAGTACAAGAGACGAGCAAGCGTACTAGACGAGAAAACGTGCTAACGTTCGAAATGCGCAGCATTAAGCGCCTCCGAGACCTCCCCGCCATGACGCGACTTCAAGCCGAACAAGTAGAGCACATTGCCGCTGCCTACAAAGCCGGGAACAAGTCGCTCAGCGAGCTAGATGGGAAGCCACGATATATTGCAAGCGCCGGCGTGGGACTTGTAAACTCGGCGCTCTGAGTCCTAGGGTTAACTGTTGCTACTCAATATACACTCATTTCGCTGACCCGTCTGTCACGGCCGCTCGAGTGAAGTTTGTTTCCCTCTCTTTTTTGCCACGGTCAAGTATAGCTATGAGCTCGTAGCTGTGTCGTGTTGTCGTGTTGTCGTGTTGTCGTGTGTCGTGCTCGAAAAGCACATGTGCCCGCGGTGCACACTCTTGCATGTCTGACGTGGCTGGCAGCGGCTGGCAATATATGCGCGTTGGGGTCACACAGCGCGCGCGGCATGCAGATGCAGAGGGCGAAAGTGCCTGCGTGCGTCTGCGGCTTGGCTTGGCTAGTCTTGTGCTTTGAGGCATTTTCATCTTCGCCGGCAGGGCTGGGCGCGGGCGGCTTGGGCCGTCATGGCTCTGGCTTCTTCTCCTTGCTTGCTTGGCCCTTGGCTCCTCGGGCTGCGGAGCTGCTGATGCGCGCTTTACATTGCCACCTTGTAAAGCAAGCGACGACTCCGCAGTTGCTCTGCCTCGTGATGGAAGCTGGGGTTTGACCTTTGAGGTATATTCGGAGACGGCCGAGGTCTTGGGCTGGCTGTCTTGTGCAGAAGATCCTTGGCTGGACCATGAGATGAGATTGTAAATCCGCGGCGACGGACACGGACGGCCTGGGCAATCACCTGCTCACGGGCTTTAAATAGCATGTCGAGGGGGCCCCTGGCCGACGCAGGTTCGTTGAATGACGCATCATCGCGCCTCGGTCGCCCGAGTTGATCTGGCCAGGTGCAGCCGAGGCTTGGGGTTAGGGTTAGGGCCAGGCAGTACCGGAGTCGTGCGGTGGGTCGCCGCCGCTTTTCCGTCGTCAACAAAAACCATCACAGCCGGCAAAGGCCATGGACGAGGCGATCGCGGCGCGCAAACAGCAACGATGCCAATCGACGCCGACTCCGAGTCCGACGCCTTCGAGGCTGCCCGGATGGCTGAGGCACGCCAACGCCAACGACGTCAAGGTCGCTCTTCGCTGCTGGGCCGCGGCATGGGCGGCCACGATCCTCATCTTCGTCGACCCTGTGCTGCAGAACATCGGCGTCGCCACCTTCTTCGGCGCCATTGTCCTGTACATTGTCCCGCCAGCCGGCATTCTGATGGTCTACCTGCTCGCCTCCCTGTCGCTGCTCCTGGGCATGTGTCTGGCCTGGGCCTGGGGTCTCTTGTCCATGAAGGCGGCCATGGCAGCTCGGCCAGACCAAGAAACCCGGGCACTTGTGCAGTCTCTGCAGCGGCAGGCGGCTGTCGTTGCCAACCAACCGGCCGGTCGCCCGCCGCCGTCGCCCAGGAGCTCATCTACGACGGCTTCATGCTTGACGCCCGGGTGGTGGTGACATACTTTGCCATGTGTGGCCTCTTCATCTACGCTCTGGCACGGCTGCGGAGCGCCAACCCCAAGATGGTCTTGCTGCAGCTGTTTGGCACCATTGTCATCGACGTCTTTTTGCTGACCGGCCCCATCTCGACCAAGTTCAACTCCACGCTCGCCCAGGTGTTTGTCAAGCCGGGCGCCATCGGTATTGGCCTGGGCGCCGTGTGTTGCCTCTTCGTCTTCCCCCAGTCGACGTCGTATGTCGTCTTGGGTCAAGTGGAACAGTTGATTCGGCTGCTCGACGCGCCTGTGGACTCGACACGACGGTACTTTGCTGGCGACAAAACCTTGGACGACGCACAGTTGAGAGCCTCCAAGGATGCCATCATCGGCAGCTTCAAGGCTATGGAGCCGGCCCTTGCGTTCCTCCCGCTTGATCTTTCGCGGGGCAGATGGAACGCCGACGACGTCAAGACTTTACAGGGCCGAGTCCGCGATGCCACTGCCGCCGCCATTCTCCTACTCGACTTTCACTCGGCACGGGCATCGGCGGCGGCCAGAGCTGAGAGGCTCGGGACGGTTCGGCCAACACTCGATCCGCAACGTGCCGATGACGGCAGCGGCAAGGAAGGGAGCGACCTCGACAAGGCTTCACTCGACGCAGATGTCGTCGACGCCTTGAAAAGTCCGGAGCAGAGTTCCATCCGCCCCGGCTTGCTGGACACGCTCAGAGATGCAACAGCCGAGATTCTTGACGTAAACTCACGGGCCATCCAAGCCGCCGCCGATACAGTTCACACCATAAATACGGGAAGATGGTACTTTGGCACCGCCCGGACCAACCGTCTCGACGGTCTCAAGCAAGAGCTGGCCGAGCTTCGGGCTAAATTGCAGTCTGTCCGAGAATCATGTGTCGTCAAAATCAACGACGCCGTCGTAGGTGCTCATGCCGACTTGTTCGACGACCAAGGTCAGTTGAAGGATCGAAAGGACACCAATCCCCTCTCTCTCAACGGCATCGTTCTCTCCATGGTGCTCGAGGAGCGCATCCTTGGTACAGCCGCTACTACGGAGGCCATGTTGGAGCACATTCTGGAGCTGCTGGAATTGCGAACCACGACGCGCGTTTGGATCCCGTCTCGCCTCCGCTACGCCCTTTCCTGGCTGCTCAGCCGCAGCGTCCCATTTCCGGGCGCCGGTGCCTCCACGGTGCCTGCCGAAGACCCGGACGATGCTTCGGCACAGGCCGAGGAGACACACAGGCGGCTGCGTCTCGTTAGCAGAGGCACCGCTTCTCCCAGGAAGCAAAGGCCATTCCCTACGCGGGCGCTCGTGGGCACGTACAAATGGTTTACCAACCCCGGCGGCATGTACGCTCTGCGCATGGTCATTGTGACGATTGCGCTGTCCGTTCCGGCTGTGCTCCCCAGCACGGCCGGTTTCTTCTACCGCGAAAAGGGCATCTGGGCCGTGATCACGGCACAGACGTGTCTCCTCATGTACATGGCCGACTTCACTTTTTCTCTCGTGTCCCGAGGACTCGGTACCATCCTCGGCGGCGCGCTGGCCCTGGCAGCTTGGTACGCGGGCTCGGGCAACGGCATCGGCAACCCGTATGGCCTCGGGGCCACCACGGCGGTCGCCTCATCCATCCTCATGTGGTGGCGCCTCTACCTGCCGCCGGCGTTTGCCCAAGCCAGCATCATGACCGCCTCGACGTTTGTGCTGATCATCGGCTTCAGCTGGGACCAGAACCACATTGCGCAGTACGGACTGCCGGGCGTCGGCTACGTGGCCTTTTGGAGACGCCTCGTCACGGTCCTCATCGGTTTCGCCGCCGCCCTCGTCGTGCAAGTCTTCCCTCGACCTCCCTCCGCGACCCGGTACGTCTGCAAGACGCTTGCCAACACGGTCCGGTCTCTCAGCGACCACTATGCGCTGCTCATATCCCAGTGGAGCCGAGCGGACGGCGAGAGACGGAACCTGGACCCGGGCGCCGCCGCCACCGCCGCCGCCGAGAACATCACCCTCAAGGTCGCGGAGACGCTCGTCCACCTCACTGCCGCCATTCGCCTGCTCAAGGTGGAGGTGAGCTCCACGCCGTTCGACCACAAGGTCCTGCTCGCGACGAGGGAGCACTGCAGCAGAATGAACCAGTGCCTCGGCAAGCTGTTGGTCCTGTCGTGCACGCTGCCGAAGCACCTGCAGGCCCGGCTCGCCGGGACAGTGGGCATGCTCGACGACGGCGTCGTGGGAAACGTCATGTCCGTCCTGGCGATTGTCGAGTCGTCCCTGCGGACGGGGGCGCCCCTGCCGGAGCGACTGCCCGCGCCCCTCGTGCACAGCTGCTTCGTGGCGTGGTATGCGCGGCACGAGCGGGCCGAGTTGACGGTCGACCTGGTCAGGAGCGCCGAATACAGACGCTACTGCGTCGCCGTGTCGTCGTACGTGACGTTGCTGTCGACGATTGACGACGCGGTCGAGGCGCTCAAGGCAACGCTGGGAGAGGCCCACGTCGTACATGACTGGGGAGAGGCCGCGTGAGCGTGCTGGCTGGATCGACTTCAGAGGCGACAGCACACTCACATTGAACCGGGGGGCAATAAGGAATTCATGGCTGAATATAGCTCGTAATATATCTAGTACATGTATCAATCTTGCGTGCCGTCATCTATGAGTGTCCTGGGCCCTTCAGGGCGCACTTCAACCTGGCCGGTTTGCGGCTCTTGTCCCGAACCGTTACGTTATGCTACTCCGTTCAGCGACCACCTCGACTCGTACCCGTGCCCGTGCCCGTACTGCCTTGGAGTTGGGGCCTCGTCATCCCCGTGCTCCCAGGACACGTGGAACCCGCTGTCCTGCAGGCCGTGACACACGCTCCCGGCAACGAGGTACTGCGTGTCCAGGCCGGCGGTGCCTGGGAGCTCGAACCCGGTGCCGCACGGCTCGTGCACGCCCTGCAGCAGCAGAGGGTCAATGGCGAAGTTGGCCGCGGCGTCAAAGACGGGCAGCGGGCCCGCGCCCGCGCCCATGCCCATGCCCATGCCCACGCCCATGTGCCACGGCACCGGCGAGACGGTCTTGTCGGATCGCGCGTCGCTGGAGTCGGAGTCGGCGCCGGCGCCGAGGAGCCCGTGCTTCCGGGCCGACTGGGGACGGGGCTTGCATATCGACGAGGCGGCGGTCGACCTGGAGAGGCGCGGCGACCTCTTGGGCTTGGCGCAGCCGGCGTACTCGCACGTCAGCCCTTTGCAGCGGCATCTGTTGCAGGCGCCGTAGCCGTCGCCGTCGCAGCGGGTCTTGCAAGGCTGGTCTTAGCAGGCTGGGCAGAGGCGGAGGCGGAGGGAGGCACCTTTTTCTCGCGGCAGATTTTGCAAGCCTGGATCTTGCTGGAGCGGCCGTTGGCAGGGTCGTAGGCCCGCGCGACGGCGACCTCTTTTGTGTCTGAGCCGTATCTCCAGGCGCTGAGCATGGCCGAGGGCTGTCGGGGAGACGAAACGGAGAGGCGGGGGAGGAGGGAGAAGAGGGACAGGGCCCGGAACAGTAAATCGAGAACCGGGGCGATCGACGTGGTCGGGAGAGAGGGGACGACAAGACGAGGCGAATCTGATCTGTATCGGAGAAGGAGGATCCCCGGCATCCAGCGGGACGGGAGGCCGCGAGACGACGATTTCCTTTTATGCTCGGGGAGATGAGAGAGTCGGGCGCCCGTCTGACACGCCTTACGGAGTTCAACGCCAGCCAGCGTCCCGTCTTCCATTGGGGCGACTGGGATTTGGCCGACCCATCAGGATCAGGGGCTGCGCCGGGACGTGGTGCCTCTCTCCATGTGGCATGGTCAGGGTGAAGGGTGAGCGATGCGTCCGTCAGTCCGTAGGGCTGGCGTTGTGGTCAAGAGCACGCGTGTGTCGGGCGGTTGTCCAAGTCGTGCTCAAACGGGTCAAAATTGGCGATGACGAGGACGCGAGAACGAGAGACAGACGGAGGGGCGGCACGTTGGGCCCGAATACGGAAGGTGGTGCGGGGCAGCCGCGATCGGGTCCGTGGTTGGCGGCGGCGTCGGCGGCGGCGGCGGGGCGACAAGATGAGAACTGGATGGGGCTGTGGGGGCTCGTTCATACAGCGATGCCATTGGCCGGCGGGTTTGGTCTTCCAGTCTGGGGTTGTGCCACTAGTCGCGGTGGGGGGAGCGGACCGACGGGAAGGAGAGACCTTGTCAATTGGAAGTCCGCAAGGCAAGAACTTAGAAGGGCCCTGGCACCACACACAGTATGAATAGCTAGCTCTCTTTGTCTTCTGGCAGGGCTGAAAAGGCGGACTGCGGCTTCGCCTTTGCATGCCACCTCCCCCGTGTCTTTGTCGGCTCCCCATACCGCCTCACGCCGCGTCGCCGACTCCCGGGTTCCTGGATAAAATCGACCAATGCTGGTGCTGCGGTCCTCGACTCCTCGTCCGCCTTGCTCTGCTCTAGACGACGTGTACGGGGCACCTCGTCCTGATTAATAATTCCGGCATCGACTGCGGCCATCACCACTGCCGTCAGCTGCGCGATTGATGATGCATTTGCAACTGTCCTCCTCAGGGGAGTCCGGTCATCCCTGAACGAACGACTGTCATCTGAAAAGTGAAAAGAAGTCCCGGCTTCGGGCGTCTAAGTTTCATACCGACGATCTTTTGGAAAGGCCAACGCCACCACCATCAGCGTCCACACCGACTCCCAATTCCGCCATTTCTCCATTCGTCGATTCAGTATTATTGTAAGCCTCTCCAGGTCCTCGCCCCAACAAACACACATGTGAGGAGAAAACGTGACAGCTTGGGGCTCTACATGTAAGAAAATCGCCTACTTCGGTCCCAAGCGTTTCAGGATCACGGAAGAGGAGGGGGGCGCCTCTCTTAAAGCATGGCAAGCATGGCTTGTAGTGTGTCCAGATCCACCCGGCAGGGCTTGTTTGAAAAGATGGGATGAGATTTTAGAAACACCTGGCCCGGTGTTCGAATTGCTTCGCCTACAGGGCCTGTCATGGGAAGTAAGTACTAGCTTAGTAAGAGCGTGTAAACGCTCCCGCAGGAGTCGGCACACAACCCTACCCTTGGGCAAGTCAGCGGCCGGGGGGGAGGTGGGGCTACATAAGCTGCTTCCCATGCTTCCCATGCAGCAGCGGCGCCCCTGGTCGTGTCTCTCTCTGCATGGGCTTTATGCATGGAAACAGCCCACGGAATAGGGACATGTGTGTCACCGAAAGAGCGGCCAGTTCAAGAGTTGCGTGCTCTCTGTTGCTGAGCAGGGTGTCGATTTCATTCCCGAGCCGCGTCCGGATGTATGTATCACATGAACATGATCCTCAGTCTGAACGCCTGACAATCAAGTCACCACGGTGCCGGCGCGAGCCGGGGTCAGAAGTTCCACTGGGAGAATGGCGCAGCCACATGCTGGGTAAGAGAACGTGTAGACGCCTCGGTATGCTGGCTGCAGGAACTCTGCCGATAGGGCTGTTTTTCGCCGAGGCCACATTAGCTTACAAATACGAGTGCGTGCTTGTTCCAAAGAGTCACTCGCAGACGTGGTTCCAGATGTCGAACATAGTTCTTGGAGTTCTCGACACGACGGCTTATCTCCTCGGCCAGCGCTGCGTGCTACTGTTGTGTGCAAAAATCTCCGAGATGACTTGTTCACCATCTCCTTTGAAGAATATACGGAGTATGAAACTGTCTCAGGCTGGCGTGATACCAGCGGAAGAGTAAATAGGCCATTCGATGGCTGTAAGTTGCAAAGTGTAGGAATCTGCTTTGCCACAGTGAAGAGAGCAGATGGTTCCTCTTCTGCTTGCGCTCGCTCCAAGTCTTCTGACGGAAGTCGGCATGTCTCCCACAGGATGCGACACAGATAGTCCGCGACATTCTTTTTAGGGGCAGACGGTGCCGGGTTCCTCAGCTCGCTTTGGTATCGGTGCAGTTCATTTGCAGCCATAGTAAGTAAGCCTCGGATGACGCTCAGAATCGCGCGGCCAGGGTTAGGCATCGAAGAGGCGGCAGTGGGAAATTCCAACATGCGTAGCTGGCTGAGCCATAATCTCGATAAGCCGTCGATGAGCTCGTCGAAGAGAAGTTTCCGTCGCTGTTGCAGGTAGGCATTTGTGCTGGTAGCTCGCCGAATGTCGTGACTGGTAACCCTGGCTACGTGATACGCCAAGTTTCTTTTCCGGCCTTTTGGGATCGGATTGAGACGATGTTTAACCGACGCCTAGCTTAAATGAGTTCAAATCCCGGGGCGCCCCCTTTCCCCATCTCTCTTCCTCCTAGAACATTCCTCAAAAATCAACGCCACAATTGCACACATATCAATTCCCCGAGGACCCTTGGCTTAGTGATGCTTTGGTCATATTTGACTTTATTCGGACACGATGGATGTCGTATACATGGACCGCATTCCTCCATTTATTCCGCGGTCGCTACTGGTCATCTCTCACGCCTCTCACACAAGAGCAACGCGACGATGAGGAAGAAGGTTTTGTTGCTTCCATAGACAGAAGTGCTGTCTGCCGCTAGCTTCGTCATACAACGATGAAAAGCCATGCCGCATTGTGAGCTCGACTCGGGGTGGTTTCAATGTGTGCTTTTTTGTCGAGTTCTGCAATTGCACCACAACCTGGGTAGTAAGGATACCCATTGAACCAGCTGTCCATGCTGTTTGGGACAAGCTGCAAAGTGAAGTTGCTACAATGCGGTAGGTTCTTTTGGTAATATTATAGGTCAAGGATCAACTAAATCATCATCTAGTTACATTCAAGACAAGACGAACGTTCCGGTATCCCACGTCCACGCATTTGGCCAAAGTCCAATCATCAAGAACAGCTCCAAGATGCAGGCATTCCTATTGTGGACTGTATCCCCGGCCGATCGCTGGATTTGCGCAGTCTGGTAAAGGAAACAGGATCGTCGAATGCAACTCTTTTCAGAACTCATCGATATATTTGTCCAGTTGCAGAAATTAAAGTTCCCTGCTGCAGGCTCATTGATTCCAGAACCAACTGGTCAGTCAGAATACGTCATGAGCAACTTTCTGTCTATGCCAATGAACCAACTCCAGATTCAAAAACGACCAAGGCGACAGTCGACAATCACATTAGCGACACGGTTCGTCAATGAACTATATGATGTCCTTTTAGAAATAACCTGATACCTGTCGAAGAACTATCCCGCGAAACCGTAGAGCTCGAGGTGTTCGCACTCCATAGCCTGGCAAGGGAGATGCCCAAGATTGTCGATTCCCGTTGGGATCAGGGGCCATTTGTGCCTACCCATGCAGACCTGAGGTGCGCCAATATCATCGTCGATGATGACTTCCACATCATGGAGGCACGCGCCACATATTTTTGTGTGTTAATACTCCGTACCCTTTATATGCTATGCGACACCTCCCTCTGCACGCATGCACGAAGCCTCTCCCGCCTTGCAATCAGACCAGACGTAAACATCCATACCATACGGACACACAAACACGGAGCGATTACCTCAGTCATCGCACAGATGCGTACGGGAAACACGGGCCTCCTGACCTACCTCGACAGGATCACCGCAACGGACACCGACCAATGTCCACCTGGGTAAGGAACCCGAATTGCGCGGCACATTGTCCTGGAATGCCGCGGCTGGGTGGACGAATGACACGGCACATGTAGGCAGACAAGTCTCCTAGAGATGCCTTGGCATCAAGCGCATTCTCTGCAGCTCGTCAAAGTCGGTACAAGCAGCGAAGAGTTGAGTCCCATCATCACGGGTATCCGCCTACAGGCCGTCATGAAAGGCGCTGGGCCGCCAGGGGCATCATCGACACTAAATTATAAGGTTTGCAATGTTACACATGTGAGTGGCGTGAGCTTCATTTGATCATCGAGTAGTTGCGAGAGAGTGTTTGTACTTGAACTAATTAAATCCTTAGGGGCGCTTAGCATATATCACATTCAGGAGGCGAAGCGGGAAGCTGCGGTCAGCCCTAAGCTTGCTTGCCAACGTGCCTTTTAATCACTCTACGTCGGCCACCTTTAATCCCGCTTTGCCTAATAACAACGTGGCATCTTTTCCAGTTACCAGTGGCTATATGGAGGGGCGGCTTCCTAGACTGCGCCAAGACGACCTGCAAAAACTCCGCTGTCGCAAAGGACATAAGGTGGCATAACACACAAAACACCGTGGCGTGGTCACGCCCGTTTTTTGGGTGCGACAGCTCATCCTGCAGTAACGTTTCACCTCACTAAATGATGGATATATCAACTCATAAAGCTGGAGCAGCTTCAGCTTCCCCAAGCCCCTTGACTCCTACTTTGTCCGATAAGCTTTCCAATCTGAACGCCTATGATAGCAGTTGGGGCAAGAGTAACTGCCACTCAAAATATCGCTGAAGAAACAACGCTGGCACGAAGGGCAATCAAAACAGTAGAGCCCATGGACCGCTGCTGAGGCCTTGCCAGACAGACAAGAGACCATATCCGCTCCAAAATCAGCCGTACTCCTTAGCACTTCGTTGAATCCATTATGCATGAGGAGCCTTTTAATGTTCTTACGAGACGTCTCCACGACCAAGTCGCGGAGTTCTCTATCGTCCGGGGCAGTGGACTCGTACACCACGGCGATGGCGAGCGGATAGTCGTCCAGGGACCAGCCAGTCGTGATAGAGACGCCAAACTTCTCCTTGGCGTGCGCCTTGAGCGCTGGAATGTCGTACTTGTCAGCGATCTGGTAGACCTGGACATAATAGATCATAGTGGAGGTGCTGTAGATGTTGCTGTAGTCGAAGAAATACATGAAACGTAACATGGCTTCCACGACGGTGGCGTCGAAGTCCTTAATCTCGATCTTCCTTTCGAAACTTTCCTTGACGACCATTAGCAGACGTCGCATCATAGAAGGATCTAATAGACGGACCATACTCTCCAATTTCCCGTCAGTTCCGCCGCAAAGTATCTAGAGTGGGCTGACAATATCACTCCATGGACCTTGAACTCCTGGCCGTCGCAGACGATAGTGACGTCGCAGAGGGTGCCTGTGTTGAAGTAGCTGGTGGTGGGCTGTTAGAAAGGCAAGAAGCGTTTTAGCCGCTGACCATGCCATACCCTTTGAGCGACGACAGAAACGTCTCGAACCCTCGAGGCGCCATTGCGAGACGGACGTACTCCCTCCCGGCGGGGGTGCCGACGGCGGATTTGCTTGATGTCGAACGTTTTCCACGCTTCACAAGTTGGCGTATTGTGGGGAGGTCGTGCTAGAGCATCAGCATCTGAATCAGCATCAGCATCAGCATCACCTGGCCGCGTGTTGCGCGCAAAGGGAGGTCCGGTCCCTTTCTGCTCACGGCAAACCATCGCCGTCAGGCCGAAGGAGCTGCAGGCAGGCCTTGTGATACTCTCACAGCCTACGCGCCACAGGAAGGTTTGAGGCAAGAGGGGTTGGCGACCTAAGGCATGAATGACCTAGGTGCCTCAGTCATCTGGACTGGGTTACACACACGGCGAGCATTTTGTATGTACTCACAGAATAATCACATCTCCCATGGAGTCGAATGACTTGCACGCAAAGAATTCGGTGGCTGCCAGTTTGTCATCTCAGATGGACAGCGTCAAAGGGGTCTTGGTCTTGTGCATGACGACAACGCAACCATCTCATCAAGTCTACATGACGCTCTCCAAGCCTTCCGCAGGTGTGGTCCTATCATTGCCGCTCGGAGCCCAGGACAGGTTGGGGAGCTGCCTAGGTTTGCTTGGGGGCGCCGCTCAGGTTAAAGCAGCCATGGCTTGGGGACGCTCTCGTGAAGGAAAACTAGCTCTGTCGTGATTCATGTTCTGATCTGGACTAAGACGCACAAAAGCACAGCCCTAGAGAAACGACGCCGTCTCATGTCCGCCATGTCATTCTCTCCCTATTCCCTATTCATCACTGGGCCGACTCGCCTCGGGCTCTCGTTAAATTTGGAGGTTAATGTCTGCCGTGATACGAATCACAGAGTCATTGTAGTCGGAGTCGACGCCATCCTCGCTGCAGATCTCCCATGTCATTCGCTTCAGGAGCTGGGGTTCTTGGTATTCACACAGGACTCGGGGCGCCAGGACCTTGGATCGCTCCAGGCGGCCGTCGGGTCCCTGAGATGAGAACTCGCAGAGTACCGAGAGCATGCGGTACGGTTGCTCGCCTTCCAGGACCTGCAGCTGCACTGTCCCCTTTTCGTTGGAGCCCTGGATCGCCATGGCCATCTCGTCCTCGCCTGATCCGGTGAAGACGTAGGCTTTCTGGAGTTTGACGTCGGTCAATGTGACTCTCTGGTGGAATCGTGCATTGGTGTGGCCGGTGATGGTAGTTTTCGCGAGGCTGGGAATGGCAATCCAGAGTGGTTGCTCAACCGGGCGGAGGGCGAGCATGTCCGCTGGCACAGACATGACCTCCATGGTCTCTGTTGCGGTTTGAGTGCTCATATTGTCACGGGAGGACTGTAGGACTGTGACGAGGGCAGGATGATTGGGCTTAATGGTGATGTGTTCAGGATTCGATGTTTGACTTGAAGCCCAAAGGCGCTTGGTCTTGATGGAGGTCTGTGGCTCCTGAGGTCGCCCCTATATATACATGAAAGGCAATGCCCCTTTTTTGTTCTCGAGGCCTCGGGCTTCTGTCACGACCTCGTGATGCCTCGGTGCAACAAGACACGTGTACGTTTTAGGATGGGAAAACCACCTCTTTGGGCCTTATCCGCGTGGCAGGGGCCCTCTAATGATGTCGGGAGGAATGTTGCAAGGAGAGGCGGTACCGGCCGAGAGAGATTTAGCCCAGCAGACATGTCGCCCAGCCAGACGTCTCTTGCCTGATGTGGATGTACTCGCACCATCGGTTACAAGCGGGATCATCGAGATGCTGTCCATGGTGTCTTTCGACCTCGAGGTTACTTCAGATCCAGACAGGATTCGGAAGGCGCTGTTTCCTCCCGCCGAATCAGGCGTCAACAGTCGTTGCTTTCGGCGCCTTCGGCATCGAGCTAACGGGCCGAACTTGGCTGGGAGAAGAGCCGTGAAGAGGTCCAGTCCTGGGACAGATGACTGCATGACTCGGGCACTCGGCAACCTCATTGTAAGATACTGACCTGGCCGCGGCTGTGAAGCTTCACACACTTCTCACCCGCGGATGAATATGCTCTCCGCTAGGTTACGACGACCGTTCGTCGGCTGCTGCGTGGATCGCCTGGTCAAATTTTCCGAAAGAAGGCTTGCACCATCATCACCGTAAGCTTGGTTCGGTCCTAGTCCACTGCCAGGAGAAGTTGAACGAACAGAGCTGCTCGCTTACTGGGTCTTCCTCCGTCACGGATTCGTCAGGCGTTGTGTGCAATTTGTGATCTGATGGGCAGTTTTGGCTTGGCTCGTGGACAAAATTCGACCGATTGTACTGTACTGCCTGTAAGTGGAAATTGGGATAGAGGCGCAGATTCCAAAACAAATCGCCAAGGACGGACAGGATGGGCGGACACGGAGACATAGAGTGCTAATGGTTGGGATGGAGATTTTGTTGGTTATGGTGGTGTACGCTCGCAACATACGATGGTCAGACTACGTGGAGGAATTGAATTGAGCCCCCAGCCTACAAATGAATGATCAGAATAGTTGGTGTAGCTGACCTACCTAGTACCGTGCAATTTGACGTGGCACTCTCCCGGTTCTGGTCCCCAAGCTCGGCGTCGAGCACGTGGCGTACCAGCACTCACACGGTCACACCCAAAGCCTACTCTTCATGGACGAGTTCCTCTTACTTGGGGGGAATTCCTCTTGTTAATTTGCCCTCCTTGTCAGTTTTGATTCTTCTTGTTTGATTACAACATGTCTTATGCTCCTGTTTGTCAAACGAAAGCGTTGTGTTGCGTTAGCTGAAGCAAAGGCCTGTGGGAAGGTGAATGTGAAGGTGCTACTGTGGGAAATAGCAAATCTGTCATTGAGCGGACGCGAGGTCTTGCGTGAACAAGTGTTTGTTATGATGTCCGTCTTGCTCGCCTCTCAATCACGGACTATCTGACGTCGAGGAGCCGTATTGTCGTCAGCGCAGCTGCGTGCTTCTCGTTCGCCAAGGTAAATGCCCACCTTACCACCTCTGGTCAAGCAGCTTGGATGAATACAAGTTACTCCGTGACCTGAAGCTCCAAGGCATCATGCAGGTGGCCAAAACGGGGCCCTCGCTTCTTGAGAGCAGGATCAAGGCCGAGTTGTACGACCCTGGGCGATTTGGGGGCTCACTACGCCGTATAGGCGGCAGGAAGTTGTCAACTGTTTGTCGGACAGGGGCAAGGCGAGTCAAGAGACACTCGATGACGCGCTGGTGGCGCCAGCGTCGTGCGATGAGCGGATCGTCTGGGAACGATGAGGGATGCGAGGTGGCCGGCGTCTGCTGCCGCGCTCTGCACGGCTTCTTCGGCAGTGCGTCGCGCGCCGCCCCGGCCCACGTTGGCGACCGGTACGAGGAGATGCTACTTCATCAATGTTGCCATGTGTACAGTTGTTGGACCATCGTGCGGTCGACGTAGACGACACCAGTTCACGGCCCTGGAGGCGGTGTTGCACTCGACTGGCTACAACACATGATGACGATGCAAACACAATCAATGGATGGGCCGGTGGACGCTGGCTGAACCGCAAAATGTCTCGTCGCCATGCTCTCATCACTTGATGCCGTCAAGTCCATCCTTCGAGAGCTATATTGCCTGGTACGAATGGCGCCGAGCGCCCTGCCCGCAGAAGGAGTTTCCTGATGATGCCTTGCCTGCCTGGAACTTTTGCTTCATCGGGCCAATGGACATGTGCGGGCTCTTGAGCGAGCGCAGGGACCACAGGAGAGAGATAATGCATACGAGCCCAATAATGTGAGCACCGACACATGTCAGGTGCTTGGATGCTGGACCTGGTATGTTGTGTGACACTCAAGCAACGTCCATCATGTTGCGACAACAACACGTCATGTCTTGCTGTCTCCCACATGCCAGCGCTTCTATTACTTTTTCGAAATAGCCTCCACGGCATGATTTGTGTCCCAACGGATGTAGTTATCCGGAGTCTTCCATGCCTGCTGCTTGTGCCGCCAGAACGTTGCTTTGCATTAGCTAGTGTGAGTACAGCATATGGGCATCAGGGGTCGGCCGTATGAGTATATTGTATATACCATTGTGTCAAAGTACGCTCGAGGATTCGCCGTGGTCAAAGGTCACGTCGATGGATGGACATGTGAGTGCAAAACTCCCACGCCAAGTTTCGTTGCATGGTTGGAGCCTTGCTTAAGCGATCGTCGGCGCGTGTGTCGAACAACATGACGGCAACCTGGTCGACACGCTCCCGGCTGTGTGTGCGTTACTCCAAAGCCCGTTGGCTGGGTTGATGATGGCGTCTTGCAACCTGGCCGAACTGTGCTACACGGACGGCGGGTAGCATTTGCAGCAACTACTTCGTTCTGCTTCCACGGAACACGACGTCTCAATCCCATCAGATGGCAAGTGTCCGATAACACGGCGCCAGGCCAGGTGGGCTTTGTTTCAAGAATTCAACATTCCGTCTTGGCCGAATGGGTCCGCATCAACGGCATCACTTGCAACAGTAGCAGCCATCAGGGCCGATTGCTTTTGCCCCAACTGCGTACTGCCATCTGGATATGACACAAAAGGAGCAGATGCCACCCTCCCCCCAGCCCAGTGTAACTCCCGCAAGCAGCCGACAAGCAACCTTCTTCATCCTCACTAGTAGTAGCAAATGTGCCCGTCGCAGGATTTCAGTTTGATGAACGCTTCACGTATAAGAGACGGAGACAAAGCGGGCAAGACGCCATAGGTTTCTCCGGATCCAAGGCCAAACGCCGCCGGCTGGCAAAGCTTCCACCAGGAAGCTCTATTCGTTTTCTACCCTTGGATGCCCCTGTCTCGTGAGTCACCATGCACCGAGCTCAAATCTGTGTTGTCAAACGGGGCTGTGGCCAACTTTCGCCCCCGGACATGTACTGGGCTGAGTGGGCGAGACTACAGGACAGTATTCTCAGTGAGAGCAAGTCGCCATCTGGAGGAGCTTGGCATGTCGTCGAGCTGTAGTAATTTATATTACTCATCATAAGCAGGGTAAACAAGAGACGTCGCCCAAGCGTGCCGATGCGCTCGATGCTGCAGAGCCCAGAGCGCTGCTGGATATATATATAGTTTGATATTTTATTGGCTTTTGAGTCGTACCTTCGTGCAATGGCTTTTATTCATGGATAAATCTGTTCAATTTTGGCTGTTGGTGAGCTGGGTTCCACTGTCTGTCGGTTGCCGTTCGACACACGGCACTTCTGCGAGTCTATATAAAACTTTTGGGTGGCCCTTGAATGCCGCTTTGCCCAGTGTAAGCTAAGTTACTGGAGCTTTTTCAAAAGCATACTTGCTTCACTCGGGTGACCAAGACGAATCGGTCGCTCTGAAGGTTCTGGCAAAACAAGCGTCGAGTAGAAGCTCAGAGTCTCAGGAGTCGGGCGTTTCCATCAGCTACGAGCCCGCAGTACTTGCCCCGTCATTCCGACTCGAGCCGGCCAGGCTTGCATGAAGCTCAGGTTTTCGACTCACAGATTGGTGTAAACCGAAGCACGGTGATGGAACAACTCACTATCGTGTTGCCTTGCCTGGAATCTAGATGCGGTTGGTGCGTGCGTGTTGCTCCGGCGACGTCTCCAAACAACCGACATCCGAGTCAGCGGCTCGTCGGCTCCACCCAGACGTCCGGTCAAGTCGAACGGCCGGCAAGTGGAGTCGGGCTGTGCGGGGAGGCTGCCTCAGCCTCGGCCAAAGTTGAACCTCGACAAGTCGACGGCACGCCGCGTCGTCAAATGGTGTGTGGTTTAAATATCCAGACCCTGCCGCGTGATAACGTGTCAAGCGACTGGAAAACTCGCGACCAACCCAAAACCGGACCTACTTCCTCTTCTTGTTTGTTACAAAGAAAAAGCTCAACTTCAAAATGACGGATGCTCCCGCGAACCCGGTCCCCTTCTCCGAGCCGCCCTATCTGTGCGGTCTGCCCTCCCCGTACTACACGCAATCGCATCGCCAGTTCCAAAAGGCCTGCCGCCAGTTTCTGTGGGACAACCTGCTCAGCAACGCTGCCGAGTGGGAAAAGGAAGGGACCGTCCCTCAGCATGTGTTTGATACGTTTTGCAAGAGCGGCATGCTGCTGCCCAACATGCCCGCGCCGTTGCCCGTGGAACGGCTCACGAATCTCGGGATCCGCGACATCCTTGGTGTCAAGGTCGAGGAGTGGGACTATTTGCATACCGGGATATATTGCGATGAGGTGCGTCTGGAACCCTGCGTCACCCCAAGACCGACGACGGCGAGCCGTGAATCTGATCAAGGTTGCTGCAGCTGGCGCGCTCCGGCTTGGCTGGTCCAGGCGCTTCGCTGACTGCTGGCTTCGCCTTTGGAATCCCTCCCATTGTCAAGTGGGGAAGCAAGGAGCTCAAGGAGCGCTTCCTTCCCGATTTTCTGACTGGCAGAAAACGCACGTGCATTGCCATCACGGAGCCCGATGCCGGCAGCGACGTGGCCAACATTACCACCACTGCCGAGAAGAGCGCCGATGGAAAACACTACATCATTAACGGAGCTAAGAAATGGTACTCGCCACAACGGGGCGCCCCGAGTTGCTGAGGAATCTCATCTGACACTATACAGGATCACGAACGGCATCTGGTCCGACTACACCACCATGGCGGTCCGCACGGGCGGACCAGGAGGGAAAGGACTCTCCGTCATCGTCGTTCCGCTCAAGGGACACCCTGGCGTCTCCATGCGTCGCCTCCCTGTCAGCGGCCAAAAGGCCGGTGGCACCACTTATATTGAGCTCGACAACGTCAAAGTGCCCGTCGAAAACCTCGTCGGCAGAGAGGGCGACGGCCTGCGCATCATCCTCACCAACTTCAACCACGAGCGCCTCATCATCGCCGTGGGCGTCACGCGCCAGGCTAGGACGGCCTTGGCCGCCGCGTTCGAGTACTGCCTTAAGCGCGACGCCTTTGGCAAGAAGCTCATGGATCAACCCGTCGTAAGACATCGGCTGGCCAAGGCGGGTGCCGAGCTGGAGACGATGAACGCCTGGACGGAGCAGCTTCTGTATCAGCTTTGCCACCTCGAGGCGCGGGAAGCGGACCTGAAACTCGGCGGCATTACCGCGCTAGCCAAGGCCAAGTCTGCCATGGTTTTGAATGAATGCGCTCAGTGTGCCGTTTTGCTGTTTGGGGGCAACGGGTTTACGGCCTCGGGACAGGGCGCACTAGTTGAAGGTGAGTTTTCTTATAATGTCTTGGGTCATCCTCACACCATGTGGTACCAAATGTACTGACTCGGGACAGCCATTTATCGAGATGTCCCCGGCGCTCGAATCCCAGGCGGATCGGAGGATGTTCTGCTGGACTTGGCCGTGCGCCAACTTGTCAAAATTTATCAGTTTGGAGGTGCGGCGGCGCTCAAAGGCTCAAAAATATAGAACTTTGCTGCGAGGCAAACAGCGGACATGTAATTAAATCGCTGGGTCATCAACGGTCTGTAGAACATTTGAAGTTAACTTTTATATCATGGGCCATGGCATCCCTTGTTGAATATCAAGATGCATTATTTGTGCAAGTAGTAATGCAATTAAAAGAGGCTCGGTCATTAGCGGGGCGACGCATAGCGCCGAGTCGGTCTGGACTCTGGACACGACGACATGGAAAACAAGACGACCACCCAGCATCTGCTCGACTTCTCTACATGTGTTCGTCATGACTCCCGAATCTAGTGATTGAATTCTGCCGTGTCCAGGCACAACGGTCAACCTAGCACGGTCCTCGATGCACGACCCGTCCGGGGCGGTCTTCCCATCGACATTTGACAATCTTCTTTTGCCTGCCAAATACGTGACGACTTCCGAAGGGAAAGGGAAAGACGCCTCCTAGGAGATTCACCTTCCCTCTGCCGCAGCCAGCTCGAGCGTCCCCGATCGCGTGCTCTTTATTCACCGCGTCCAAAGTCCGGCCCTGTGTATGTTCCCGCCTGCCCGCCTTTTGCGGGCATCCTTTCCGCACGCTCATTTCGTTTTCGTCGATCTGTGGGGTCACGAACTGAGCGATACGCCTCTCCTCCCACGCGGTGCAAATCTAGTTATTTCGTCGGCTCATCGGCTCTCTGTTGTATCATTCGACATGGCCCTCGGCTCATCTCGTTGGGGTTCTCGTTCGGGGGCTCGTTGACGGCAGGGTACACCGCCTCGCACCCATACCCGGTTTCGGCCTTTTACCTCATCGCGCCCGCGGGACTTTTTCACTCGGCCGATCTGAAGCCTGAAGAGCGCAGCCACTTTTCACTCGACTGTCGTGATGAGGCTGCTGCGCGTATGTGGGTGCTGGAGTTTTTCGGCGGCGAGCTTGTCATACGCGAGGATTGACGGGACCGCGTCAGCCAAGGCGAGGTCGTTGCAGGGGCTGTGCGAATGCGGGAGCATCCCGGTCACACGGCAACAGTCGTAACGGTCGTCAAAGACGGTGGCGCACTGGACTATGATGCCGCATTCACAAAGGCTGTGCGAAGTGGCATTCCCTCGCCGGTGGTTTTGGGAGGGCTGGACGGCGTGTGCACCAACGGACAGCTTGACATCTCGGCTTTACAAATGTTGCGGTAGTTCCAAACGTTGGGCACGTCGTGGTTCGGGAGAGGGTGGCGGAAGTGAGCAGGCTTCATCAGTGACTTCTGAGCGAAACTATGAGATCAACGGGTCTGGCGCATCCAGAGTGGCATGTTCGACAATAGGCGCCCATCTACTCCTCCGCACATCACTACATCACTACGGAACACCGGAGGCTTTCGATGGCTTGGGCAACACACAAATGCACCCGTCCCCAGATCATGTGCCCTGGCGAGGCGAGGCAGCGCAGAAGCAAGGCCATCAGATAAGCAGGGCGAAGTTTACGACAACAGATTGCGGCTGCGGCTGCAAAATTCGGCAAGGACCGACGGATCAGGCAAAAGTGGGTCGAATGCAAAGCTAATTCAATTTAGCCTCAGGGCCGAGGTCTTCAAATGGCCGTCTTGTGCGTCAATGACGTCAGCGTATAACCTGTACCACATTCCAGGTCTGGCTGGTCCGTGGATCGCTTGTAACAATTGCCCGCTGAATACTAACAATGATGGCCGCTTTCTTTAGCCCGAAACAGCTGGTCCGTGACGTATGAGCAACAATGGTTGGCTCAGCCGGGCGCCATGCCATCTGCCACGCTTTTGTCCTCGGGTATCGGTCGTGCTGCTCCTCATCCTTTATATAACGGCTGACCGTTGTCAGAGCTATCAAGCTGACCGTCTTTGCTCCGGAGGCCTTTTTTGGGCATCAACGTGTTGCTTGGGGAAGCTTGCCCGCGCAACTTGTCGCACACAAAGCCGACATCATAGGTTGGAAAAATACAACACATCTCACACAATTCCTCTCTACAACCGCCACAATGAGGACGACCACACTTCACACTCTCACCTGGGTGGCAGTCAGCGTTGGGGCCATGCAACTTCAGACCCCTCTATACTCATCATATTCTTTCAACCCCCTACAGCATCTCGCGGGAATCGCACCCTACTACGAGCCAGCAGATCCCCCGCGAGATCCTAACCCTCCTCAAGGCTGCGCCGTGACTCGAGCGGCATACCTTGTACGGCACGCAGCCATTAATGCAAACGATTTTGACTACGAGCAGTATCTGCAGCCCTTCCTCGAAAAGCTAGGCAATTCGACTGTCGACTGGTCTAAAATACCTCAGCTCTCTTTCTTGGCAACGTGGGAAGCCCCATCCTTTGGCGAGCAGGAGCTATTGACCAGAACCGGCAAGGTCGAGGCCGGCCAACTGGGACTCTCCATCTCGTACAGGTATCCGAAGCTGCGATTGCCTCAGAGGGTGTGGACCTCGAGTGCAGAACGCACGGTACAGAGCGCCAGAGGTTTCGTTCGAGGGTTGGAGATGGACGACAACACCATCAACGTAGTCGAGATATCAGAAGGCAAGGAGGCCGGCGCGGATAGTCTGACTCCATACAAGAGCTGCAAAGGCTATTCTGCTGCCGCGGGATCCAAACAGCAAGGAGAGTACGTCGGCCTATACACGGCACCCATAATCACGCGGTTGAAGAACCTGGCTCCAGGCTTCAACTTCACGTCGGACGACGTCACGGCCATGCAGGCCATGTGCGGCTACGATACCGTCATCCGTGGGTCTTCGCCGTTCTGCTCGACCGATCTGTTCTCGCCAGACGAGTGGCTGCAATTCGAGTACGGCCAAGACATCCAGTACCACTACAACACCGGCTACGGCAGCCCGTACGCCGGTGCCATTGGTTTCCCGTGGGTCAACACGACGCTGGACCTCTTGTCGGCCGACACATCAGCCCAAGATCTGTACATCTCCTTCACGCATCGCGAGCTTCCCCCAACCGCCCTCGTCGCCCTGGGCCTGTTCAACAACAGCATCTTCTCCGGCGGCAGTGACGTCAACGCCACCATGCCCCTGGACCAAATCAACTACAACCGTGCTTGGGTCTCAAGCCGCATTCTCCCATTCCTGACCAACATTGCCATTGAGCGCATGAACTGCACCTCCAACCAGACCGTTTCCACCGCCCAGAACAAGAACGGTAGCAGCTCTTCTCCTGCTTCCGCGTCGACGTACTACCGTGTCCTGCTCAACCGGAGCCCCCAAGTCCTGCCGGGCTGTTTCGACGGGCCAGGCCAGAGCTGTTCATCGAAAGGGCTGCAGACGTTTATGCAGCAGCGCGCAGACATGTTTCGGAACTACACCAGTGTTTGCGGGAACACATATGGCAATTCCACGGATTCAGTGACATTCTATACCGACTCGAATAACGGAACCAGTGTGAGCAAGAAAAGAAACTTGATGCCATAGCATTTGTGCAATGACAGACTAAGAGAAGGCGACGGGACACGTCTCGAGAGTACTGGGAACTCCTCAAAGCATCCAGCTACGGTTTACATAGTGAAATAAACAGGACACATTAGACACTGGCATACCCTGGCAGGTCGAGGCTACCCAAACGTTGTGAATAGCAGCAGTGTACACTTTTCAGAGAGACAACTGAACATCAGACTTGGCCGGACCATGATTGGCAAAATGATGCTGAATAGTACTGTTCGATCTTGCCCTGAAAGAACCAGCCTTTCTGCCACTTGTCAGGGACGACGATGTGACGACGTCCGCCCTGGCTACTGGGCGGTGGGAGGACCGCTCGCTCGGTAGTAGATGGGCCGCCTGTCGAGCCGAGACACAGCACGGCATCTCAAAATGGAGCACATCACCAGGCGTGCTGATACAGCTCGGCGCTTGCGGGCGGTGTCTGACCAGCTGACAATTCCCGGCTGGTGCAGGTCAAACAAGTCCGGCAAAGCCCAGTACGACTCGTGCTCAAATCATGCTTTGCGAGGAGGAGAGATGGGACCGAAGGAGAAGGCAAGCATCGATGCTGCGGCGGCAGGACAAACGACCGAACCCGCGGGCGTCCGACACGATTCGGGGTGCCAAATGACCATGGATCTGGAGGGCCACGTCCCGGCTGTGAAACGAGGACAAGGACAGCAGATGTGGTGATGAAGTGGTCCCGCCATTCGTCCACGAAGCAATTGAGTCACTGACTCACTGCCGCAGCCGCAGCCTGGTACGTTGCCGTTGCCTGTGTGACGAGCCATATGATACAAAGGTGACGTCTTGCCGCGTGTGCTCGCTTCTCACAATTGTTTGTTTCCAACGGAAAGAATGTATCAAACAGCGAGTACAAACCAGGTGTTGCGCCATTGTCGGGGATTTATTCAATGCCGGTATTAACGCCATTTCAACCCCTTGAGGCGGAGACGATGATCCGATGCACAGCGTCGGCAAGGACATGATGGCTCTCGCGACCGGCTACAGGTCTTCTCTGGGGGCGACAAACGGGTCGCCTTGACCGACGTCATACCGTCCCGGCAAAATTTGCCTCGTGAGTACTCTGGGAGCGATGAGGCTCTGGCGCGGACTTGCTCGTCGGGCCCAAATTGTCTATATAATCCTGCTCGTTTCCCAGCTCTTTGGATTCAGCAACACATTTGCTTCCTCAGCAGTCTCCTACAAGCTATCCCCAACTACCTGGAACCACCGAGCTCTTCCTCCCTCTTAACAAGGAAAAATTTATCATCGCCATCAACATGACCAATCCTATGACCAAATCGGACGCTGCTAGAGTCCAGTCATCTCAGGTATGTGCCGTTCCTAGACAGCATCGTCAAGTTCAAGTGCCTTCTAATAGAGACACACGCAGGCCAAGAACGGCGGAGACATGTCTTCGGCTGGGTTTGCTGCGCGTGCTCAGGCCGCCGGCGATCGCAACGAAAGCCATGGAAATGCCTCTGGCCACGGAAAAAATTCTGGTTCTGGGGCCGATGCGGGATCCAAGAAATGATTTGCTCGGCTTCATCAAGGGGGCAAATAACGTCGACTAGTTGCCGCCAGTCGTTGACTGTGGCTCGGAATCATCAACGATGTATACAACCGCGCAACTTGACACAAATATAACCCACGCAATGCCAAGTCTGTTCGTTGTCCTTGGTCTCTGATGGTGAATCGAGTGTTATTCTATCCACGCAGAAAGTGAAGTTAGAACAGCTGCGTTCGTACTTAGCCACAGCAGCTATCGTGTCTGAACATAAATGTCATGGACTGAGAAGCGTTTGCGAAGCAGTGAGTGCGATAGGACTGACAACCACAGTCCCAACTCCATCAACATTAGGGTAATGGGAGTCGCAACAGATATGAACACGTATCCCGGATCTGCTGTGTGCCAGGCCAATGTAGTATCGTAAACGCCTCCACGGACACCTGTGACAATGTGTCTTACAGAGCTCACTCGGTGCCATCGTTGAAGGGGGAGGCCACATCTTCTGCATGGCCCAACAGCAGCTCACGGTCCTTTGTGCGCCGTGGTACGATGATATCTTCGCCTCTGATGCATGGCAGAATTCAGAGTCTGGTATTGCACTTTGACTGTGGCATCGCGGTATCGAATGAGACGCTCTGTGTGATCAGGCTGACGTCCGTCTCGATGTTTTTCCACGATGCTCTCCGGCACAGGGACAGCCAGCTCGCAAAAACTTGACTTCCTCGACGGCTGTGCCACAGCCAGCTTCGAAAATGATGTCCAGTCCGTCCTCCTCGTCCCACTGTTGTCCAGCCTCTTGAGCCCGAAGCTCTCAAACCAAGGTTCTACTCGCCACACTATCCGGCACCACTGTCGCCCTCAGACTTCTCACACTTGGGTCCCGATGCTGTGGGTCGATCGAAATCCTGCTTCTACATTCCGACGCCATCATGAAAGCCGGCACGGCAGACGACAGTTCCGCCTGAGACTGACTATGAGCAGACGAGTGACCCGGGCGTTGTCCTCGTGGTTCTCACGAATCTGAGGGGACGCATCTTCCAGACTATTCGGTGGCGATATATCGTGTGAGTGGCAAGCTCAACGCTCGACGGGATGCTGGCTGTTTGAAGACGATTGTTGCCGAGAGCGTCCTGGACGGGGAATCGAACGAAGGAACTAGAGATCAACAAACCCTAACCCTGACTCGCGCGCCACCAGGTTCAGATGGCCTTGAAGCCCCACCGCTTTAAAGTGCCGGCAGCTTCGAAACGCGCCTCGGACAATTGGCAACATCGTCGACGCGTCTCACTCGACAAGCTCAACCCGTATCTCGGCGGCGTCGAGGTTGCTGCATCCGCGCAGCTCAGCACCAGCTCAGCATGGTGACCCTCGAGGAAGTGTCTCATCTCATCCCGAAATCGGCGTCGTAAGTCGCAATTCGCCCGCATTTGTCAATCCGCATCTAACTCTGCCTCGCAAGCGACGCCGCAACTCCCACACTCAGCCGAGCCGCCGACTCGTACAAGCCATTGCACGCATTCGACCTCGACAAGCGACGGCCCTACAAGCAGCAATATGGCGACATGTACTTTCTACGCCTGACCAAGATCAAGCCCGCCGTCGAGGAGGCGGCATCGGCCTCGTGGGAGGGGACCGTCATTGGTGGTGAAGAGGTCAAAAGGGTAGAACGCGTGCTCGATGTTCGGCAGGGAGAGTTGTGCTGGGTAGCAGGGACAGTGTACATGGACATGCCTCTCAAGCCCAGTATCCTCGAGGACGTGTCCAAAGACGTAAGCAGGACGTGATGCCGCCCCAAAAACCACCCCTTGCCCCGATCCATGCCCACGGGAAACCACCACGTCTCGACGTCGCGACAGGGTCGACTGACACGGTCCAGCGATGGATTTCCGCCCCCATACCCACCCAGCAGACCTACTTCTCCCCCGACGGCTCCGACCAAGTCATGCTCGAGGACGACTCGGGCCGCATCCGCCTCGTCGGCGATGTGGTCCACTCCGTCCCCCTCGTGACGGGCTGCATCATCGCCGTCATGGGCACCGAGAACAGCAGCGGCGAGTTCGAAGTCATTGACACCAAGTTTCCCGACCTTGCCGACCAGCCCGAGCGATGGGCCCTCTCCAAACCACTGCCTCCTTCGGCCAACGGCCTCGGAAAAGGGCGGCCCATCATCAGAGACGAGCACCGAGATGTCGAAATGACAGACGCCTCCCCGCCAGCCCCCGGCAAGAAGATGGCCATCGTGTCCGGGCTCTCCTTCTCCAGCACCGGCGCCTCTCACGCCGTCGAACTCAACCTCCTGCAGGAATACCTCCTCGGCCAAGCACTCGCCCCAGCCGACCAGGAAGAAGTCGCGAGCATAAGCAGGCTCATCATTGCCGGAAACTCCATCTCCGCCGCCGCCACCGAGCACAGGCCCGACGAGACCGAGAAGAAGGGAGGCAGAAAGTACGGCTACGACGCGAGCTCCTACAACGCCCTCCCGTCGCAGCTCCTCGACGACTTCCTCGACGCGCTGCTGCCCTCGATACCGGTCACCCTCGTCCCCGGTGCTCAGGATCCCGCCAACGCAAGCTACCCCCAGCAGCCCGTCCACATGGCCCTGTTTCCCCGCGCGAGGGCATACGGGCCCGAGCCCGCAAAGCCCAAAGAACCCGGGTGGTTTGACGCCGTCACCAACCCCTGGGAGGCCGAGCTCGAGGGGTGGCGCGTCCTAGGCACCGGCGGTCAAAACGTGGACGACGTCTTCAAGTACGTCGACAGCGACGATAGACTGGGCATGATGGAGGCCATGTGCAGATGGAGGTGCTGCGCCCCCACCGCACCCGACACGTTGTGTAGGTCGGCCCTCTCCCTCGGCGCCATACGTGACAAGTCAAGCTGACAAGAAGGGGGCAGGGAGCTATCCGTTCCAGGAAGATGACCCGTTTGTCATGAAGACGTGTCCGCACTTGTTCTTTGTGGGCTGTCAGCCTGAATTCTCGACGAGGACGATTGGCGGCCCTCGTGGTCAGTCCGTGAGGTTGATTACGGTCCCTTCATTCGCCGAGACAAAGGAGCTGGTTCTTGTGGACATGGAAACGATGGAGGTTTCCCTGGTGAGTTTTGGCAAGCAAAAGTCGGCGTCATGAGGGATATGCAGCGCAGAGATAACGTGGAGTAGCGGACAAAAAGCAAGTTTTCTATCGTGTATGTAACGGTCGTGAGGGAAGGCAAAAATCTGTATAACGAATCATGAGCTGCTGTTTGTTTCAGTCTACGTACGTGCTGATGAGTCGAGGGGTCTGTTCCTCCATGACTCTCGTCACCACCAGGCAATGGCGCCGATTCCAGTCAACCGGCGCCCTCGTCGTCCAACTCCATGACAGTAAAATCGTCCCATTCGTCACCACGCCCTGTTTGCTCCAGACACTCCTCGCAGGTTGCAGCGACGCGCTGCTCCAATGTGGCCAATGCGTGCAAGGCCATTTTTGCCCTCCTCACACGTCCTACCTGCATCACCCGATCGCCCTTCCATCTATCCACGATGATGCGATTCACCTCGTTCTTCAGCCGCAGATGCCTCATGTCGATTTTGAGCTCGCGCCCATCATAAGCGTCCCCGTACCTGCAACAACCCATAAGGTCTACGAGTAGAAACTGGCAATGGATACCCTGGACCGCCTTCATGACAGGCGACTCTCGATTGAAGAAGTCTACAAAAGTGTAGTGTCCGCTGCCTTCTTCTCCTTTAGGTGGCTCCCACTCTGGCGTCACCCTTATTGTTAGAGTATGGATATTAAAGACTTGCCGGCGGTCGCCCATGTCGCGGTAGTTGAAGATGCTGAGGGCATTTGCCATGAGCTTCTTGGTCCTTTCGACGGAGCGGTTCCGCTCTGCCTCCACAACAATGTGCCGGAAGAGCAAGGCATGTTTCTGAATGTTGATGTCGCCCTCTGTGTCGGTTGCTCTGCTGCCGCGGCGCCGGGTAGTTCTTCGTCGAGACGTGTTCCGGCTGCTTGTCTCCTCCCGCCACTCCGGGTCGTCTTCATCTTCCGCGTCGTAGTCCCCATCTGCCTCGCCGTTGATGGGAAATACCGCGTCTGCGTCATCAATATGCGCCAGTCGATCGACATCGGTGACGCTGGAAACGTGGTCTCGCAGTTTGTAGAGAAATACGTTGGCGCCGTAGAGAACCCCGACAGCTTCGTCATATACACGTTGACATGTACGCAGGATACTTGTAGGGATTCCCAACGACTGTCTCTTAAAAACACATCTCCAACCCGAATGAACCCGAATTGGGCTGCTGGATACGAGAAGTATTTTGTATATGGCGAGCCTAATTTCCGCAGGCAGTCTGTGCAAGGCCGATAGACGTTGCAAAGTATGTTGTTGGTCTGGTGCTTTGCCAACCCCAGCTGCGGGTTTCTCATGGATAGACTCGGGCCGCGCAGATTCTTCATCTTCGGGCTCAGAATCAACACTCGTGTCCTCATGGAAGGATCCGCCGTCATCCAGAGGGTGAGGGATTTGAGGAACAGGAGCTCTGGTTGTGGCTTTTATCAGTCGCCGGCGTGACGACAAGTCCTAAATGTCATCTCGGCCATACGTCTGCGCCAATTCTTGCCAATTTACTACTTTGTCTTTTCTACAATCGTCTGCACCAACTGTTCTGGCGCGCTCTTTCTTTGTTCTTCGTTTCTTTTTTGATCGGCGCCTTTGCTTGACTTTTTGCAACCTTGCCGATACGCCACCGGGTCTCGCATTTTCGTCTTTTGTTGAATTGATCGCGAGCGGCTCTGATGAAAGGCGTTGCATCAGCATTGCTTCTTGAGTTGCCCCGACAAGGCCTGGTTGAAGTTCTATGGGAGTCATGGTGAGGCTCGATCTGTGGTACGACAGATTGAATCAGATTCAGGGCACTTTGACGTCATAGTCGACAGTAGGAAATCCGCGTCAGTACATACAGAGCAGTTCGGTTTCGGTGTGTCTAACGTTACTTCTGGTAGACAGAGAATGATGATAATTCGGGAAGCTCCAAGCCGGAATTCAAAGTTGAGCTAACATTAGACTTGTAGCCAGAAAAAGTAAGAAAAATTCATTTCAAGGGGAGTGAGAGTGTGTATAAGTGCATGCGTGTATGTGCGTATGTGTGTGTGTGTGTGTGCGTGTGTGCGTGTAGAGAGAAGAATGAGGACACCTCCACTGCCCCCAATAACTTGTGGCATTCACAATCGTGACTGTTTCTGGACTACCAAATGCTTCAACTAGAAATCATTCATATTTGCCAAGATTTGATAGTCACCATGTCATGCCTCCGGATGTTCGCGCGTGGTTGACTGTGGACGTGCGTGTGAGCCACCTGCTTGCATGGTGCCAGCACACCTCGCCAACACTCGTTTCCGGACGCCAGTCATGGGCACACCTCACCAACTGATCATATCAAAAGTCGGTCACAAAATAGGATCCCACTCTCGCTTCCTGTCTTAGAACCTCCCAAAAAGTCAAGTTGATGCATTGTTTCTTCCCATGGTCCACATGACCACAAGTTGTGAAAGTATGGCCAAAAATTTGACCCCAAGACGGTCCAGCATTGTGGCTTCAGATTTTTAGACTCGGTATAAAACCGCAAATTTTTCAGGTGCTTCATGCTGGGGCAATATGCCACGTACTAGGTATTGGTTCGGAATTTAAATTATGGCTGTCTCCGGGGTAAGGCTGAAATTGGATGCCGCCATGCGGCCAAGATCAATTTGAAGAAGTGAGTCAGCCACTCAACGGGGTCCAGAGACGAAGACGGGCGCACAAAGTCGGCGTCGAGCTGTTATCGTATTGGCTGTCACGACTCAAATCTCGTACTCGGACCACATCAGAACCATTGAATTTTGCATATGGCTATTTCATCAAAGGTCCTGACTTTGTTGATCCAGCACGATGGCTACAAGTCTGCCCAATAGCGGCAACGGAATGGACGACAAGGCCAGCTTATCTTGCGGTAAGCTCGGTGAGGACGTGTGTTATCTCGCCGTTGCCCAGGCTTCCTGTGGATGCCCGATAAGCTTGGAGTGATTCATATTTGATATCTCAAGAGTCGGAAACTGTATCAACAAGCTGAGGCGCAGCAAGCTTGTTTCAGCACGGAAGCAGTAGCAGATATTGCCTACATCAGCAGCCCCACGTGGCAGTAGTTTGCATTGCCGGCGACTTCTTGGACTTGGCCGTTCTCGCTCAAATTGGAGGGGGGTGGCACAGGCGTGGAATCAGCAGACGGATTTGTTTTGCCAACCCCCCCCATACCGAACCATCTCCGTTCATCCAGTGGTGGCGGTTTGCGTGTTCCCAAGGCCCTGCTCCGTCCGCGGCGATGACGAATTGTCGACTAAACACGACAATCTGCAATGTGACCGGCAGCTCGTAAATGGTCTGGATACCCGGCGTCGCATCAGCTACCATGGCAAAAGACGGAAGAACAAAAACAAAGGAAAATAACTTTCCATGGCCTCCACGATGCCCCCGCCGCCCCCGCCGCCCCCGGATACCGGTGGGTCATTGGAGTTGGATCGGAGTCCTGTTACCCTATAACTTGGCTTCGATTACCCCATAGAATCATTTTCTTACCCTATAACAACGTAATCTGCCACAAGAGGGCCTGGTGAGGCTGGTAAAGATGTCAGGGGTGTCAACTGTGCAGGATGCATGTGCGATCGGACCAGACGCCCAACCATCAGCCACGTTGCTGAATGCTGATAGCTCGTTGATGCCGGAGGGCAAACGGTGCCGGACCCGGGCTCAGTCAGCCGGGGCTTCGTTCCGATTGTTCGGGCTGTGATGAGGTCTAGGTGCGTGGAAGCTGATGGGATTATTGATGGGAGATGTGTCTTGTCGCCTCATCTTGCTCATCCGGCCATGACGGACGCTCCTGCCCATGGTTAGGAAATAACGTCCCCCGCGCTCTTGCCCTTTTCGTCAAACGTCATGCTCCTTGCTGCGCGCGGGCTTCCGCGACTCTGTTCCCTCACATATTTTGCTTTTCTCTTCTCTGTCATTTCCTCAAGTTCGCAAACGCACCGTCCGTCATTTTACCGTCACAGCCACGTCTTATCGCACGTTTGGCCCCTTGGTGTCGTAGGTTTCTCAGGTACACGTACTGTGTGTAGTTACTCTGTACTCGCTTCTCCCTACTCCGTACGGAGCCTGAGACAGCGGACATCCTGGCCATTTCTCTGATAACAGCAAGACACACCCCCTGGCGTGCGCGTCTCCCACCGAGTCCCCAGACCAGAACCACGAACCACGACACACACATTTCTTGAAAACCCGCTGGAGCAACCACATCGTCATGCCAAGTTTCATGTCACCGATTGCCTAGCCTTCCAGCATTGGGGATCCGCCATCGGCCACCGCCCACAATGCAATAGTAGTTGGTGGCCAAGATTGATTCTTGACTTTTCCCAATTTCCCAATGGAATTTAGACGTCCCCATGGCGCCAGGGCGAATGACGAAAGAAAAGGATTAGGGCAGGCAAAATATTCCTCCGACAAACGGTCCAGAAACCAAAGACAAAAACGGTGAGCACCTGGCCAACAACTTCATCAAGGCTGTGGACTATTTTTAGGCGAGACGGATAGTGCTGCCATCAGTACACAATTTAGACAGGAAATCCTGTCCTGCGTTGCCACAAGAAGTCATCGCTTGGCCCGCGATCGCGTACAATAATAAAAACACAGCCAGCCACATATGCCTTCGCCATGTACGGCTTTTTCAATCACTGGCAACTATGGGTGCCTCTTTGTCAAGGATGTCCAGTCCAAGGAGACAAAGCAAACAAACCAGAAACAGACCGCGTCGTCGTAAAGAGCGATTAAGGCATGAAGAGAGGTGTATAGATTAATCCAACAATGGTGTTGCCTCCATCCATGGTCCATGGATTCTCCACATGGTGTGTACCTTGAGGACCACAGACTCCCTCCCTAGTCGGCTTCCGGCGGATGCTTGCCTGCCCGTATACGGATGCTGGCCGGCCCCTAGCCAAATTCTATATCAAGTCCGTCTCCCGCGACTCGGTCGTTGCTATCGGAACTGTAAGGAAACGTGCTTTATCTGAGCGGGCGTTTGTAGCATCCGTTTTGGTCTGTTTTCAGCACTTTGGCATCCTTTCAACCGGCCGTCCGTCTCTACACACAGTCTGTCAAGCAGTTCTCAGGATTGGTCTTTCCTATTAGAACTAGTCAGCCTAAAGTTCAAAATGGGTTCCCTTGGTTCTGAGCCAAGGCTTCCTTGGAACAAGACACCGTCTGTCTTGAGCCCTCAGCTTAGTCGTGTTGCCGGATGGTAGGTCTACCACGATATTGACGCTCTTGGAGGGACCAAAGGAACCAGAGAGGTCTTGCTAACACTTGTCACTCTAGCAACATTTACCTCAAGCTGGATAACCTTCAGCCAAGTGGTTCCTTCAAGTCCCGCGGAATTGGCAACCTCATGACCCGTGCCATTGCCAACAGCGCCGGCCATGTCCACTTCTACTGCTCTTCGGGCGGCAACGCTGGCCTTGCTTGTGCTACCTCGGCCGTTGCTTTGAAGCGCCCTGCCACTATTGTTATTCCATTGACAACGTCGGAGATGATGAAGAATAAGCTCCTTGATCTTGGTGTTGAAGTCCACCAAACCGGCAAGAATTTGGCTGCCGCTGATGAGTACCTCCGGACCGAACTCCTCGCCAAGGATCCCCACGGCGTCTACGTCCCGCCTTTTGATCATCCGCATGTTTGGGATGGCGCCTCTACAATCATTCCCGAACTACGAGAGCAAATGGACGAGCCCATCGATGCTATTGTCTGCAGCGTGGGCGGCGGCGGTTTGTTCAATGGTCTCATGCAAGGCATCGAGAGTTTTCCCTGGTCCGGGTCCAAACCTTGCGTTGTTGGAGTCGAAACTCTCGGAGCTGACAGTATGAATGCCTCCATCAGGGCTAACTCGCACATCACACTCCCGGAGATCACATCCATTGCCACGTCGTTGGGATGCTCGCGTATCTCTGCTGAGACGTGGAAGTGGTGTCGATACCCCAATACTCGCAGCCTCGTCGTCTCAGACGCGGATGCTGCCATTAGCTGCGTCCGGTTTGCCGACGACGCCCGCCACCTTGTTGAAGTGTCTTGTGGAGCTGCGCTCGCCACTGTATACAAGGGAGACTTGCGAGAGACCCTAGGACGTGGTCTCACTGATGTGGAATGGGCGCAGAAGAACATTGTCATCATTGTGTGCGGCGGCTCCGGCGTGACACTGGGCATCCTTGACCAGTACGTCCGTGAGTACCGAAGCAAGACCACCATCAAGGTCTAAGTGAATGAAAATGACGATATTATTTCTCTGTTCTAGACACACAAGCGTTTGGTTTTTTTTTATAATTTTTTTAACCCCAAGAGAGACGGGTATCGGCTACCTATTGATAAAGAGATTAATGCGAAAGAAATTCACAAGACGAGTAACACCCCCCTGGTTGCGTAGCCTTGAGATTCTTACACGGACAGCTACCGAGACGACATCGAGGCTCCCCCACGTGCCAGACGGTAACGAACACACTCCGCATCCGCTAGCATTGCGACGGGTTGGCGGCAATGTTGCGGATCACGGACAAGGCGGCTCACGATATCATCATGAAAGGGCAGTATGGTGTCATGCACGTATCTGCAGACGGAAAGCGACGGCTTGAAACTGGCTCAAGCTCGCTAAAATGGAAGAAGCACGAGAAGGTTGCAGAAAGTAGGAATGGGGAGTAACATGCTCGGGAGAGCACGGAACGGAAACGGGACGCACTACGTGGTGTCTGACAAGGGTTGGATACAAATCTGATCTTGGCAGCGACGACACTCGACATTCATGCACATGATTCTTGTTCGTTTCTCATATTCCCGGAGACAAAAAAGTGTGCATGATTAGGCGTTTGATGATTTGGACTGGCGGGATGGGGCATGAGGCATGGATGGCATGCAGTATATCGAGTATTGATACATAATTCGGCGGCGTAGGACAGGAATATACCACAAGACGGCACCTATGTCCATGGAAACGCCGTGGAGCATAGAAATAGACATGGAATTACTGCCACGGAGCATTCAGCTCCAAAGTATCTCAAGTTGCCACACCCCACGGGGAAATCACCTGAAGCCCACGTCCACGGACCACGGACCACAATACACATGTCCGGCGTCGGCTAGCAACCGACCACAGCCCACGGCAACGCTCGTGGCCTCGTCGCGTGACGACCGTTCCCGCCAGCGCACCACGTCGGGCGGTAACACGGAAGACGCTGCAAGTTCCACGGTTCACAAGCCTAGGGCGCCCGCTGTTGCCGCGGCGGTGGATTCCGGCAATCTAATCTAGTGTTTTGCAAGCGCGTGAACAGGGGCCGAGGGGGAGCCGCGCGCGCTGCTGGGCAAAGGGAAAAGGTATTCCCACACCTGCCTGGGACCGTGCTGAAGAGGTGCGACTTCACCGCCGGCGGCCGGCGGCGGGCTTGTTCCTGCCCATCTTCGCCTCCTTGATGCCCTTTCTCTCCTCGACGAACTCGCTCATGATCTGCTGCAGGTCGGGGTTCTTGCGTGCCAGGAGGAGCACATCCTCTGTCGTGATGTTGGGCCGCGAGGCGTGGTTGGCGAAGCTCTCGAGGTCGATGGCGATGTTTTCTGCGCGGGCGTCAGGCCGCCTGCGCCTTGGGGATGGACTAGAGCCCGGCTCTGGGGCGGAGGGCCTTACCAATCTGTGTCCAGACCATTTCTGTCAACGCGCCGATGAACTGGGGCGTTGCGTTGCGGTTTCGTCGGAGGCATTCTTCGTCGACGATTTGGCCGACTGCGTACCAGAGGGCTGATTTGAGGCGCTGGCGGGGGAGGGTTAGCTGTTGGATGGGATGGGATGGACGGTAGGTCACGAGGTTTGGCGGGAGCGTACCTCGCGCTCGTCGGTGTCGTCGTCGGGCGAGGCCATGGCTGTGAACTTGTGAGGTGGTGAGATTGCCAACTGGTGCTTTTGCGTGAGGTGCCTGCGTTGAGGGAGGTGGACTTGTCGAGCGAGGTAAGGTTTTGTGGGGCCGCGTTTGGGCGAGAGTTCGTTGGAGACAGTACGGAGTATGCAAGCTTGTATGTGGGAATCGTGTGTTTAGGTGAGCGCTTCATTTGAGTATATCAGCGAGAGACGAGACCTTGCTCAAGAGTCATGCCCGGCCAAGTGTCGCTGACGGGTCATGGGACAGCGTATACCTCACTCGCCGCTGCACCAACGTGCTAGGTTCTTTCTTCGAATGTCAGTGATGAACGAGCTTATTGTGTGACGCGTTTATTTTATTCCTTCACGTTGGATGCATTCGAGCCGTGGTCGAAGTGACTCCCTCAAGGACTGCCCCAACCATGTTCCTTGGAATTGCTGCCAAATGCAACCGTCTTCACGCCGTCCGGACCGGCCATCTGCAGCAGACAATTGCTACAAAGGCATCCAGCATGGTACAAGCTTACTTTCAAAGAAAAGCGACCGTGGTCACTCATTCTCCTTGCTATCCGCATCTATCAGCTACATCCACTGGCCCGATTGGCTCCCAATTTGCCCTTGAAGATTCCATCGGGGATCACAAGGGAAAGATGCCGGCCCACCACCCCGTCGGACATGCAAAAATGCTCTGTCAAGGTCCGAGTTGTCATAATGTCATCGAAACGCCGGCGCTAAAATGCAAAGCATGAATAGAAATATTTCCATTTCGAGAGACTGCCACCTTGCCAAAACAGAGAACAAAAACGAAAAACTTGCTCCAGTGAGTCGTTTACTCGCCCAAGGCCATCCCGGCCAGGCCTCGTTGTGGCAGGGTCCAAGGTTTGGCGCAAATCATCTATAAATGGCCTAATTAGCGTGCTGGTTTGCCTGTGGCAAGTCTGAAGCGCAAACGTACCTCGCCCTCGCTGTATGCCACAAAGTACACAATCATTCCTATGAGGTAGTAAATTGCAGGGTTGGTAGACTGGTACATTAAAATGGAGGCGAGTGCCGTCAGCGGCAGGACTGCAAGTCGAAATTCTAGTGACCTATGAAGACTTGAGCCGGCGACAAAGCTCAATGGCCACTCCAATGCAAGCATTGCCAGCCCCAATATGAGGTTGATTGTTTGCAAAATCGGGATGGGTTTGACAGCAGGGTCTAGGGCCTTGGTGATGAAATCCCAAAATACCTTGGGCCAGATAAACCCTTCAATGGCGGCGCCAACTTGATCTGAACAATCAATGTCAGTAAATATTGGTTCATGATGAAGAATAAGTTGTCACAACATACAAACTGCGGCGGTCATGATGATAAGGCGGGCCAAGTGGTTCTTGATAAGTCTGCCCATGGTGCCAAGGTAATTAACCCAAACATCCACTTCTGTTCCTGTCTCTTTCTGATCTATATCCCAGATCCCCTGCCCTGCGATAAACGTCGCGAACTTTGGAGACCTCGTAAATCGCTTGTTGATCGTCTTATGTGAACACGCCCGAGTAGCCAGGGGTAAATGAACTGAAATTGCCGTGAAGCCTCTAATTTTTCTCTTGTAGGTAAGTAGTACAGTTGGCGTGAGCCGATTAAGAGGGAGCTAGAGGGCACAAAGAAACTGCTGGTAGCCAGACCGGCACAGATTCGAGATGAATGAAAGATTGTAGTTGAATGAAAGACTGGATATTAGGTAGTTCTCGACAGGCCCAGACTGGTCGAGGAAACCGGAGGCGAAAACGGAAGACGACGAGTTATGTCCAAGCAGGATCCAATAAGCTTGACAACCCAGTCGGTAACGGGCCTAGCAAAGCGTCGGAGGGCTACAGCCAGTGCCGAAGATGGCGAGGCCAACCCAAGCCCGCGTATCAGATACTGATTGCTGGCGAAACAGGCACAGTATGGGAAGACGCCAATTTGGTGGTAAATGGCGAGAATGTGATGGAGTCCGTTGTTTCTTGACAGCAGGCATTCGTGCGGCACTAACCTCTTGCAACCAGGCTGGGGTGCACGACAAGGAACTGTACAAATTGAGATGAAGTGGCAGAAGAGGTTGAGCCGAGCCTGAGCCTTCTGTTCTGAACCGGAGACGATTTGGCGGCGCTGCTTGATCTGCAGTTTTGGTGACAGCCTCGCATGTGGCACAGCCGACTGTCGACCTCTATCTATCTGAAGCTGAGAGGATTACACGATGATCTCATCCGTAGTCGTGGCGGTAGAAGTGTAAGGCCTGGTTCTCCTCCGCGTGGGCGAAGGGGCGTTTGAAGCTGTGTTTATCAGACGAGGCGTCGTCGGAGACCTGAATCAAGGAGGAGCGCAGTTGGGAGGGGAAAGAATCAAGGAGGCCCATACTGAAGCCTCCGTGGACGGAAGCTAGATTTAAAATATGGAAAATACAGCATGGTCTGGCATGACATCTGCAGCTTCGCATGGCCACGGCCCTTGCAGAGTCTACTGGTGTGACCGCCGGGATTGGCGCCGGTAGACTACTCCGTGCGTGCATACTAGACGAGCACAAATGGCGTGAATGCCCGACGATGAGCGTGAGGAGAACCTGGAAAGCCGCTGGTTGCCAAGAGTCCCAAGACAAAGGCGACGGCACAAGTTGGAACAGCATGGGTATCCGTGGGAAAAAAGAGGGCGATACTGAGGTACCGGGACTTCAGCCAAGAATAGACTGTTGGACCATTTGGGAGGGGGGCCAGTCCACAAGTCGCTGGCCGGAGGCATTGAGGAAAGGGTACGGAGTACTCGGCACGGAGAAGCAACAGTGACTTGGAAGCGGTACAGAGTCGAATTGGCCGGTCCCGCGTTGCATATTGCAGAGCCATGCCGTCGTGGACTCGTGGCCGTGTCTTGCTTGGATGGTGGATGGCGATGGGCGATGGGCGATGGGCGATGGTGAGACGGAAAAAGTTAACCGGTGGTGTGGCTCGAGGTGATTAGAGAAACATGGGCGGTTACACGTTGGACGAGAGCCAATGAGCACCCTTGCCGCCGGGACGGACAAGGGTCGCGCCTCGAGGGCCGCACCTTCCCTGCAGGACGCCGGCCAGCCTCAACCGATTCCAACACCAACCAACCACCATTTTTGTCTGCTCGTCATCAACCCCGGTCGCGGAACCCATCGTCTTTCCAACCCTCCGCCCGTCCCAAGTCGACATCGTGTGAAGCGGCCGCTGGTCTGCATTTTCTTGGCTGCTGAGTTGTCGGTCGGTCAAAAATGTCGAACCAGAGCGGCAAACTACATGGGACAAACAAGTCGATCGGTGCTGCGGAGCACTCGGTACGACCAATGACCACTTCCAGCATCTATTTGCGTGGGTCAGCTACTCCGTACCGAGACGGGGTCCCTTTCATCTTGTCTTAGCACAAACGAATTGGCCCTTTTGTACTCCGTAAGGGCCACTATTATTCAGTTATGTACTTTATTTGGATTACCATCTGTTGCTTATTGTTCTCATCATCATGGTCTATACATAGGCATGACAGTGGCGGGTCTCGTACGACTTGTGCGACGTCTAGGCTCCATCGTGAAGCACATGGTGTCTGAGGTGCTCGTCAACCTGCGGAGGAGTACGGAGTACGGAGTACGTGCACTACACCTCACCACACAAACACTCTGCAACCACTTCCAACCATCACCAGGCCCCACAGTATACAATCAGTGGGTGAAGCCAAGAAGGACATAAACAAAAGCACCAACTATTACCGCGTTTAGCCAACCCGACAGCTGCGTCCCTTGTCACCGCTCGTGCCATGCCACGGTCACACGTCTGCGAGAAATCCATGCTCCATATCAAAGTCCCGACAATACGGTGAACGCACCACCCATTCCATTGGTATCTCCTCTGCGGAAAAGTCCTTATGGAGCTGGTAGCTTGTAGGCTCTAAACGCTCGACTCCGACTGCTGGTTTTCGATCTTCCTCCCGCGTGCGCCTTCTATTCTGATGACGTCGACGCGTTGGTACTCAGGGTCGCCAACTCGTTGTTTTCGCCCCTCTTGGATTACGATGAAGCGTGAAATCAATTACGATAAGCCGGTCTCATTACGCCGTGTCGAATGGGCATCTCTTTTGCACCTACCGCCAATGGAATGCACGGCAAAAGGCGTATGGAAACCTGAAAGCGATGGCGGCATGGCCTCCGCTTCAAAAGTCGACTGCCAACTTGGACTAGGTGGTAGTCGTCTTTCTGTGCATTCCCGCAGCCACAGTCCAAGTCAGAATGACACGCGGGGTGACATGGCGTCCTCACATCTAACGACATTGAAAATGTCATGTTGCAACCTCTGGAGCCAAGAAACGCATCTAGTGAGAAAAACTTGGACGTCCCATCCTTGGTTTTATAAAGCCTTCTGCGTCCGCCCAAAAGGCGACCCGAACCAATGGACCCCAGTACCCCAGCCCAGTCCATGCGGATCTATTGTGTACCTTCATCACTCTCCGGCGGCTCTGAGACGTCGCTGATTGGGAGCGGTCGTTATGGTGGCACTCGCGAGCTAAAGGTGCAGCCAATCAAATCCAACATCACCGTACCTCTTGCATTGAGACCGACTTGGACGATGGCTGCTCATCGAGCGTAAGGGGGCCCGAATCTGCATATTCTCATCCCTCTCGTTCTGCTGGCTCAATCCTGCTCGGCTAGACCCTTTTTCAGAAGGACTTGGAGACACGAAAACATGCCGAAGCTATACTTCGTACAATAATCCGTTTACTTGGGCTGCAAACTCGCTGGTGTGCTTCTCACACTACTAATTCTTTTCTCCTGCAGAAAATAGGGACTCATAAGTTGGGTGGGACACGCCGATGTGTCTGCCGTGGTGAGCTTCCTTTCTTCGCCCCCGACCACTCCATATTTCACTCCTCTTTTAGGCTGAGATTGGGTAACACCCGACCTTGAGATGCCGGGATGGCCTGTCCGACGTGCATACATAGTTGTCTCTACGGAGTACTGTTGGAAACTGCGACTTGCTATTTTGGTCAGAGCCATGGCCAAATACCAATAATGGGGCATAAAAAATCATATCAACGGAGGATTATGTACGGCTCATCACCACGGTAATGGCGGCTCGGCTCCAGCTCAGCGAGATTAAGCAAAAACTTAACCAACTCATTCTGAAATTTACACCGCAGTGTGTTACTAAGTCTGATCAATCCTCGCTTGGGCCCCGGGCTGGCTGACGACGCACGGGAAGAGTTGAGGAACATGGCACTATGCGAACAGAGGTAGGAGCTGAAGATGAGCGCTTCTTGTGTGCCCTGGCATTTGTTTCATGTTGTTGGCCAGGCTTCCTCGATCAAAGATTTCATGAGGCCTATACGGATTTCTTGTGAAACCGGTCCATTTGCGCCACGAAGCGCGCGGCTGCCGCCTGAACTGCGACCATTACTCAGTTGTTGGCTATCTCAGTTTCATACATAAGGCTGCGCGGCTAAGCGCCGTGGAAATGGCTCCAAAAAACATATTGATTCGATAGCCATGGCGTATCTGAGGTCTACCTCAGCCTTGTGTGCCCTCTGTTCGGCCACCAGGGGCACAAGGCACTGTACTCGATGATGTATCGAGTGTGTCCCACGGCCTTCTCCCTATCCGAACTTCGGACCGCCGGTGAAGTATGTAATCATTCTGCGGCCATCAGCGACGCCCAACCGCTCACAGATGATCTGTTGCCCTTCCTGGCTCTGCACCATGTTGGCCAAGTCCCTCAAATGACTGACGGACCCTAATAGAGCATCTACCCGTTCCACTGATGGAGGAAATCCTGAAACGCAATGGCGTAAAAGGTCCCTCTGGGCCTCATGACTGCTGATTTGGGCGCATCCGTTCATGCCAGTAATGCTCGGCTTTCTTAATGCATCAAGATGAGTAACGAGCCGGTCAGCGCGGGATATGGGCATAGCCGAGATGCTTTCATATTCAAGCATTCTGGATTTATTAGAGTGGCTCCTACAATCACCGCTGCCGCAAGTACGTACCGCAGTTGAAATCTCATGAATGAAGACATGGCACTGTGCCCTTGCATCAGAAATACGACAGCTCTCTTGCCGGTTCTATCTCTGGAAAGCTGGTCGATCCTGAGCATTGTGTCGTCAGTACATGCTTTCTCTGCCGAGGTGAGAATCATCCGACAGGTAGACGAGTGACTGGCTGAGTGTTGGATTGCGAATTCAATGTCATGTTTAAGAAGCCTCGTTTCTGAAGGTTGTCAGTGCACCAGACCCCGGTGACTTGGTTGGACCTTTGCAAGATGTTACCTCTCCATTTCGAGGGACACTTGGCAAAGAGGGTGAGTGCCGGAGACCACTCAGGGCATTGACGAAGTGATGAGCTGAACATGACTAGGTGCTTTTGACGAAGATGCCAAAGCAAGTAGTGCGCAAGAGGCAAGTTTGCCAGTCAATACTAGTCAAGTTCTTTATGTGATGCATCGGAGATAGAGGGGAGGTTTTCATTTCTTGGAGAGGAGACGTTCAAATGCGACTCCATGGTGGAAGGAGCTGTCTGCTTCTTGCCTTTTGTCGCCCATCTAACCATCGATCCGGCCTGCTGCCCTGTGCCCAATTACTTGCTCTCATGAGAATAGAAGTGGCGTTCTCTGAGGATTTCTAAATGGTCTATGTATACATTGATTTAGAAGATGCGACAGCACAAAAGTTTGAAAATAAAAGTCCCATATGCCAATGTGTAAATCCGTATGGTGTGCAAAACTCCACCCATGGTATGTGTAATTCGCTCGCGGACCTTCGTGGACAAAAAAAAAAAAAAAAAAAAAAAAAAAAAGGGGAAAAGGAAAAAAGGGGGGAAAAAAAAGAAAGAAGACAAATTGCAAGGCGCTCCTCGTCGCTTTCTCCCCAATGCCGAAATTGAACATGACTTCAAGGCTGCAATGTCGGTAACAAAGGCTCCTTCGTCTTGGCATCTTTCAAGGCCCTCAACGCCTCCTCCAAGGCCTCAAACCTTTGTCTCTGCTTCTCCTCCGCATCCGCCAGCTCCTCTTCTCTCCTCCTCAGCGCCTCCACCCTCTCACTCAAATCGTCAATTCGCTGCTTGTTCACGTCTGGTTTCTGCAGCGCCTTCCACGACTCGTACATGATCAATCCGCCGGCGACACTGAGAATGAACGCATCGCCGATCACGTCTGCGAACAGGTCGACTGCCTTTCCCTCGGGCAGGGGTCGAAATTTCCTTTTCCAAACGTTTTGGAACGTGAGCCTGGGGTATTTTGCTGCTGGCTGGGGCGAGGAGGGGGTGGCAGACTTGGCCGCCTCGTCGCGTTTGTGTTGCTCCTCGGTCTTGACCGTGGGTGCTTCGGCTCGCTCTTTGGCGCGGCGCTCTGCCTCGGGGTCCCGGAGGAGGGCGACGGACATGCGCATGTTTAGTTGGTGGATGTGCTGGCCGTACTTTGCGGCGAATGTGCGAAATCGTGGGTGGTTGTGGGCTCGGGCTTTGATTCGGTTCTGGCCGCGGGTCGGAGTCAGTACGACGCGGTGTTGCGGCTAATTTTCTTTGGCGGGCTCTGAAATTGACAGTGACGGATTGGGTCGCCGGCTTACCGCGCCATATTTGGAGATGTGCCGCACGAAGAGAGATGCGAGCTTGAATAGAGGTAGAGGCACCATGGTTGTCGCGACCGAGGTTGGGCTTCAGCACCGGGAGAAAGGAAAAACCTCGGTGGGAGGCGTATGCCAAACCACGCAGCGTCGGGGTCGAGGAGAAAGAAGTCTCTGGCTGATGTGAGGCAGTTTTCCGGGCTCCATCCGACTGCGGGAATGGACAGCGTCAGCGAGTGAGGTTGTCGCAACTTCAAGCGGACTGATGACTGAAGCAACGATGTCGAGGTTCCGCAGTCCTCCGTGGGTTGCGTGCTGAGCTGCTGGCGCCGCCACTAACGTTGCATCATCCGTCAATTATTCAGGGGGCCACGGAAACACTCGGGCACCTGGCCAAACCTCTTGGGGCTTCCACTGGTGCTTCTAGTGGCTCTGGATGTCAATTGCTGTCCGCTTCAAGAGCCTAACCAGACTCGGCCCGGCTTGTGGGACCCTTCACCGCCAGATTGGGACTGGCGTGGGTGTGGCAGCCACTACAAACAGCTCAAGGTGGCCTTCTACAGCACTCTAATTGGCCGGAGGATCGATTTAGACGATGGACCGTAGTGACTTTGGTTCCCCGGCAACCGCCAGACACGGTCAAAGTACACAAACCCGCCCCCAGCAATGGGAAAGAGACCTGTTCCTAGTCTCATTTTCCGAGTTCGTGGACTGCCATGCCACTCTTGCACCCACATCGACAATTGAGCATTGCTAACCGTCTTTCTTTTGGCATCTCGACGGGCCCTCGCCAATACTTCATCGTCGGCTCACTGTGGCTTTGCTTCATCGCGAATGCTATACGCGCTTGAACTGAATGTGAGCACCAGATCCCTTGCTTTTACTATCCTACTTACTACCCGCATGCGTCTACGCCGGCTTTGGTATATCTGGTGCTATTGCACTTCCAGGACGCTGCACTGGCCATGATTCATTGCCAATTAAATCATGTTCAACAGTATTTCTCACTCGTCCATCTCAATCCAGGCTCCCGTTGGTGATTCTGGTCAACGAATCCTCCACTTTTAACGCCCTCCCCTGCGCATCGATATTTTGATATATCCCACGGCAATCTACTCCGTACTTAGCAGCCATGGCCCACAGGTTGGCTGCGGCCAAAGGCAGCGTCGATGTCGAGGCTCTGTCTCCCAGAGATGCCAATGCCCAACGATTGCCCAAAGCGGCCGAAAACAAAGTCAAGACCGCAGCGCAGCTTCGAGCTGCCAAGGACAAGGAGCATCCTCCGCCGCCCCCTCCCGAAGTCTTCGAGCCACGTAGTTCCGAATACCCTGACGGGGCGACGTATCAAGTTGGCAAGTTATTGGGAAAGGGGGGCTTCGCCCTTGCCTACAGCAGTCTACACGTGGCAACCAAGCAAAAGTATGCCTTGAAGATTGTGAAGAGCAAAATGCCTCCCAAGATGGAGCAAAAGGCAAGTGGTTGTTTGCCCGCACATGAAGCCTTGCCGGGACATGTCTGTCTAACGACCCCCTTGTTCAGTTTCAAACCGAGCTCCAAATACACTCCAAAATGAAGCACAAGAACATCGTGCAATTCTTCCGAGCTTTTCCCTTCAACAACTGCACATATCTTGTGCTGGAGCAGTGTAATAACGGCTCACTCATGGACATGGTCAAGCGCCGCAAGGGACTCACCGAGCCCGAGGTCCGTTTCTACTCGGTTCAGATTACTGGCGCAATCAAGTACATGCACGCCAAAGGCATCATTCACCGTGACTTGAAGATGGGCAATATCTTCCTGGATTCTCACATGAATGCCAAGATTGGCGACTTTGGCTTGGCCGCCCTGGTGGTTACCGGCAGGGACATGCAGACCATTCGTCGAACCACACTTTGCGGGACCCCAAACTACATTGCCCCTGAGATTTTGGAAAAGGGGAAGAAAGGCCACGATCACATGGTCGATATCTGGAGCTTGGGGATCATCATGTACGAATGCTTGAAGAACGGGACTCCCCTTGCCCGCGATACATGTCACTGACTGCAAACAGGTTCGCCATGCTTACCTCAAAGCCCCCGTTCCAATCTTCAACCACGGATGAGATTTATCGCCGAGCCAGAGAGAGAGATTACGAGTGGCCAACAGGCGAATCGAACCAGAAATTCATAAGCCAGGAGGCCAAGGATCTGGTTGCCACCATGCTGGAGGACGCCGACCGCCGCCCCGAGCCAGATGATATCATACTGCACACATTTTTCACCTCTGGCTACATGCCCACCGACATCGACATGAGTTACCGACTCCGAGAATTGCCGCCCGAGCGGGAGGAGTTTTATGTCACCCGGATGAGCAGCGCCATGCAAAATACTTCCCATCGCAATCTGAAACAAATGTGCATAGAGAGCGGGATTGGCCCTTGGTCCGACGTAAACGTCATTCACTCGCAAGTTTGGAAAGAAATGGCCCAGGAAGAAAAGGCCGGCCTGACGCCAACGATTCCTCTAGCTGACAATTTGGTTTATCGACCATTTGACGACTGGCTCAAAGAGCACGTGCCTCAGCGAAGTAAACTTTCACATTCCGTTGGACCTCACACCGCGCAGCCAGTCGCGGTTTCCGAAGAGCCGCACAACACCGCGCAAAAGGCTCCTCTAGGATTGCCGAGACAGCCTCCTCAGAGTTTCGCTGCCCAGCAACGTGCACAAAACCGACCTGCTGCAACCTCCTCAACAGCCAAATCGAATCCTCCTGTGGACCCTGCCCTGACGGCCAGCCAAAGTATACGAGGAGCATCACGGCGAGAGGCCGTTCAAGGGGCGGCCTCGAAAGTATCCTCGGGAGGCACGCTCAAGACGATGCGAAGCTCGGCCCGCACAGTCTTGCCAGCAGCGCGGTCAGCTCCGAGCCTCCAAGTAGCCGAGCGAGCAGCTACTATGACATGTGCCCCCGCGCAACCACTTCAAAGATCAAATTCACAGTCAATTCGGCCGACGACTCTCTTCGCCCCATCCGAGAAGACTGCGGCAATCGTGGGCTCAAAGCCCGACGTTGTTCTGGAACGATTGAAAAAGTTACAAGCGGAACTAGAGCGATCATTGAATTCCCGTACAATGGCAGTCATTTCCTCCAAATCTGTCACACCTCCCCATCCTCACGTGGTTGTCAAGTGGGTTGACTATACCAACAAATTTGGTCTTGGCTATATTTTGAACGACGGCAGTGTCGGTTGCGTACTCAGGGATATTCCCACAACAGAAGGCAGCAAAACAGCTATGCTCCCTCCTGCCGGCGTTTTCATACGAGGTGCTGAGAAACACATTCTGCGTCGGGAAGATGAATCATACTTTGACAGGAGCCAACCGGTTCCCATGACAGAGGCAATCAAGTTCTTTGAGAACAATGGTGAGAGCGGCCTATCTGAGGTGAATGTTTCGCCCGAGCAGTTTAGGGTGTCCATCAGCGAAGATGGCACAGCTGGCAAGATGAACCCTGGTAAGGATGTCTACCAGCACCGCAAGCGCGAGAGAATTATTCTCTGGAAAAAGTTTGCCAACTACATGATTGCCTATGGCCGAGACGAAAACCTTGGGGCTGAGGAGACGGAGGGGCAAGGCGTCATGTCACCAGGGGCAAAAGGCACAACGGCAGAGCTGGTGACGTTTTACCAGAGATTTGGAGACGTCGGTTGTTGGGTGTTCTGTGACGGACATCTTCAGTTCAACTTCCCCGATCACACCAAGATCGTGCTTGATGCTACCGGAACCTGGTGCCACTTCTGGCATCTCCCACAAGACGCCGCCGAAAGACTAGCATCGACAGGCACAATCGGGGCAGCCGCTCTAGACGACCGCGCAACGCTCTCGTACCCTCTGCAGACCCTGCTCAACTTCCAGATCAAGTCATCTACCCGCTCGGCCAGCACTCGCAAACGACCTGAGATTGACCCTGAGGTCCGAGGAATTCCCGCCGCAAACGACTTCCGCCGCAAGATTGAGTTCATCAAGAATGTGGTCAAGGAATGGGTTGCCAACGGTGGCCTCGGAAACAGTTCCATGAGCCGAGAGTCGCGCCTGCGATGGACCGGTTTCAGAGAACTGGTCAACACAACGATTCCTCAGAAACACGTCTGGGTGACGATTGGCGCTCGCTGGGGCGACCGGCGCTTGTCAACGCTCGTCGACCCCCGGAAGCCCTGGGAATTGGGCGAAGAAGACGCCGAGGGCCCCAGGAAGTAACCGGCCTCGTGGCCCAACTGAATGAAGGAGAAGGGGGCCCGCCATCTGCCTCTGTGTGTTTTGTAATGGCCAACAGCGTGAGGCTTCGGGCGGTGGTGCTTTTTTTGGAGGACGGGGGAGGTTGCTTTCTCGACACATGTCTGGGCTGATTCTACTTCGCCACCTTTACAGATTTTTTCTTTTTTTGGCTGCAGCGAGCTTGGCCGGCGTTGACAAGTCACTTTTGTACGGCGTACCGGGGACACGAGACGATCAATAATGACCCTGTGCTTTTGTGCGTGTCGTTTTCTTCATGTTTCTGCGCGTGGCCTGCACGCTGCGTTTGAAACCGTGTGGTCTGGAAAGCTCGAGGATGGCATGGCGAGGACCCGAGGGTCGAGTTTTGAGATGTCTGATTCGTACCCCCCTTAATGATTATTGCGTTTGTAGGTGACGCTGCATACTGTGAGAGAAGCCGGGACGACGGAGCACCACCGTCCGCCGTGTGAGACGTGGCCTGGACTCTGGCCGTTTTTGCTTCGGCAGCCTCGGTCCACGACAGCAAGTGTGGCGTGCAATCCGGTCAGTCAGTCCAAGGCCAGGATGAGACGACGATGGCATTACGCGGGCCCGCCTCATGCCCGTCTGTCTACACGCATACAAACAAGTCTTGCTGAACGAAGCGCGCCCCGACCCGTCCGCGCGAGCGACGGACGAGGGCGCAATCACAGAGTAAAAGAAAAAGGACGAGAATTAAAGAAATTAAAACACGTGCCGCAGTCCATCGCTTCGGGCACGCCCGGTCATTTGAAGAAAAAGCAACTGGTACTCCGTAGTCTTGTTCGTACAGGATCAACCCCCGGCCGTACCGTAGAAAAACTCCACGTAGCGATACAAGGTCTTTTTACCCAAAACCAACGTGAACCCCCCCCCCCCCCCTTCTATTTATTACGCGTCAGAGTAGTAGCCATCGGCTTGGGAGTGGGTGGGAGCAACGGCCCAGCCGCCCGGGGCGCCGACCACGTTCTCCGCAGAGCCAAAGTAGGCGGACTTGGCGCGCTTTTCGCGCTCAAACTCGGCCCACCGCTTCATGGTGATTTTGCTGCTGTCAAACTCGCCCTCGTATTCGATGCCGCCCTTCTTGACCTTGTCTCCTGCCGTCTTACGCGTGTCGCCCCAGGAGAAGTCGTCAAACTTCCAAAAGGCATATGTCGGGAGAACAAAGTTCCAGATGGGCAGGGAGACCAGGTATATCAGCATCCAGACGACGTAGGACCACGAGTGGGCTGTGACGAGGATGAGAAGGCCGGGAAGGCCTAGAATAAGAGCGAGCAATACTAGCGGGATGATTTGCGGGGGCGAGTGGATGATGGATGTGATGACTGCAGTAACGTTAGCCCTGGGTTTTTTGCTTCCCATCACGAAAAAGGAGGGCTCAGAGTCGTTCATGTGGCATCGCGATGCGGCTTGTCACTTACCAACATAAAAGGTGAAGGCGATGGCGGCCGGTAGCACCAGCGTGCCGACCAGTTCAATGAAAACGACAAACTGCATGCTGAAGCAGAACGTGCCGCACAGGTCGCGAACCAGAACAAGCTCCATGAGGTTGTGAATGGTCGAGTTGATCCAGCGACGCCGCTGGGAGAGTAAGACCATGAACTTGTCGGGTACTGTTGTCTTGCAAACAGCCTGGGGCACAAACACCTGCTTTCGCTTGGGGAACGTGCGCAGCATCAGAGTCGTCAAGTAACGATCCTCCCCAAGCAGGTACAGATTTTTCTCGTGCAACGTTTCGACCACGTTTTCAGAGTAGTGCTCCACGACGTCGGGGTTGGCGAGAATAGGCACCCAGTAGTTCTGCCCACCCTTGGGGGCCTTGATGCGGTACATGCAGAAACAGCCGGGCAAGCAGGTGACACCGCCAAAGACGGACTCAAACGACTTGGCCAGGTGGTGGGAGATGAAGTACTCAAACACCTGGATGGCAGTGACCCAGCTGTCTCGCTTGTTGGCAATCTTGGTCTCACCACACAGACCCATGATCTCGGGATCCTTAACCATGGCAGATACCATGTGTGTCAAGCTGTCGGGGAACACCTTGGTATCAGCATCGACCATGAGCACTATTTCATAGTAGTCGGGCGAGATACCAGTGACCTTCCACAGACCGTTGAACATTTCGTACTCGAGTTCTGTCATTCGCTCGTCAAACATGACCTTTTGGAGAAAGGACATGAGAATGATTTGACTGTCTCGCTTGCCACGGTTGCCAGGCTTGGCATTGTCAGCCTCGTCAGGGGTACCGCACTTGACAATCAGCATCATGGGCACGCGCTGCTGCTTCTCGACAGGGATACGGCTCTTGCTGCCGTAGTCGTAGAAGCCGCAATAGACCTTGGCCATGTTGTGACGTTTTGAGCCGCTGGCAACGGCCACGTAGGAGAATGACTCAACCATGTCGGGAGGAGTCGAATGGTCCCTCATCATGCCCAAGCAGACATCCGGAGTAGAGACGGCTTCGCCCTTGCCCTTGATGATGCCGTCACATATGACCACAATCGCCTTGTGGCTGTTTGGGTAGTCGGTCATGGCAATGGAGTCGAGGGTCGTCCGAATACCCTCTTCACCTTCCGAATAGGCCGTAACCAGGCACATAGTGTGGGCCAGGGGGAATCCAAATGGCATCCAGTCGGATGGTGGCTGGGGAACGACTGAGTCGTGGATGAATCCAGCGGGACCGGGGCCGTCAGAGGGACTGGCAGTACTGGTATACGGATCGGAGCGTAAGAAGCTGGCACGGCTGTCGTTGCCTTGTCTATAGATGGAGTTGGGGTTGAGCAGAGTGCTTCCGGGTCCTCGACTAGACATGGTGGTGGGGAGGCGTCTGGCTCCCGTTGCACGATCAGATCCGTAGACGGCAGAGAATCGAGACGTTGTGGGCAGGAAGGACGAGACTCGCTTGCTAGCTCTATCAGAACCCATGGTTGAGCTACCGACATCGCCCGGTAACCGAGCTGGTGCACGGTAAATATCCTCCGACCAGTCCTCAATCTGCTTGGCGCGCTTTCTGCGATCGGAAGTCTGCGACGTCTTTGCGGCGGCGTATTTGCGGCTGATAAACCACTGGAAAATCAGGGCCAAGACAAAACGGGTTCCGACAACGGACAGAATCAGAATAAGAGCGCAGTAAAGCACAACTTTGGAAGCGATGCAACCGACAGTCTCGGTGTCAACGAATCCGACTCGGGTGATCTCCTCAAGGCATTGAGCAATTTTCTTATCGCCGGGGGACTGGAACATTCGGGTGACATCGCGACCACGAATGGCCTTGTTGACTGCGTTGTCTTGGTCTCGCAAGACCTTGAATCGATCGGGGACGCTGATCTGACTCTCGTTGAACCAGTTGAGTAGGTTAAGGTCCAGCACGCTACCAGAATAGACGACGAGGTTGCGGGAGCTATTGCGAATATCGTCCCAGGTGAAGTAAACGTCGGCGGCTCCCTTCAGGCCCACGTAAAAGGCGTTTCGGGCATTGGCGCTGGTGTGACAGGCATAGCCCAAATAGTACGGGTCGGTGAAGTTGGGACGGCTGGACCCGTCTTGGTTGAACGTTGTGCAGGGAAAGTACCAGGCCAGCTCATTGTTGGAATTGGTTGGAACGTCGGAATCCTGAGCCTTGTTGATGAGGCCCTTGCAGTGGCCGTTGACGTTTTGGAAGAGAAAACTGCCATCCTGTCCCGAATGCTTCTCAGGCAAGTCGAATAAAACGTTAGCGCCCGTACCATCTTGTCGGAGAGGAATGCCTTCAGCCGGAGGATGATGCGAGGTAGACAGGTCGTACGCGACACCATGAAAGATCATGTAGCCACCCGTCACCTTGTTGACCCTCAATCGCTCGGGAGGTGCACTACACACAGTAGCGGTGAAACCAAAGGTGAGAAAACCAACGATGGCCATGATGGCGAGGATGATGCTGATGAGTCCCATTTTCTCTCGCCAGGCTCGGCGCTGAGCCTTTGTGGGCTTGCCGCAGCACTTCAATATGAAGTCGGGGCACCAAAATGTCACGATAGCGCAGTAAACGTTCCAAGCACTCAGAGGTCTAATCTGTTCGGGCACGGCAGCGTTCTTACGCGACTTTCTATGCCTACTCTCTTTGGTGATCTTGCCCGACTTTTGGCGGTGCGTGCGCGACTTGACGCGAACGTTGCCCTTCTCTTGGTCACCGCCGCTGGCCTTTGGGCTATGTTGGTCACGCGGCGGAGAGCTATCGGCAAAGCTTCCGTGAGTTTGGGAGCCTCCCGATCGCTCGGTTGAGTCATCGACATTTTCCAAGATGGGGTCGTTGCCGGTCGACGAGGGCATGGTCTCCATGTTGGCCGCATGCTTGTGATAATGGTAGTTTCTGTGGTCCTTGCCAATCCTGTTGCGCTCTGGCCGAATCAGACTCCTTTTGCGACTGAAAGGTTGGCCTGAGCCGTGCGGCGGAGGAGAGGTTGCAGGATACGTCGGTGACAGAGGAAGTGTCTCTGTATTGGCGTTAGGGTTCGGAATAGTCTCGGCGTAGGAGGACACGGATTTCCCATGTTCATGTCTTGCTCTTGGCACAGGTTGAAAGCCCGTCTCTATGTCACTGGGGCGATGGCGTCGAGAAGGCGAATTTCTATAGAGGTTCCGATGTTCGTAGACCGGGCTACCGCCCGGTCGCTCGGGAAGAGACATGCTTCTGAAGCGCAAGTGTCAGTATACAATAATCGAAACAGCGCGAACTGCGCGATGTTCATAGTGTTCGATCACGGGCAAGGGTATAGATTCGCATCGCTTCTTTGAATAAAACCACGGTGTACAGCGGTGCCGAAGTCATATACTAGGTCCTTGGTCCCCTAGAAACGGAACCCAAACTGGTTCATCAACTTTGACGGGACTCGTATTCGCCCGATGCGTCACGACCCTCAGTCAGAAAGGGGTCGGTCGGCGAGAGGACAGCCAGTTTCCGCGCAAGACACAATCCCGGAGGATCCAAAGACAACAACCAGTATCATGAACGTCAAGCAGGCGCGTACGTACCAAGCTAGCTCACTTCACCGAGGCCAAGACCCCTTGGAGAGGCGTATGTCAGGCGGACAGCAGCTTCAACAACGCTCATCAACAAATGGCATCTAGGCAGGAGCCAGAAATGTGCGTTCACGCAAAGGAGAAAGATACAAAAGAACCAAACTCCGTGTTCGAGCGTCTGTAGCCAAGTCGGTTTCACAAGAGTGCAAGCTTGTCCCGTCAAGCTCCAAGTCGCAACAACGGCGCAGCAATTCGGATCCGCTGAGGGGGCGGTGATGTCCGTTTCCCCGTTTCCCCCCAAAAAAAAGAAAAGAAAAGAAAACACACAAAACGAGAGAATGGCTCGTGGGGCGCAGAGAGGACGAAGGAGAGAGAAGAGAGGACGCTGAGAAAGTGAGGAAGAGCGTCCGTCCCGGGGGAGCAGGACGAAGGCCGTGTGTTGTTTGTCTCCTCGGTGTCTCCTTGGCGCCGGTACCGAGCAGTCAGTCCCCCGAATAAATCAGAATAACGAGTGACGAGCGATGACCCGGGGGGCGGAGCGGAGGTTGTGGTGGCGAGGCGGTGCGTTGCCGTGGCCAGAGGAGACTGAGAAAGTTTATCGAGCGGACAGGAGCAGGGAGCCGGGAGCCAGGAGCCAGGAGCAGGGAGTTGAGCAGCGAGGGACGATCAATGATGGACGACGAGGGATGGAGACCAGACCAGTTGACACCTGCCTGTGACCTGAGCAGTCGATCCTGGACCCTCGCCAGGCGGGGCCTGGTGCAGGGCGGGCCGGTAGTGACCACTGAGGGCCCCTGACTGGCTGGCGCCGGTGCTGGTGCAATTGCTGGCGACGGGCCACTGCGCCAGTCAGTTGTTGGCTCCCAAGTACCTGGACCTGGTAGTTGCTCCGTCAGGCCCTACTCATCACGCCAGGGATACATACATCATTGCAAGCTAGAGGTCGTCGGCACCGGCGTTGCCGTGCCATGGTCCAAAATGTTTCGGCCGCAATGCCACGACGACATTGCTTGAAAATATCCAAATTCTACCTCAGGTCTGGCTCGGAGACTGCAGGGACCAGCCGCCCCAAAGTACACGTTCGCGTTCTTGGAGGTGGTGCCGCCACGGGGCTGCGCTGACAGCCGCTAACAGAGGCTACCTCGCGCCTACATGTATTGCCGAGCGAGTACTCCGTACCTCGACGCTAACTCAGAATGCCAAAGACACCTCTCCCTGTTCCTCACCCCCTGGCTTCGCTCCCACTCAGTCCCCGTTGTCCGGCCGACGATGGCGTGGCCCCTCCATCCACGGCCAGTTTTCTGTGGCGTTGGCGAATACGGGTACGGGACGTCGAGATGCGCGCTTGGCGTTTACCTTTCCTCGCCATGGGTCACTACAGGAGTGTTACTAGTACCGGTTTGCAGTTATCAACCGCCCCCAGCAGCTCGGTATGGCCCGGATCATACATAGACCTCTCCAGCGCGCTATACCCGAGCATCGCGGACTCGGCCGTGTCTGCTTGCTCGAGCTGTGACATCAAGGCAGAGAGCGGTTGTCACTTTGAGTTGCTAGCAGTAGCTGGCATGTGTTGAATGTCCAAAACAACTTGGTGATGACTTGCCTGCGTGGTCCATCCATGGCAGTATAGTACTCCTGTGCTTCAAGTCAGACATGTGCTTGCCTACTTGTCATGCCGGTCAATGTCCTTGAGTGCTGGCTGGCAGATCACTCAGTGCCCTTTTTATTTTGCCGAACTCTTCTAAATTTTGCAGAGCCTCGAGGGCTTCCCGAACGTACCCTTGACGAAGCGACTCTGGTGTTGTAGATGGCCAAGGACTGTCCCGATCAGTGTCGTACCATCTCATACGGACACAAACAGCCCAAGACCAGGCTCTGCTTCCATTCTCCTTCTTGTTGTCCGGGCCCGTGAACAGAGAGGTCGGTATGCGACTTATCCTCCCTGCTTGCGGCAGGAATGCGTGAACCTGGACTTCTGTGGAAACTGCCGCAACGCGCGGCGGTGTCGTTTGGCTCAGGTTCCAGGAGAGTAAGTACGTCTCCCCTTTGCTCTACGTGCAAGCTCTTTCTCCCCATCGCACGCCGTGCTCCCAGATGTCATTAATAACTCATCATGCCGCCCCTAGGGCAAGGCGCTCTTTCCAGTCACACAGTGATGGGAGGCGGCGAACCCGGCCTCGCGAGTCTCGTGTCGCGTCTGGCTGCATCATGCGGCGGGTAGTTCTCTGAGCAAGTTCAGCGTGCTGCGCTGGCCCGTTCAGTTGCTGCGCAGTACTCCGTACATGACGTTGCCTACATAAGTAGGCAGGTAGTTGCTCGTATCAGCCACCAACATCCTCGCCAGGGCTGACGACAACGTGCGAGCTTCGTTACATCGCCAGTGCGTGTGGCCCAGTTACCAGCTACACGGAGCCTTTCACGACTCGACGCATTAACAAAGTTAGTAATCCGGATCACCGTGGGCTGAGTCGAATCCCGACGTTATGGGTGTAACTCTGGCCCAGGGGTGGCGGTGCGGCAAAAAGGAAAAGCGTACGTAGACATGCCAAATGAAGTTGCGTAATGCGGGATTGAGAAGGATGACGACATTCCCATTCCAGCACCATGTTGGCCCGCTTTGGGGGTTAACTATGTAACACCTGATGACGGACATGCTTTTTTGTTCCTTTTGACAGGGCGAGTATTCCAATGACATGTTGTACATGCACGACGAGGGAGCCATCGACGGACCGGCATGTCAGAAGTGACCCCGTGCAGAGTACAATGACGCGTCGGCCCCTGCAGGCCGATCGAGGGATTGCCGTCTCACTGTCCGTCCAAGTCCCTGGGCTCTGGTGAAAGAACACGAAACAGCCGTGTTTGTGCTAAAGAAACCAAGTTTCGATGCCGAGGACCGCCTCAATCATGGCCATGAACTTGGGCACAGCACTGAAACTCCACGGCATTCGGTCGTAATCATCACCACAATGCAGAGCACGGCCTCCCTTTTCGGTGGAAACCCCCCCCACAAATAGACCAAGTTAGCAGTCGCTCCTTGCTCCTGCGCACAACTACCACGTGTCTCATGTACCTCGTCTGTGCTGGCAGCTGAGCAAAGCTTCGCATTACATACAGGTGTTTAGGAGACCATGTCTTTTGCATTGTGCAGCACGCATGGAATGCCGGACTTCCAGAAGCCAAACACTAGGAGAATTTCTGGATATATTCATGTACTTTGGTGGGGCCGCCCGCTGATGATACGGGATGCGGTGCGTTTTGACCTTCGGACACTTCTGTACAGACAAGCATGGTTAGCAGCGCGCAACAAAGTACGGAGTACCACTAGTAGCAGGGTAGGTACTTACTAAGTAAGTACCTAGGGTAGTAGTCGGGGCAAATCATTACTAGTTGCGTCTTTTGAGCCTCATGAAAATCCGGGTTGGCGAGACGATTGGCTTTTTTTGGCCAAAGAGCTCGCCTGCCCAGTCAATGAGAGCATGCCATCGAGGGCCAACACCGTTTTGAGTCCTACAGTGTTGAACGGAGTACTCCGTATTTTGACGCCAAATACTCGGTTCAAACACTACAGATTTCAGCCGCGAAGCCACACCGGAGAGACCCAGGCAGGCATCTCGCCCGAGCTGACGAGCGAGAGGCTCAGAAGCACAGCCGCACTCCTGCTCAATGGCGAAGTGAGAAAGAGCTGGGCAGATTTCGCCAATGATCCACAAACAAGCGAAATGCTGGCGGCATCCGCCGTTGCTGGTTCTGGCCTCTGCGGCTGCGGTCTAGGTGTCCCCTGTTTCACCTGGCGGCTCCCGCCATATCCGATGATCATGCTATGCGACATGGGAAAGAATGTTGTGGTGGGAAAAAAAAAAAGAAAAAAAAAACCAGGTGGTGTTTGCAGCAGAGTACGTATTCTTTCATATCAGTAGCCTGGGCCTGCTGCTTCCAGAGAAAACGCCGCCCCCCGTCTTCTGCTAGCGATTGGGAAACGTAAGATCCGAATCATCTTCGTACTCTGTCTGCACTCTGACCCGGCCCGGTGAAGCTCGGATCCTTCTAGTCTTCGTACAAGTCTCGCTATGGGGTCGGCCGCCCGCCGAGCCGACAAGGGAGCTCGTGTCGAGAGTATACTAATCAGCCGGCAGCTCGTTCTTGGATTGGGATGGGCTCTATGCTTGTCCGGTATTGTTCCCAAGGATGCGTCATCGTACGTACACATCAGGCGACTGTTTGGTAGTGGTCGTGAAATATTTGTGCGTAGACAATATTGCACCGACGTGGCAGTTGTCGGGCGGTGGGTTGAGGTTGAGAGTCAGACAGAGAAATGTTTCCGTCAGACTGAGAGGGATAACTGATGGAAAAGATGATGCATTCCTCCGCCATTCTCGGGGCTTGCTCCACCAAACGCAGGATACGCAGAAATGCATACCAATCCACTTCCTCCGCAGTTGATAGTACGGGCGCAGGTGCCACCAGCGGCGTCCACGTACAGCGCAGCGCGTCTTGACAAGCGAACTAACAACTGGCAGCCCTAGTCAAGTGGCCCCTTGGCTTGCAGGGGGGCACGTTGATTAGGCGTTCGCAACGTCTAACGTTAGTTTCCGGCGGAGGTCAGCCAAGAAAAGCCAAAAAAGAAGGGGGGGGCCGTTGTTCACCTTGAGTCTTGACACAAGCAGAGTTGTATGTACAGTAAACTATGTCTATAACGATCCTGTATCTTAGCGATATTTAGGTTTTTACGATAATTTACAGTTATCTAAGGTTTTTCCCTAGTAAATCGTTAATAGTCGCGTTACTAACGATATTGTTAACTTTTTGCTTAGTTACTATATTTTATCGTTATAAGGCCCCACTTTAAGGGCTGGGACTCCTTATAGTGGGGCTAGATTTCCTTATAGTGGGGCTAAATTTTGCTGCTTTCTCTTAATATATACTTTATAACACCCTTAGGTGTAATTTCCTAGTAAATGCAATAAGAAGTACAGCCCTACAAAAGTCGCACCTTAACGATAGTCGCTATATAACGATGAAAAAAGCCTCACGAAGGATATCGTTATAGACCTGGTTTACTGTATAGGGTTCTCCGCACGGAGTCACCACTGCTGCGACTGATACTGCGGAGTCCTGCGTGGGACCCGGTACAATAAATACAACAATGGAAAACCGCCGAGGAATTTGGAGTACGGAGGGCATGCAGGGTGTCCGAGTGCGTCGATTGTTGATGGGCACAAGGCCGCCTCGCCGCCTCGCCGCCTCGCCGCCTCGGTCCACGGTGTCGTGCCACGCATCTGGTCGGCTGGTCATGCTAACAAGAATAGCGGCAGCTTGGCTGTGAAATGGCCATGGAGTGGTGGCCGTGTGAGTGGCCATGGCTCTGCATCGGCTGGGGGTGTCTCGTGGGGGGGCCTGTGCGAGGTCGCCGTCAGCTCGCTGGCTGGTGGTGGGGCGTTGAGACTGAACATTGAAAGATCTCTACCGACCGTTGCCGCCTATGCTCGGTACACCGTACGGAGTACTCCGTACCCCGTCCTGCTCTGCTCCGCTCTGCTCTGCTCGGCGCAACCCAGAGCCCAGGGCCCAGAGCCTGGAGCCTGCTCAGACTGGGCTGCTCATTTCACAGTGCCGCCCGCGTTTGGCTGTTTTCCTCGTTATTTTCCCCTTCTTTTCTTTTCTTTTTTGTCTGTCTCGACTGGAAACCAGAGGCTGCTCCCTGCTCGCTCGACGTGACCTTGCATCGACGCCCCGAGTACGGAGTACCTACGAACTTGGAGGAAACAGATTCGGTACTCGGTACTCCGTAGCAGCGGTTGCAATAGCAATAGCAATAGCAAGTAGGTACTTGCTACCGAGTACTTAGTACATGGGCGCATGGGCAGCAACTCCGCCCGCCTGGTCAGGCTGCTGCTCCAGTCGTCCACCGGATAGTCAAATTTTCCTCTCCTTCGACGTGACGCCCGAGTATCCTCCCTCCACCACTCCGTACTCCGTACTCTTCACGGCTGGCTGCTCGCCTGCTCAATAGCCTTGCCTTGTCTTGTTTCCTTACTCTCCGGCCCCCCCCCTTTTCTCCCCGGTTGACAGTCCAAGGTTCCAGCGTCCCTCGTGTCGTTTGTCCATCTCAATCCTTGATTTCCCCTGCCCCCCCGTCGTGAGCTGCAGTGTTACGGAACCAGACGCCCACCCTCCCCTGCTGCTGCTCCACGCAGACACCTCCTGCGGCCCGTGCAATTCCACCTCGTCGGACTCGACAAGGAAAACCTCTGCCTCTTTCACTCCAGATACGCTCAAAGAACCGGCAACGACGGTGGTAACCTGCCGTCGTGGGCTGCTGCATCTCGACAAGCCGCCTGACCTGCCTATAGATATCTCGTCCATTGCAACCACATGGGCTGGCAGAATCAGGAAACCGACGACGACTTCAATCCCCCGACGTTTCTTGTTTGACGACAGTCGTGCCCTCGCCAGCGTCAGCCATGGCCGCCGTCGGCGCCTCTCCGCCTCGTACCATGACGACCTCCCACGTCGAACCTCGCGATCACACTTCTCTCAATGGCTATACGTCGCCGGCCACCGTCGCTAAACCGAGAAATACCTTGGATGCTTCCTCACTCGGCCCAGCCAGTGCTCGGCCCGTAAGCGTCGACTTTCACGACGAGAGCTGGGTCCAACTGTCAAATGCCAACGTCGATCTTGCGAAGCCGCAAACCGCGCACTTTCTTCCTGTCCAAGGTTCATATGATCATGCGTCCCCGGCTGTGTCTTCGGATGGATCTGAAATCATTCCCGCGTCCGAATCCTCCACCGCCAGGCAGTCTCAACCAGCCACCGTTGGACCCGTTCTTTCCGACCTTGATGCGCTAGCAGCAAAGTTCACCGATTCATCACTAGATCTCAGCTTCTCGCCTACATCGCGCCAACGGTATGAAACGTCCACCGTGAGTCCCAAGGACCGTCCACGAGATCAACACGTGAATCGAAACAGCCGCGAGTCCGACGACACAGCAAGCACCTCACCACAGCAACAACCGTCTGCCGAGTCGTCGGTTGCGACAAGTGTGAGCTCCATCTCTGGCGTCAACGATAATTCGGAAATCCCGACAAATGGTGACTCGCCGGGAAGCTCCATCATGGAGGGAAACTTGTCCAAGAATCTGTCCGTTCCACAGTTCCAGTACCACCACCAGCAACAAGAGCATCCTGCACAAGTTCCCAGCGGCGGGTTGGGCCAGTCTGCACAATCCTCATCTTCCGAGGTCCTGGAAAATGGGGGTCACGTCAGGCGCCACCTTACTCCTACGTCGACATACTTCCAAAGAAGTTCCTTTCCCCGACCTCAGTCGTCATACTCAACCCTCTCCGACTGCAGCCCGCGCGGCAGGTCCCCCAATCTCCTGCCTGGTGGCTCCCACATGCGTGCTCCCTCTGTCCAGTCTCGCAAGTCCCCCGATCCGAGACCGTCGTCGTATGCAGAACTTCTCAAGGTGCCTTACCCACAGCAGGCCCCTCCGTCGTTTTCACTGGACAATTCGGATTTACGAACCGTCATTGGAAACAATGCATCACTTCTCAGCACGCAAAAAACATTGGAAATGTACCGGCAGAATGTGAAAAAGACAACGGATCCTTCCACCCAATACTCTTTTGCCGTGTTCCTGATATCGACGGCGCAGGAGCAAGGCGTAGATGTGTCGAACCCAAAGTCGAAAAAGACTGCGCAGCAGCCATTGAGGGATCTCGATAGCCCTGTCGTGGAAGGGTCTGTGACCAGCCCTTACGACTTGATCCGCGAGGCTCGCCAAATCCTGCAGCGTTTGGCAAACGGCGGGTATCCTTTCGCCCAATACTACCTCGCCGACGGCTATGCCTCTGGCCTCTTTAGTAAGGGCAAAGAAGACTACAACTCGGCCTTTCCGCTTTTTGTTCTCGCGGCCAAGCACGGTCACGCCGAGTCTGCCTACCGCACCGCTCTGTGCTACGAGTTTGGATGGGGATGCCGCAAAGACCCTGTGAAGGCTGTTCAGTTCCTTCGCACTGCCGCCTCGAAGCGGCATCCAGGCGCCATGACGCGCTTGGGCAAGGCATGTCTTTCGGGCGATTTGGGTGAGAAGCGATACCGCGAGGGCATCAAGTGGTTGAAGCTTGCCGCTGAGGCTGCTGATCTGCAGTACAACGCTGCCCCCTATCAGCTCGGCTGCTTGTACGAGACCGGATACGGCGACGATATCTTCGCGGACGCGAGCTATGCCGCCGAGTTGTTCACCCAGGCGGCAGACCTGGGCCACCCGGAGGCTAACTACCGAATGGGCGATGCCTACGAGCACGGCCGGCTGAATTGTCCTCGCGACCCGGCCCTGAGTGTGCATTTCTATACCGGCGCTGCTGAACGTGGGCATTCGGCCGCAATGATGGGCCTCTGCGCATGGTACATGGTTGGAGCGCCTCCTATTCTGGAAAAGGATGAAGAGGAAGCGTACGAATGGGCGCGGCGATCTGCAGAACTAGGTAAGACGGACCGCTGACTCGGTCCTGCTGGTTACGCTGACGAGACGTGAAACTAATCATGGGTCTCTGTAGGTTTTGTCAAAGCTCAGTATGCCGTAGGGTACTTTACGGAAATGGGGATTGGCTGTCGGCGCGATATCCTCGAGGCCAACGTTTGGTACGTGAAAGCTGCCGACGCCGGTGACGAACGAGCCAAGCAACGTATTGCCGTTATTCAAGCCGCTGTAAGCGGCGGAGGTATGCCCATGGACGTCGGATCACCACGCGGCAAGAAGGGCGGCAAAGACGACAAGGACTGCGTTGTCATGTAGGAGAGCCGCGGCCGACGAGAAGAAAGGACGAACCAGCCAGAAATAATGAAGGCCAGGGAGAAAACATAACTCGATATCAGCAACGATGCCTGGACTGGATACCGATAGATACCCCCTCCCCTACGATTGATCGCAGGCAGGCCGCCGCGCTTCCCCCAGTTGAATTGCTGCCGGGAGCAACCGGAGACACTCGACATATATCTCATGGTATTGCGTTTCTTTACTTTTCTTTTCCTTTTTTTTTCACCATTTCATACATTTGAACAAAACTTTGTCTACAAGTTAGAAGGCTCCCTAATAGCGTCTGCGTGATTGCATGGCGCACCATGCATATTCCGTGCACACACCGTGTCGTCTGCCAAATAGAGCGTTGGCGCTACGTGCTATGCCACGGATCATCGCCGAACCAAGGAAAAAAAAAAAAGAGACGATATATTGAGGGTGGAAACCAGGGCCGTAATGGAGCATAGAAACACAAGCATTTGAAGAGGAGGCAGACTCGAGAACTGCAAGCGAAATTTGCGTCTGACATGGACGGGGTTTTATTGTTATTTTTTTGCATGGGAGTTTTTTGTTTTCTTTTGCAATTTCTTGGCATGTTCCTTTGAGTGTCCGTCAGGCGAAGTTGATCTTTTTTTTTCTTTTTTTTTCTTTTTGTTTGCCATGCTGAGGTGGAACGATGATACACCGGAGTAGAACTGCCAGGGGTACACCGATATTAACGCAATAGGACCGTTGCATATTGTTCTTGTGTTGAATTGGATTCCACGGGGATTGTCCTCCATGTCTGTTTACGTCGTTTTGGCACGTCTAGGGCGAACCCCCGTGACGAGGGAGTTGGGGAGTTTTATCACATATCCTCTTTCTTTTGCTGCACAGCCAAGAACACGGCTTAATATACTCTGGCCACTTGAGACGCATGACTGGGAACGGTGCGAATGTGTGCAGTGTGCTTTGTTTGTCATGTTGCACTGGAGATGTGTGCGGCCGTGGACGTGGACGTGGACGTGGACGTGGACGTGGACGTGGACGTGGACATGGACATGGTCACGGACACGGACACGGCGAAGCTGCAGTACGTAGGTGCTTGGATCACGGCGCCTTTGCTCGCATCTGGTTCCGGTTCTAGTTCTGGCTCCTGGCGTTGCCGACCCTCTAGCGGCGTCGCGCTTCTGGCCTTCTGGCGGCGATTCCGTCGTCTCCCGAGGGGATTCATTCGCCTTGGAAGAGGGGGGTCGGGCAGACGGCCAACGAAGCGACCAACCTCGACGAGGAGTCGTCGCTGTCCCCAAGTACGCAAGACCACATGACCACGTACCAACGTACTGTGAGCGACGCTGGCCCAAGGCCCAAGGGAGACCGAATGCAACTTGATGGATAAGAGATCAAGTGCGGCTCTGACATCTCACGTCACGTCACGTCACGTCACGTATGTTATGCGAGGGCGGGCGGGCCGGTGGAATATGGAATATTGACGGCTCCGCTCCCCAGGTTCCTCCTGTTGCTCCTGTTCCTGTTGCTGTTGCTGTTGCTGATGCTGGCTGGGCCTGCCTGCTGCCTGCCCTGCATACGATGCGAGCGGTTCGCTCGGGTGCGGCGCATACAATGACTATGCAACATGCAATGCACATGCACAGAACTGTCTCTTGTTTAGGGCCGACGATGCAGGGAGGATGTCTGGATGGATGGATCGATGATGGACGGACGGCGCTTGGGGCAGATTTGCTCCGGGGGCTGGGGAGCTGGCACAGACAGCTTCGCCGCCCAGGCCCCGATCTGTCACTCGAAATTCGAAATTCATCCGATGGTCGAGCTGCGTGGGGTCCTTGCACGGCCGGTATTGCATCATAGATACAGAGTAGATGGGCTCGAGTACTCCGTGCTCCGTACCATCTGGCCAGCGTCTAGCCCTGGACCGTTGGGCTGGCGTCGGTGGCCGACGACCGGGGGCTCTTGGCTCGCTCGTGATGGGCGATGGTGGGAGAGTGAGTGGTGGGCAAGACAAATATCTGGGCCATGCCATGCCATGCCGTCAAGTCGGGTCTGGTCCGGTGCGGTGAGTGGGCGCGTCGTGGACGCGACCGACGGCACCGAGTCGCGGCGTCGCTCGCGGGGGCGCGTCAACGTCGCCTGGACAAACACGCCAATTAACTTGGCGGGGCCTCAGCTCAAGCCCATCATGATGAAGCACGTTGCATCGTGATGGTGACGCGAGCCCGCTTCATGCGCCAGAGGTCCGTCCCCATTGTGCCCTCGGGCTGGACTGAATGGTCCCGATATTCCCCTCGCAAGGGAATACGAAGGAACAGAAATAGCCATCGGGCGCCACTAGTAAAGCACTCCATCTATTAAAAGGAGTTTGGAGAGGCAAGGGGGCTCGTTTATCGTCTCTGCCGAGTCAAGCCATTATTGACCAAAGGGTCCATCCAGACAGACGATCCAAGCTTTGCACCCCATTTTTCCTCTCCCTCTCTGTATTTTGCATCAAGCCGTTTCCTCAGAAACAGAGCCGTCGGGGACGGGCACAGGCATCGAGAAGAACAAGCCTCCCTTGTGTGGATTGTGCTGTTCCCTTGGCTCCGTCTCCCGGCGTCACAACTCACAAGCCACCCACCCCTCCCGACCTGCTCTGCTCCCGAGCAGCAGGCGGGGGAAAGCGAGAAAAGGCATGACGCCGCCATGCTTTGCAGCTGGATCGTCCGGCACTAACGGGTCGACGACGAGGGCGACTGGGGTGGGTAGCTTATAGTTTGCTCGAGGGATGGAAGGGAAGTGTCCAGCCCTTTTTTTGTGATGTTGGGGAGCTCATCCCGGGTAGCAACAGATCTCAATATCGCCAGCCCGCACAAGGGCCCATGACTTATGTGGCCAAGAAGAAGGTGTATTTACGTACGAGGTTGCGCCAACAACTTGTGCGTCCCAGTTGCCAACCCACGACTGCACGAGGTCGGGGTAACCAAGCATCGCCCACCTTTTGGTGGTGGGAGAGGGATATGCAGAGATGTCATGGCGCTACTCCGTAGGCTTCTCCTCTTCGTCCGTCGTCCGTCGTCTCCACTACCACATGTCTATCGCTGTATGGAGTACTACTGCGTATCTGTGCTACGCTCGTCCTGTCCGTACCGGTGGGAAGGCATGAAACTGTTCAGAAAGTCAGGTTGTGCTTTGTGACACTGACGGGTGAGGGAGTGCAGAGGCCGGGATGCTAGTCAAGGTCCCGCATAGCAGGCAGGGGGGAGAGTTGAAACGAACCTGTGTGGCTTCGTTGTCTGGGATGGGAGGGACTCTGCTTGCTTTTCCTCTTCTCCCCTAGACACGGCTGTTTGCAAGTCGTAGAGCAGCAGTTCGTTGCAAGAAACACGGTCATACGGACTGGTAGTAGTAGTAATACTAGTTACCGAGTATGTGTGTCTGGTTTGGGGCGAGGGCGAGGGCCAGGGCCAGGGCCAGGGCCAGGGCCAGGGCCACGACCGGGAGCAGCTGTACGTCAACCGACGCCGATTCAGATCTGTCGGTATCCAAGGGAGACGAAACAGCTGGCTGTGTTTTGCATGACCATGTGCAAAGTGCCAAGTCGCAATGTCCGGGACGCCTGGCTTCTGGGCCATCTCGGCATCTCGGGGTCTTGGGGGTCTCGAGCTGTCGACTTCCGTCGTTCTGGGCTTCCGAGGAGAGATTGAGCGGCCAATGATGTGGACGGCCGTCACGACGGTGATGGTGCGGCGCAGACCCGCGGCGTTGGCACTGCGTCTGGTCGCCAACAGGCAGCCAGCAAAGCGCACTTGGCCTGGCGGCGCGGTGGCAGTGGCAGGCAAGGGTGCCTGGACCGACCGGCGGGTACCTCCCGACCCGTTTCGCTACGGGCTACGGGCTACGGGGAGCCTGGCGGGGCACGCACGTACGTAACTAGTACGTACTCCGTAACGTCAACTCAACCTTACTGCCCATCCCAAGCCGTGACGTGACGTGGGCGTGACCGACCACTCCGGCCCAGTGGCCCACCGTCTGTCTCACAGCCCGAGCCCGACTCCAGACACTCTATGCCCCACGCCCCTGTCCTTCCTTCCCTTTGCCCTTCCTTGCCTTGGACGTCCGCTTCCATATTAGGCCCATGCATCCTCTTTAACTTGGCAAGCCCCTCACCTCCAGCGCACCCGCCCGTTGACAATCAGACCACCCGCTGCTGCAAGAGCCACCCACCCACCCCCAACTGGAGGCAGGCACCCCGGCCACCCCCGTCTATACGTGTATGTTCTGCCCAGCCGCCTCACTTTCGTGCGTCGTCCGACCTTGCACCCATATATCATCAGCGCAACGCATACACGTATCGCATCGCATCGCACCGCACCGCATACACGTATCGCATCGCGTCGCATCGCAACAACCTCACCCGCACCCGCACCCGCACCCGCACCCGCACCCTGTGGCCGAATATCCGCCTTCATCTTCTCACAGTCACGCGCTGTTGCGGTTCTGTCACTCAGCTTGCCTGCCGATAATCTCGACCCGCCTTCTTCTCTGGCCCTCGCCGGGCGCGCACCGGCGCCAACTTTGTGCGTCACCGAGAGAACAGCCTTGTTCACGGGCACGCGCCAACCTCGACGACGCCCAACCGCGCCTTCTTCGACCTTGACGTCGAAACACCCGACTCATCATGCTTCTCCCCTCAGCGCTCTCGTGCGACTCGGCGCAGCCCTCGCGGCCCGCCCTCCAGTCCAGCTTCTTCTCTCCCCCAGCCAGTCCTCCCACCCTTCACCACTCTGCCACGGCTCTCGGCAACATCGTGACGACCTGCCGATCGTTACAATCGCTCATTGCGACGACGCCCGCGTCCGCCTCTGCCTTGCCCTTGGCGCCGCCGCAGTCCTCGGCGCAGCTGCCCACACCTCCGATGGCTCATGCTGCGCTGCCGATGAAGCTTCGTCTGCGGACACGCCCTGCGCGCTCAGACGCCAAGAACAACGACGGCGAGGACCCGGACTCCAGGCGAAAAGTAGTCAAGCGGCCCGCGCCCCCGCGCGGCGTCAACAAACGCCGTCGCGGCGGCGGCGACGACGTGGGCGGCGAGGACCTCTCCTCGGAGGAAGAGGACGCCGACAGCGATGCCGAGCCGGCACGACCACGACCACGCGCCGACGACCAAGCTGAAGAAGAAGCCGCCGCTCCCGCCACGCCAAAGCGCTCGCGGATAGCCCCGGAACGGCTGCCGCTGGGCCTGGCGCGTTCCGACTTTCACGACATTGACCGTCTGGGCGGCGGGAGCGAAAGCACCACCGGCAACGGAACAGCGGTCGAGGTGGAGGCGGACGGCGAGCAGTGGAGCGCCGAAGACGACCGCGTCCTGGTCGAGCTCGTCCTGGAGAAGCTCAAGCTCTCCAAGTCGGAGTGGCACGACTGCGCCCGCAATCTGGGCAAGGACAGGCACAGCGTCAACCGGCGGTGGAGGAGCCTCATCATGAAGGGCGACGTCGGTCTCAAGACGAGGTCAAGTAGCCGCCGCCGCCTGCACTCTACGTGGCGGTGAAACATGCCGGCGTCTCGAATCTGTGTATTCCCTTCTTGTCCGGCCTCTCTCTGCGTCTCCAGGGCAGCGGCAGAAGACGGCCATTAGCAGAGCATCTCGACTTTTACTTCACGTGCGGGGGGCACATGCACATGTATGCACACGGCCGAGTCCCCCCCAAATTTTCCCACAAGCTACAGAGTACGTGCTAACTGTATATTTGCGATTTGTAGCAAGTGAAGCCCGTCCCACAGCAGAGGGCCAGCTCGGGCGTTTTGGCGGGCTCAGCAAACAGCTGGGAGGACCCAGTCCTTGTTAATTTGCTTTATGTCTATTTGTTGTCTATTTGTCTATCTGGTCCGGATATATCCCCTCCAAAGAGAGGAAGTGTTTCGAGCGTTTCTGGTCGGCAGGTTGGCAGGTCTACTTGGCCGTGTGTTGGACAAGGCGTGGGAGGGAGGGCGTCTCTTGTACCGGCGCTTCGAGGACGGGTTGGTTGATTGAATGTCATGTTTTGCCAGTCGACTAGCAAACTTATCGACGGGTTCGCGCCACGGCCTCGGGCCCGCTGGTCGGTTCCCTTTGCCGCGTCAGGGTCCCGACCGCAAGGGTCCCCGGGAGCCCGCGGTGGCATTTTTTATTTTTTTGGCGCCGTACGCGCGCTTTCTTCGTTTCCGTTCGGCTCCCCGCGGCGCCTCCATTTGCCGTGTCGGGTCCCGCCGCACATGACCTGCCGCGCGAGACACTCGACATTGCGGTGGCGCTTCTTCACACCGACCCCTCGGGCCGCAAACGAAGCAGAACCAGTGCCGTAGCTGTATTTTCTCGTCTGTCTTGTACCCGTGCCCACAAGGAATGCCGTTCGGGTGCCCATGTGCCCAGGTCTGGGCATTCATTCCCCAGGGGTCAAGTCGTGTCCACATGGTAGTTATTTCGCGCCGACACGACCAGGGGCGTCTACGTCTAGTTTCCCCCTCCTCCGCGGCCCAGTCCGTCCGGCGGCGCGCCTGCAACGTCGGCTTCCTGAGGGGGCGTCATCTCGCCTTGCGTCATCATCATCTTGCGCACCTCTTGTTCCACGTTGCCCTCTGCGCCGTCCGCGTCCTCCAGCGCCCCCGTGACCTTGTTGGCGAGCTCAATCTTCTTCTGGCACGCCCTGTAGATGAGCTCTTCGATTGTTTGCGAAGCAATCAGTCGGACCACCTCGACGTCGCGTCTCTGGCCCAGGCGGTGGGCCCGGTTCTCCGCCTGAATGTCGTCTTGCGGGTTGTCCGACTGGTCAAAGATGATGACCTTGTTTGCCGCCGTGAGGTTGATGCCGGTGCCGCCCGCCCCCGTCGTCAGTAAGAACACCGGGATTTTTGCATCCTCGTTAAACTCGTCAATGAGCGTCTGCCGCTCGGAAACGTCGGTGTTTCCCATCAAGACTCGGTGCTCGATGCCCTGCAGGGCAAGAACCTCCCGCAGAAGCTCGATCAGCCGAGAGAACTTGCTGAACACGAGCACCCGGTCTCCCTTCTCCTGGTAGTGCCTGATGAGCTCCAGGAGCTTCTTGACCTTGCCGCTGTCCAGTTCCGCCGCGGACGGAATGTCGAACTGCTTGAGCAGCCCGGGGTAGTCTCGACACCACAAGTGGAGCTCAAAATCGGACGAGTTCTTTAGTTCTTGGACCAGGTGCTTCATGTCCGGCTGATGGAGCTCAGATTGGGGGATTCTATCCATTAATATCCTGCCCATCTCTGCAACCATTTCGTCCGTGAAATGCCGTCGGAACAGCAGCGGATGCAGAGCTGCTTTGCGGAGCTGCATCCACACGTTATTTTGGTCGTTCTGTCGCCCCTTGGCCTTGGCTGCCCGTGACGACGGCTCCAGCTTGAAAAGCGCTTCATATTCGCCGTATGTCTTCTTTTGTGAATCAGTCATGTCGCAGTGCACGACGGTACAAGTCTTTGCCGGCATGTCTGACAAGACTTGGTCCTTTCTTCGCTGCAGGATGAACGGCTCCAGAATGGTCCGCGCCCGTTTGACACGTTCGGCATACAAGAAAGCTCCGTTGGACACGTCCCGGATTGTGACCTTTTGGCTGAAAATGTACTGAATGTCGTCCATGTATCCGTCAAACATCTTTGGGTTTATGAAATTTAGCAAAGCCGTCATCTCGAGCAGGTTATTCTGCACCGGAGTTCCTGTCTCAAGTTAGCTCAACAGCCGAGCAAGCTTTGCGCGCGTCAAATCTGTCTAACCGGTCAGGAGCATCTTCCACTTTGCGGGAATGCGGCGCAAGTCTCGATAACTCTTTGTTTCCTGGTTTTTCATCTTGTGGCCCTCGTCAAACACTGCTGCGTTCAGATCAAACGACTGCATGGCCTCAATGTCCGCCTCCGAGTTGATCTGCGAGTAAGTGGCCAAAACGACATGGTACGACTCTGGATGTCGTTCAACTTCATGAGCAATTTCAGCTCGTTCCGCCTGCGAGCCTCGGTACCCCACGATGGACAGATCTGGAGCAAATCTCTCAAACTCATGGAGCCAATTGTTATACGTGCTCGGCGGCACCACAATCAAATTCGGCCACGGCCGAGTCGCCTTGGGTTCCCTCTCATACTCCTCGACCAAATGACACATGAATGAAATGACTTGGCAAGTCTTGCCCAAGCCCATCTCGTCTGCCAGTATACAGCCAATGTCATAACTGCACAGCAACGACATCCAATTTAAGCCAAAGAGCTGGAACGGCTTCATTTGGCAGTGTCCATCCATCATCTTGGGCTGGCGAGGTATCAACGGCCGTGTGTACTTGGAATTCATGCTACTTGGTGTGGGCGGCATGTCGACAAAGGGGGATGCCCGACTGCCTCGCTTGTCGTGACCAAATGTGTCGAGATCCCATCTGTCCATCACACTCTTGACTGCCTGGCCCTTTATTTCACACTTGGCAACGACATGGTCAATGGCAGTCACTGCATTGAGGAATACTTCAACGGCACCAACGGCGGACTCTCCTGTGCTGACTCTCGGCGACTTTCGAGCACCAGCTTTCTTCGTCGCACTCACACGGCGGGCCTGTGACAAGTGATCAAACGGCCTCTTCTCGATCAGAGGTTCCAGAAGAGCCTCTTTCATACCCGTCATTGCTGCAAGTTCCTTCAGAGTGCTCGTATTCAGACAATGGAGCACCCTATCGTCGTTTTCTTCTGACGGGGCAGGAGACGGCTCGGCCTCATACGCATCTTCTTTATCATTATCGACCAGGTCAATGACGAGCGGCTTTTTTCTAGTAGGTGGTGACGGGTCAAAAGACTTTCTAGGGGACGAATCATTTCGCCTCTTCAGTCCTTGGACGAGCCGGCGCCTCTGTGGCTTTTCCTGCTTCTTTGGCGGGCTCGAAGGGAGGGAAGGCGACGTGTCTCGGTCAAGCGATATTGGGTTCCTTGCATTACTTCGTATTGCAGCTTTTGATACTAACCGCCTCCGAGTTGTCTTGCTGGGTTGTTGAGAATTACTCTTTCTTGTCTGCTTTGGCCGACTCTCCAGCCAGATGACGGCATCATCGAGATCGTTTTTGCATGCCTTGAGTGCCTCTCTAACCTTTTCCGAGGGATACATGTTGCCAAAGACATCATATATCTGTCGCATTTTAGCCTTGAGCTCTCTCTCCTCCGCAGCCGGGTTGTACGCAAACTCGGCAATCTTAGCCATGAACGTGGTAGGCCGAATGTCCCCCCTAGGGGGGGATGAGTCGCCTTCATCCTCGGAAATCAGACTTATTGGCTCTGCAGCAGGTCTTTTGGGGCCCTGTGAAGGTCGCGAGGGTGGCTGTCGAGGGGGCGGCCGAAAAAAGGTTCCCGCGGGTGCGAGGCGAGAACCCAGTCTCGAGGGCTGCTTTGGCTGGAACGGCGAGGATGCGGGAACCTCGACGACGCTAGCGGGCGAAGAGGAGCGTCGCGTATCCAATGTTAGACCCGGCTTGCTCAAGATCTGTGTCGGTTGTGTGGTGTCTCTTTCTCGCGGAGGGTCGCGCAAAAAAGTTGAAGGTGAGCAAGGAATGGTGTCCGCGGCTAATTCGTCGACATCATCAATGCTATCTGGGAATCGTGAGATGAACGGTGCTCGTGGAGTGGTACTCGAGTGCCGTATTGGCAGTGGAGGGGACGAGTTGGCCATGACCAGCAGGGAGGAGAGACGGAGGCGAAGGTAGAAGAAGAAACCAAGGCAGCAGAAACCAGCGTTGGCTGGCGCAAGCAAAGTCCCGAATTTGACAAAACGACCAGCAAGAGCAAAAGGAATGGAACTGCAGCTAGTGCAATACTCGTGTAAGCGATTGACGCCGCTCGCGCATCCCTCGTGGCCCAGGTGACGGTGCAGGGAGAGACTACGAGCGGCAACAAGTGTTGGGAGTGGTGCAAACCACTTTTGACGCTTCGACGCCCCAAAGCGGGTTCAATTTCGTGACGACCGTTGGCGTCGTCGTGCCGCGCCCCGACGCCCGCCGCGACGCGCGAAATCACGTGACTTTAAAGAGAGGGCTGGACACGGCGACCATGTAACTAGTAGTTATGTGCTTGAGAGGTAGGTACCGAGGTAGTTACTTTCTGGTAAGTAGCTTGGTATGGCTCGGCCGCTGCTTCTTTTTCTCAAGCATGAATCTCAAGTAAACAGAGCTCCATAAAAGTCGCACACCACTTCGACAACCAAAACACATCGCAAACCAAGACGCACCAAGACGCACCAAGACCTCGGCCAGCAAGTAAGTTACTGGAAATTCCCAGTGGAGACAGCAGTGTCTCTCATACTCCCTCTCATACGGAGCACCCGTCCATCGCATTCACCCGTCGTCCCAAACACATCCGTCCAACCACCAACCACAATGGCAACCCGCCGCATCATCAACAGCGAAAAGACCATCCTCGAAAAAGACGACCAGACCGAAGAGTCCAACATATCCCCCGCCGTCCCCAGGTACGTCCCCACTCCCGTCCAAACGACAAGCTTGCCAGGTGCCGCTGACCCCCAGTTCCCCCTTCCTTCCTCCCTTGATAAACAGAGATGTCATTGTCAAGCTTCTCGGCTTCACATTCGCCATGATTGTGGCCCCCATAGGCTCGTACTTTCTGACCGTCCACACCATTTTCAAAGGTCAGCGTCTCTCGCGTGCAGCCACGGCCTCGGGTACACTCCCTCATCTCACACGCTCGAGTAGGAAACTCGTCCTATGCAGGGGGCCTGGCCGCTCTTCTGGCCAACGTGGTGCTTATAACCTACATTATCGTGGCAATGAAGGAGGACGATTCCGCCAGACCGAAGCCAGAGACGAAAAAGGACCAATAGGCAATCTGCTACTGTTTGGACGTGCGCTTCTCATGGATATTTTCAAAGCCATGTATCGTCATTGTTGTGTCATGGAAAGCATTCGCAAGCAAAGGGCAAGGTCATCCAAGTTTCGTGGCGCGGATCTCTGTTCATTTCCCCCTTTCAATTCCATACATTCGTGCTTTTTTCATGATATCTACAAGCCTATTATAGTGGCAGGAACGCGCTGAGGGCTTTCGCCTGAGCCAGATCATGAATGCCCAATAAATGTAGTTGATAAGTGATGTTCAAAGGCCCCCCCCCCCCGAGTGGCCCGTTTTCCGCTCATTCCGCTGTCAAAAGGGCCCTTTCATCTCAGTCCGCCCACCCGCTCACAAAACAACATCTGTCACCCCGCCAAGCCTCTTCCTGAGCGCCTGGTAACGGTTCCTGATAACAGCTCCCGCTGCGGCTGTGCCGACTACCTGAGCATGCGTTGCCACATTCGAATCTGCAAAAGCAAGTGTCCTCGTCTCCGTCGAAACCTTCCTGGCCAAGCTTTCAGTGTTAACCATTATGATCGGGTATCGAGAACAAGTCTTGGTGGGGAAAAAAACATGACACTCCCAAAATCATAATTGACCTCTCAAACAGACAGGCTCAACATTTCTGTTTCCGAATTCGCCAAAACTCCATGGATTCAGTACCTCGCATGTATAAACAAGGGAAAAGAGGCCTTCAAAGAACCATGGTCCAATACGATAAGGCTACAAGAGCAGAGCTCTAGCCTTTTTTGCTAAAGTGACGACTGAACCAGCTCTTCCGGTTGTCCGTATTTCCGTCTTCTTCAGGTGATGTTTGTCGTCGCAAAAGAGATGGTTTGCGAGCCACGGCTTGGGGAGGAGGCGCCGCCTGGGGCTGCGTTCGGGAAGGCGGCGGTAGCGGCAGAACATGGTGCTTAGCCTGCTTGCCGACAGAGGGGTTCTGGACGTCATACGCCTGTGTCTGGCTGAATCCAATACCATAATCGTTGACGGGCTCGGAGCGCTTCGCTGGTGATATCCTGTCGATGGAGCTGTTGTCGCTGGACGTAGGGTCCGTCTGATAGCCGGCAGGGTCTGAGTTGCCACTAGGTGCAGCGGATGTTACAGTCTCGTATGACCTGTCCTTGTGAGGCATAGGATAAACACCCTGCTCGCGCCCGTACATCTGAAAGTGCGCCTCAGATTGCATCCTCTGGCTGCGATCTCGAGAGGCGTGCCTGCTAACCCCATATCCTCTTTCATAACCACTACCGCTGAAGCCGCCGCCCGCATTTGGGTTGTCGTAGACGCTGTTTCTTGCTGTCCCCGGTGTGTGTACTCCATACTGGCCATCTCCCTGCCTGTACGAGACAGGTCGGCTGTTGTAAAAACTGTCTTGGGGGAATCGTGGCTGGCTCGCAGGTTGAACACTACTTCGTCTATTCCAGTTTGCTACTGAATCCGTGTCTAGAAGACGGACCGGTTAGTCATGGACGAGAAAAGATGGGAACAGCAGGTACGGGCGTCACAACTTGCCAGCTCGATACGTAGATTTACGCTGGTAGCCACCGTCGATTGCAGCCTCGAAGCTACGGATGGTGTCCAGCGGTCGCTCCCATCGATTTCTGGTTGGGTTTGACTTGTCCGGGTCCGCTACGACATCAGTATAACATCTCGGGTGTGATTTACATCGCATCGTGTTTTAGCGGAACATACCAATGGGGTTTCCCCAGGCATCCTTGTGCCGCATGGAGCGAAGAGAGACTTGGGTCCTCTCTGACTTCATGGCCGCAACCATGGCTAGTAGAATATGTGAGTAATGATTTCAAAGGGACGCAACGGCGCAAATTATGAGAACGATGATGATGATGATGATAAAAAACGCCAGCGTGCAAGAGCACGTTGGACATGAGTGGGCACTTACATGGCTCAGCTTCGTTCATGGCCAAGGTGGGATCGGCCTTGCTGTGTAATCGCTTAGCTTCCTTTTCCTCGTGGGTCTCGTGAAATTCGTGCTTGCTCCCGCTGCTGCGATGGGTCTTGTGAGATTGGATGCTGTAGCTTCGTGGCTTTCCTCGTCCCTTTTGTTGTTGCTCCTGCGACGGCGGAAAAGGGGCTTGCTGTGACCGCTGCGGCTGCTGCCGCTGCTGATGCTGGTCCCCGCGAGAAGCCATGGCGTACAACTGCGACGTAGGATTGTTTTTATTGCGTGAAATGACCCGTTTGATCAGTTTCGGCTATCTGACGAGGGTGGGCTGGCGCGTGCGCCAACTTGGGAGACTGGGGGAGGCAAAGGATCGGTCGATGCCAAAGCGTCCAGGTATTGTTGACTAGTCGGCGGGTAGGAGATTATGGGTTCCCGACAGAGACGGCTCGTGAAACCAAGGCAAGGGCGTTGGAGGACCAGGATTACAACGATATATTGGCGGACAGCGCACCAGTGCCAGACTGCCAGACGTGGGCTAGGATCTAGAAGCTCTGCTCGGATCGAAATGCGAAAGTGAAGATGTTCCTTCGCAGTGGAGTTTTGCTCAGCAGAAGGTGGGAATTTTAAGCAGAAGGCTGGGTGAGGAAGTCGTATGCTTCCTGCCAGCCAAGGCCAGGCGTCCCGGACCCGAAGGCTGGTGGAACCTGGCGCGCACTGTGAGTGCGAGTCTGTGACAAGCTCGACTGGGCGATGGATGTTCGAGTTCCTTCTGGCCACGCACACGCAGCCAGCCTGGACCAGGGTGTGTCGGGCGGTGCTTGACTGGGGCTCGTCACAGAGTGGCAAGGTCGTGACAAGGGGGGAGGGGTGGCCCTGATGGCGCAGGACCCGGGGCTGCAAATCAAGGCACCACAACGACCGGCCAAAGGTTTAATGGTGCAAAAGCCCGATGGCGCCCTGTCGTTTGCGGCGCAGAGCACGGCGCGGTTACCGAGTAAACGGGCTGGGCAGCAGAGTTGCGCAGCGTCTGGTTACTGAAAGCGACACCCACTTTGGCCGTCCTCTGTGGGACATCAGCCGATGTCGAGGTTGAGGAATGGAAGGATGGCGGCTGGTCCAGTAAAGACGTGCCGTGTTGGGCAGTTGATGGCCACGATAAACTCAGATGCCTGGGCTATCCTCAACAACAACTGGGTTTGCCCTGCGGTGTGCGCAGTCGTGCGAGGTGCCGGTCTCTGCGCGCTCGACGGGGTGCTCGGTGGATGCTCAAGACTCAAGAGCGACGGGGTGACGGGACGACGGGGTGACGAGAGGACGAGAGGACGAGCGGCGCGGGCACTGCGAGTCTTGCTGTGCTGTCTGCGTCTGCGTGAGCTTTGTCCCTAGACCAGACTCTATCTAGTTCGACCACGCGGGGGCCTTCCCCCAGATGGAATCGGAATTTGCTTCTTGACGTCAAGGGACTAGCAATGTCTCACAAGAGTGACAGGCTCGACGGCCGTCCTCTCTGCAACTTGGCAAAAGCTCCTTGTGCTTGCCGTCGTGGTAATACCAGCCTGCGGCGAGCCCGCAAAGGAAGGTCCTGGCAAGGATGCTTTGGTTGCTTTCTCCTTTGGTATTGGATTTGCGTTTCTCGTCGGTGATTGTACAGAGCAGGTTCTCCGTATGTGTGTGGACAAAATGCACAGACTCCTGGTATGTGAATGAATTTCTTCACGACTGTGCGCCGGGAATGCACGGGGCTACGGGTTTGGGCTTCAAGTCCAAATCGCTCAGGAGCTGTGTCTCTGTTTGCCGAGTGGAGATGGGCGCGCGCCACGAGACGGAATAATGGCAGACCAAACCGTCAATGTCGATGTCCTTGGTGTTCAGTGCGTCCTGGTGTGCTTCGTATAGCGTTGATAGTCGTTGGGCCCTTTGTCCTTTGTCCGAGAGCATCAGGGTACGAAGTGCGGGAATGGACACGCATCGCTGGCCCGTAATACCAAATGCAGAGGCCGCCGAGTATCGTTGTGATGGCAACGGCAGGCTCACGTCACCCCCGCGGTTTCCTGGTCGCCAGTCGAATAGCTGCTGTGCGGTTGATGCGGCTTGCCTTTGTGTCTTGGTGTCGCACATGCGATTCGCGAAGGACGATGGAACTGGATTCAAGACGCTTCTGCCTTGGGTATTATGCGGGAACTTGGCAGACTGGCACAAGATCCAAGTCTAGCACAGGCAGGCCTCTGGAATACGAGGAGGAGGCCAACTGTCCACTTGCAGGGAGGTAACCAGGTGCCTGAAGTTTGCCGGACCAGCAGACCCTTTTTTCCTTCCAGATTGTTGCTGTGCAAAAGCAGAGTCTGCTCTTGTTGAGCTGGCCAGTCGTTGACGATGAGACCGCCGCAGGCTTGCCTAACTGCACTGCACTGCACGCACCAGACTCATGCACACGGTCGAGGAAGTCGCCAGGCACGACAATGGCAGGCACTCGCTTCAATGCTTCCAGGTTGCTGCCGCGTCACGTATTGTCATGAATAGATAAGTACCAGCAAGCAAGTTCCTTGCCCGTTGGTTACGCTGCTGCGAGGCATCGTTGCTTCCAGTGGAGCACATCGTGACGCGTCAACATTGGCAGTCGCCAGGCAGCACCAGCACCAGAGAGGAGCTGGAAGCAGCAGATAGTGGCGAATATCATGTCTCGAGGGTACGAGTACTCGCTCATGACCGCACACGCACGCAGGGTGCGTGCCAAGTGTTAGGGTTAGGGTTAACCAGCCTTGCAGCTTGCAGGCCCGTTGCTCCGCCCGTTTCAAGTCTGCGGAAAGCAAAAAACATGCTTCTGCTTCTACCAGTATCAGCCGTCAAAGCAGTCAGAAGCAGCCAAAAGAGTCTGGTCCCGGCTTTCCTTGCTCGAGCCCCGTCATTTCCAGCTGAATTGGCCGCCTCCAAGACGGCACAAGAAAAAATAAAATGGCATTATGGACATCTGCACACTGCCAATGAGGGGACGTGGGCGTTTTCATGTTCCATTCCGGCGCCAGACCCAGTCAGAGTCTGTCTTTTCCCACGCCAGGCACGCCCGTCACACGTCACCAACATGCCCAACTTCGTGTTCGTTGTCCACCTTGTGGTCCCTCCCCACCATCCTGGTGAGCAGATATGCAAGGCTTGGGGCGCAATTGGCTTGCCATGCCGCTTCCTCTGCTCGATTGGCACACATGCCATGTCTTGATGGTGACGCAAGTCGTGCGCAACCAACTCAAGGCCACATCCACCATCCCAGCTCCCATGTTGCTCGGCAGAGACAATTGATGCGCAACATCTGGCGGCAACGGCTATCTGTTGCTCTCGCATCAATCTGAAACAAGCCTGGTCCGTTTCCCATGACGCTGTGACGAAACAAATGCATACTAACTACTTAACCTAGTAGATAGTATTTGCGTACTCCGTACACGACACGGGAAAGCGCACATCCTGGCCCACGTTATTATGTAAAGTACTTGCATACTACGTACGTACTTGGATGTATGCATGCATGGACATCTGGGCGGACTAAGAAAAAGAAAAAAAGATCGGCGCGGGGCTCTTCTTCTTGGAACACGGCGGGGTGGCTTCTGCATCGACAATTTCATCACCCACTTTCGTACGTGCATCTCTGGCAGTTTACTGCCTACAGCCACTTGACGGGTTCTGGGACTCGTAGAAAGTCTCATTTCGCCTTGCCCTAGACATTTGCAAGGAACCATTGGGCGCCGGGCAATCAACATTTGTTTCCCTCACCCTGTCTGGAGTACGGATGACTACATCTCGAGCATCTTGGCCGTGGGTGTTGCATCAGCCGCCGGCGCCACCACCTTGGCTTCAAATCTTGACCCGCGATGCTTCCGGAAATAAACACGTGCCTCTGCGACGCCGTGGCTCGTGTTGTTAGCCCGGACAATCGTTTTCAATTGAAGGCAAAAAAATCTGCAAACCAGCGTCGCGCTGTCGCAGCAACCACAACTACGACCTGGTACCTGGCAAGATGTCTGTAAGTACCTATATTGTCTACTTAAGTAGGTAGGTGCCAAGGTACCCAGGTAGGTCCAGCAGGTATTTTGCTTCCAAGCTAATAAGTCAGTCCCTGTGTAAATCTCCTTTGTCCCCAGCGCACGTCGCAAACTCGGGCCAGGGTTTCACGACTGTGGTTTGAATAATTAATTGTGCGGGATGGCGGGCTACCCGACTCTGTCCTTTTTGACACCAATGCGGTTCGCCACCAAGCCACCATTGGCCAAGCCCATACTTCCCGTTGTGTTATCGGCCCATCGACGGACTAACCAGACAGCAGTTATTCGCCAAGTTATCCAAACAGAACTGCATTTGTCGTTCCGGCATCCCGCGACGGTAGGACCGCGCGCCTGCTTGGTGTTGGGCGGGATCACCCCACAGCCACTTGATAGTAAAGTTGACGCCAAACCTGCATCAAAACCATCATCCTTTCGCCATCAATCAATTGATCGCCATCGCTAGGTTGTTCCGTGCGAGCCCAATGTCGTGGAATGCCGATTGTGGCCGACTTTGGTCCTGTTATTTTTGGTCAAATACGGGCGCTACACGGCTACCCTACACCCATGTTACCATGTACCCACCCGTACAATGGCTCAGAATGAGTAAAGCCAAGCACCATGCCTTGGATCCTCTATCTGTACGTACACAGGCCATGTCTACCAACTATCATATCCTCCAATGATGTCGATGCAAGCAAGCTGTAAGACGAGCATCTTCCTCAATCTTCACAAATGACAATAACTTACAGCACTGACATTGGCATAGCCGGTATTAAACCCACCAGATACCTACCTAAGGTACTCAAGTAGGCACCAAGCAGAATAATACTTTGGCACTGAATGCGCGACCCATGGCGCCCGGTGATCACACAGCTCATCACAGACATCTCTAGTGTCCAAGCGCCGTCCCGCACCCTCCCACAAGCTCATGGCTGCCAATATACCACAGTCCAGACAATGCAGCCAGTGATTGATATCGGAACTGCGCAACAGCCGCCTCACCAGCGCGATTACGGACACGGGGGCGACGCGAGGGACGACTTGATGTCATGGAGTTATCGGAGAGGCTGATCGCGCGCAGGGGTCCAGGGTAGCTAGCCATGCTTAAAATGACTTCCAAGTTGATATACGTCTGACGCACTCCGTGGCCAGGACGGCGGTACAATAGTTCACCGTGCTTTCAACGCGGTCTCATCCGTCGGTTTGCCACCCCACG